TTTCCCTTGAATTTTTCGGACTATTTTGATAAAACTACGACCAAAATTCTCTGAAAAATCGGAAGAAAAATGTTTATAAATATTCTCGAAAATTCGTGAGTTGTCAAAGGAAATTTGGTAGTGCCTGAAGGCTCATACGGCGTTTTCCTTAGTCCGTTTCGGTCACCTAGGTATGCATCGACTCGTTTTCGTAAAGGTCGTTCGCTATGACTTAAGCCTTGATCTTGAGAAACCAGTTTCTCGCGAGTGCTTCGGAAACATATCATAAAAGTAATAATAAATTTAATTGTGCTATCCGGGAGCCTTGCCGGAGGTCGGTTCGTCCGTTGCGCTGCGCTGAGGCCACGGGGAAACCCCCTCGTAAAGGGTGGAGAGTGGAGGCGTACATACAGTGTTGCCAGATTTTGCTGATGAAGCAGCGATTTCCTCCATTTGCGCCCGTGTTAAATATTCGAATTTTATACAGAAATCTGGCAATCTTGCGTACATGCGTTTTCCTTTTTAGCATAATCTCACGATTTTGTTACTTTGTCCTCGTGACCGATAACAAGTTTCCTTGTGCGAAAAGTTGAAAAAAATAGCGAGGGAGAAAGGAAATTTTAACAATTATTACAAATTCTGAGTAAAATTTTTATCGATTAAGCGAAGTATTTCATACGAGTGATTACTTACTCGAGGTCTGAAAGAAGTAGTCTCATCTATTTGCCTTCTTCTTTTTTCGATGATTAAACAAAACTGACGCCATTATTGTGTGATTATGAAGACGAGGTCGGATTCCGCCTTTCCTATCATCGGCTGCGTTGCTTACATATCCTTTGAAGCACCACTACACGTACGACAAACGGTACCAACACAAGATGGAAAATGAAAATAAACAAAGGGAAAGGACGCGCGTTGATGACGGCGCAGAGATACAACTATTCGTACTTGATGGATGCCCGTGCTGCGTCGGAAAAATTGAAGGCGCGAAGGCGCGAGGCGTGAACTCGCAATCGCAAGTCGCAAATGCTCCGGACTATGCTGCTAGTGAGGTGTCGCTCAGATTCAGGAGAAAAATTAAAAACGAGGCCCGCATACGTTTCCTCCATTTTTAACTGGGTTATCACACTCGATTTTTTTCTTATTTTAGGATGTATTTTTAGACCCATAATTCGACGGTGAAAGTCGGCAATCACATAACTCGGTTTGCGACGTCGCAGACTTCCTGTCATACTTTATTTTTTAAATGGAAAACTACTCAACGGCATTTCTTTAAAACTGTCATGATTTTTCTTCTCAATTCGAAGAAAATTCTACAAAAACTTCAAGAAATAATGTCAATTTGTTCTCTTTTAAAAAAATGACGTACATGCGGAGATTTTCAGACACCGCAAACGAATTATGTGATTGCCGACTTTCACCATCGATATCTAAAGCTCGTATGTACCGGTCCCGTGACTTAATTCAACTTAAAATTGAGTTCTGGGGGTACCTAATCTCCGAAATTATTCCCACTGAAAATTCCGTTGAAAATGCATTGTTTTAAAGCTAAAATATTTAAGAAATCGACTTCAAAAATGCTTAAGATCGCGTTTGGAAGGAGATACTTTTGTAGCATTTCCCGCGAGAGGGCCTTCGCACCCCCTCTCCTTCTGGGGGGAATCTCCCAGACTCTCACCCCATTAAAAAGGTCCCCAAACAGCAAAAGGGGCCCGAAATCAAAATCGCCTCCCAACTTTCTCGAAGCCAGTCCGTTCCCAGGGAAATGGAAACATCAGGAGCGGAAATTGTTCAACATCGCAAACGAGATCCGCCGTGCCAAGGAAAAACGCCGCACGAACCTTCAGGCGTTGCCAAATTTCTTCAAATAAAATACGAATTTTCAAGATAATATGTAAATATTTTCCCTCTAAATTTTCGGACAATTTTGTACGCAATTGAATCCAAATTATCCCAAAATTTCAAGGGAAAATATGCATAATTTTCCTCAAAAATACCTGTTTTATCCGGGAAAGTTTGGCAGCTCTCGAATGTTCGTACGGCGTTTTTCCTTGGCAAAACAGAGATACGTAGTCGCGGAGTTTCAACGTCGCAATGTGATTTTTTATCTGGTGCATATAAACGCGGCAACGTAACGAGAAAAATGCAACCAGTAAGATCACGATTCAAATGACACGGTCAGTGTCTTTCCAGAAGTTCGTCGCTGGAACTGGCCTGTCAAGTAAAAATCGCGTAAATCTAACGAAAATCATTCATGAATACGCGGTTTTTTCTTAGTGCTGCAGTCGTGTGGCCTTGCTGCTGGCGTCTAAGTCGCCACTCAAATCGTCAAAACTTAATTACCTATACGTGCGCCGACGAAAAATTCTTCGGCCTCATAAGCGAGCTTGAGAGGATTTGGTGATATGTTGCCAGGTGTACGCCTCCAAGTAGGTACTTAGATTTTTCCTGCACGTCTCAAAGTTACTCCTTGATCGCCGAAATTTGCAAGAAGCTGTAATGGACCTTTCCATGAAATCAAGAAAAGTTGATGCACCCTTCCTTGCAAAATTTACACATATCTTAAAAGATAAATCGCGTTATAAATAAATGTATTAAAAAAACTTGGATTAATGCTCAGTGAGATGTACAGGAAAAGTATCAGAGATAAAAAAAAAAAAAAAATCATGAAAATGTATTATTCTACCGTGCTGCGGAAAAACGCGTATGAGCCTTCAGGCGTTGCCAAATTTTCTCTGGCAAATCAGAAAGCAGCAATATTTTTGAATATTTTTCTGCCAATATCTCAGATAATTTTGTTAATAATTTGTTCTGAAGTGTCTGAAATTTCAAAGAAAAATATTTATAATTTTCGCCATCGGCTATAAAAAGCTATAGAAATTGTGTAGAAATTCGTGTGCTTTGTAAATCCTTAAGTTTGTACGGAATCACCTTAATATTTACAAAACGCACATTATATTTTCCTTTACTACATATTTTTTTTCATCAACTAAAATGAGAATAATCCATACAGAGTGTGCAAACATTTCAAAGTCATGAGTTTAAAAACGCTGACTCCACGAAATCAAATATTAGAGCCTAACACAAAGCGGAGCGGCGGCGCACTGGCGCCTACAAACCTAACAGGGATACTTCACGCATTACGCAATGCGTGAAGTATCCCTGTTAGGTTTGTAGGCGCCAATGCGCGTCTCGCGCTGGCTGCCCGCGCCGCCGCGTACCACGGCGCTTGTAGCAACTATTTCACACCAGAGGTATTGCACAGTATCATACGAAATTGAAGGCGCTCCAACATATTAGGAATGGCAGGCGTCCTTCAAAAGTACGGAGCTTTACTTGCAAAATAAATCAAGATACTACGGCCTAAAAAGAGAGCGGTAGTCCAAAAACTCACTAAGTCTAATTACTAACGTTTAGCATACACTATATCGCCAGGCTGTTGCTTAATCGCCATCGGCTATAAAAGGCTGTAAGAAATTGTGTTGCCGGCTTATAGGAGCTATTGAAAATCTTACAGCTGGCTGTAGGTCTATGGTATTTTGGAACACAGATTCTACTGCCAATTTTTACCAGGGACGTGTAAAATAACAGGTCAATAATTTTTTGCGGAATGTGCGCGGTTATTTCTAAAAAATTGGTGTATATGTAGGCACGCACTGGGCACTGAAGAATTCTTGAGCATCTCTCATCTACGAATGAAAATTACGTGACTTCATTAACAAGTAGTGTACGCAATGAATGAGACTATTACTCAAAACTCGTTGAAAAGTCAAACTGTTTCGGTTGCGAGTTTCATTTTTACTTTCTCGCTCCCCTAGGATTGAGGAAGTATTTTTTATTAGTAAATAGATAAAAAAAATAAAGTAGAATAACTTTCTTGCACGTGAGAGGTTTCCCGGATTCCCAGGTAGGTAATAAAATTGGGTTTTCTGTTTGCCTGCATGGCAACATTGCGTGCCCACCTGCTCGAGACTTGACAACATTGTTCAGTTCAAGGTCGAATTTATTTATGTTGATTCTTTCTTATCACGTTGTGCCTGTGTGTTTCGGTCTGTTTCCTTTCTTGCTTCCTCTTCAATTAAATTAATTATCGGTAAAATTTCGAATGGTTGTATTGATGGAATTTGACATTTCACCATACTAGTAATCATAATCTTGGGTTTAATTATCCCTCTCACATCGTTAAATCACGAGATTTATGTAATTTAGCGAGTTGCTGTCTGCCCACATATCATTATCCTCAACTTTCTCTTTACATATTAAGGTACATATGCTATTCATTATCTATTCTAAAACTCTCCGGGAAATTTAATTGTTAAAGATTCTTCTAGTATGTATTCAATCTCTAGATAATCTCAGCAATATAAAGATTCAAGCACACTCTCTTGACGCCTTGGCAGTCTTGAATGTTTCCTTTGTTTACAGTTCATCCGTCAAGAAAGAACTTGTTTATTTTCTCATTTCAAGAATGTCTCAGTGTTGATTTATAAAACATCACTTGCTGAGCTTTTATTGTGTATTCCAAACTGCTTTGGTTGGAAATCTCTCAGTGGACTCTCCCTTCGCCTCCGATTGAGTAACAAGAAATCAACATGCTGAATCTTTAGTATGAAGTCATTTAATTTTATCTGACCATTGTAACTGCTTCTTGTAGTTACAAAATTTTTCATTTTACCTCTCTAAGATGATTACTGATCTCGCGTTTTTAACTCTCTTTAATCGGGATTGAGGGAAGAGAAGTTCAATTGAGTCAAATCGAACTCTGTTGAGTTACTGTTATTTTCGTATTCATGGCGCATATGATCCCATCAATTAGTGTTAATCAGAAAAAAGTTTATGCTGTCATATTCCTTAATTCCATTGCCGCCATGATATTTATCTTCGATCGATATGTATAAAATATATCCACTTCTTTGCAGTGGATTTTTTTAATACCTGCCGATCTTGGTTTTGTGATCATTGCCACCAGTGTACTTATTTTTCTAGTTCTCTCACCCTCTGCTTTTATTTACTTGTTTCAGAAGTTATCACGATGTCTTCAACAGAGACAACCATAGCTTCGCTCGGAGGGGTAAGTCCTTCCTCTCATACCTACCTATCTTATCAGTTATTATTCAATTTTTTTTTTTTATTCTGTTTGCGTATTCTCCAATGAAAATGGAAACTGTTAGCATTTATTCATTTTATGTGGTATAATTCAGCTCAAAGTAGAAGGATTTTATGAGTATTATTTCATTTCAAAAATCAAAGAAAACTGCCCAATTCTCTGAGGTTGTTTTATGGTATATGGACTGCTGTATTTTGATTTGTTTTTTTTAAGGGTACGTGGGACCTTTGTTGAGAAAGAAAAATAATTGTAAAATTTCAGATGTCTGAAATGAAAAACCAAAAAATTACAAACTTTTGAAGATTTTTATTTGTGTAGATTAAGGCTGTAGTTTAGAATATGACCCGTTTCCCTTTAGTTAGATTAGGTTCTGCCAGAGACTATTCGCTGTCATTTGTCAAATAGGAATCCTGCTATTTCATGGAATTTTGAAAGTTCGTGTTTTATTTTCTGTTTCTGACTTTTGAAATTTCACATTAATTTCTTTCTGTCAGTGACCAACTCCCCTGAAAATATCAAATCATAATTCAGCATTCCATGTAGGTACTATAGTTTTCCTGGCTTTATTTTTGCTGATGTAATTCTCGATTTTGCATCTCAGGGCTCCAGTTTGATAAATCAATACTAAATTTTTTCACGTATACAAAGTCCCTCTTCCCCCGAGCATGTTGAGATTGAGTAACATTCTATTTCTTCAAAAATGATAGTGACGTACAACCCTTTTACTTCAAGCCACTGATGTATAAAATGTTCTCACAAATAGATTAGCTCCATTGTTTATTTTTTTGGTTTTTTGTTGAAGAATGGTTGAATTTATTGTTTAAATTTAAGAAAAGCACTGTTCTACTTATGTACCATTTTTTTTAAATTTGTGCTGTTCGGGCCAAAATAAAAGGATACCTAAATTAGCCGAATGCCGCTAGATTTAACTTTACAAGGGGCTAAGGCACTCCCTTTTCAATGCATGAATTGTGAACATACTTCTTCTGTCCTTCTTACTTCTCCCCTACATCTAGGATATTTTGAAGAATGGATGGTGCTCAGTCTTGTTATTCAGTTGTATTTCATTTTCATCAATTTTTTTTTCATCCTACAGATTGTCCAAAGAGCGAAGACAGCTTTTCAGAGTGGTAAAACGAAACCATATGAATTTAGGTACAAACAATTGAAACAGCTCCTTCGGTTGTATGAGGAAAATGTTTCTGATATCAGTGAGGTTTTGGCAAATGACCTCCGAAAGGTATGTATCTGTATTTGTACTCTAAGGCCCCAAGGCTCTTCGCCTTTTAGGATTTCAGGTTCATCTATTTGAAGTGAATCTATCATGTTATTTTTTTTTACAAGAATAATCAATAGTAATTATGTGTTATCTGGAACAAACCAAAAAAATTCATCCTCTCTGCCAAACGTAGATCGATCAAATGTTATTGTCGATAAAGAGTCAAGTGATTTTTTTTTTAAATTTGTAGGAGGAAAAAATAATGAGAATTGCATTTGAAGTTAAAATTACATTGAAACTAATGAAACGATTTACGTACCCTCAAACTTGATCACTAAGGAAAGGAAACTCATAATATCTTCACAAAATATTCCCTGAGACAAGTTTTGCTCAAAACAACTCATGGATACATCAATTTCTTAAAAAATGGTGCACAACTCTTCAGTCTGTAAAGTATATTAATTGAAATGAAAGTATGATTTTTGGACTCCATTTTCTTTTTTTATGTGTTTTCTGTTACCAAAATTAATTCATCGGATTTTCCAGAGAAGCTGCTGAGTAAATGACAAGCTTAAGATTGTTTTTTTTTCTTGAACAGATTTTGTTAAAACACTCATGTAAACTTTATTCGTACATTTCCTTTTAATTTTCAGTGCAAGGCTGAAACAATGATGTTGGAGTTGAATATTCTCATTGGTGATGTGAAAAACACCTTGGCCCACTTGAAAGAATGGATGGAACCAGAGAAGGTGAGGAAATTATTTATTTTCTAATAAGAGGTCCTGGACTGTAATTGTTGCAGCTAAATTTACACAATAAGTTTAGCTCAAAAGAGCTAAATCTTTTACTTATATACTTTTAGTGACTAGTTTTGGTCAGTTAGCAAAGTAAGGCTCTTTCTAGGAATGCCATAATATCGAGTATATAGAGGGTTTTCTGTTTTACCATGCTGTGAGAATATATGAATATCCTGGTCTTGAAAACTCTGTGCAATAGTGTTGTATTGTAAAATTCCAGGAAATTTTACTTTATTACTAATTTGTCCTCTGTTACTAACTATGCCTAGCCCAGCAAAGCTTTGATGTACCTATTGGATGGAGTTTATATCTACCACGATCCGTACGGTGTTGCCTTAATTATGGGAGCATGGAATTACCCACTGCAGCTGTCCATGTTACCTGTGGCTGGTGCCATTGCTGCTGGCAATTGTGTCATTTTGAAACCATCTGAAGTGGCTCCCTCGACAGCAAAATTAATGGCTGAACTTATTCCGAAATACTTAGATCAGGTATGTGTTTAGTTTGCGTCTAATATTGATGGTGTCATTACAAGGAAATAGATCCTGATTGCTCTTTTTCTAAAACTTAGCCCCTTCTTTATTTCTTTCAAGAGAGTATTTTTGCACTGTCTTTTGTAAATTTATCATAGAGTATTTTTGAGAAGGCAAAAATTAAACAATACAATTTTGTTCAGTGACAATATTTAATTAGTTATCCTTAAGGATTAAAACATAACAGAAAAACTGTTGGCTTTGAAGTTCCAAGAGCGGAACCTAAATGGAAAACAAAAACTCTCATAAGAATTCATTAACTAAAACAGCAATTTCCTACCTTGATGTAAGGCTCATGAGTTCAACATGACAGTCAACATTTATAATCCACTCAAGTGAATTAAGACCTTTTTGTCCCATTTGAAGTCTGCTCACATAACCAATATGTGACCTGGTCTGTGAAAATGGACCTCATATTCCAGGAAACAATTTTCCTTTACCGTTTGCAAATGCATGGAGGAAGAAAATCTGGAAATGGTGCAAGTTTGACCCTAAAACCTCAAAAATTGAAGGAGATATTAATTTTAAAGTTCCACGACAAAAATTTTTAGGTTGTAGAAGAAGGTGGTTTAGGTATTTGCAATTAGTTTAGAAAAATTCTCTATTGGAATATAAGGTCCGTTTTCACAGATCTGGTCACAGATGAAGGTGTCTTAGAAATCTGCTCACAGATAAATATCTGAATTTTCTATTCGGATCATAAAAGCTTGTAAATTATAAGCCAGAAAATTTGCTCAAGCGTATGTGTACTTTATTCAGTCTATTAGAGAAAACAGGAGTACCGATGACCTATTGATTTTTTGTTCAAATTTCAGGATTGTTATCAAGTTGTTTTGGGCGGAGTTCAGGAAACAACAGAATTATTGAAATATAAATTTGATTACATTTTCTATACTGGCTCAACTTCGGTGGGTCAGATTGTTCGCAAAGCTGCCAATGAACATCTCACTCCTGTGACTTTGGAGCTAGGTGGTAAAAGGTAATTTTCTCTTTAAAGTTTGATCACAGATTTTTTATACATGATAAAAAAGAATTTTTTACACCTCGCTCGTAAATAAATTCTTTTTTTTTTAATTTTCCCTCACCAATATTATGGAGTTTTCCAGGATACTTGTTTTGAGGTCTGTACAGCTGTGGATTTAAGCTCTCTTTGTTCAAAAAATCAAACAATTCTCTGATTATTTGATGCTCTGTTATAGGTTAAAATGTGATAATGAATGCTCTAAAATCATATTAAATTCACCGATCTGGGATGTGAATTTCTAATTTTATGGAACAGGGGCACAGGAAGAGCCAAAATGCTGACTGTTTGCTGCTATTTGACGTTTTTGCCTCACAGTCAAACCGATTTGCCTGATGGCCAAATGCCCAAAAAAATGTGTAATTTGTTCCCTTTTTTTTGAAGTATTGAGTGACATAAAGTCATCATTTTTTAAATTTTTTCCCAAATTTTTTGCCCAAAATTTGCCTTACATTCACGAAGATCTTAGGATTGCAAGATCGAGAATTTTCTGCTCCTTTGTATGTACAACTGTAAATCTGAGACTTTGAGACTACCTCTTTTTCTGCCCTTTTAGCTTTTTGAATGACTCAATTTTGCTTTGTGTTTCAGTCCCCTGTACATAGACTCATCAGCTAACCTAGACATTGCAACTAAGAGGATTTTATGGGGAAAATGTATTAATGCTGGACAGACATGTATTGCACCCGACTATATCCTCTGCACAAAAGAAATCCAAGAGAAATTTGTGCAAAAAGCGAAGAAAGTCCTCCTCGACTGGTATGGATCCAACCCGCAAACTTCTCCAGATCTCTGTCGTATAGTCTCTAATAAACATTTCCAGTGAGTACTCTTTTTTCTCAAAATTATCTCTAAGGATAAGCTAACATCACATATATGTAACAGTGTAATAACGTATATGTGACTGTCCATGAGATTGACCACTTTCATATAGAATAACTTAAAATTGGGATGTCAGCATCTCTACTCTGAGGACTGTTGTATGAACATTTCAATGCTTAAAATGTTTGAATATTCCTTATGGAACAGAAGTTGAAATGGGCTGAGGTTTGTTGCTCAAAACATGTACTAATGATGATCAAAAGCTATTCAAATTTTTTATCTACCATCTTCTTCAATGAAAATTTTTGGATTATGATGCAATGCAGTACTTTTTTTTGGAACAAAATTGTACTTAATCTCATCAAACTCATTCTTTGTCATATGAGAGCGTATTTTTCGTCAAAAATGCGATTGCCAATTTTTGACACCACTTGATAAAAATCTCTCTCTGGAAAAATTTGGCCGTACGTTTAAAGTCTCTTTTTATTGAATTAACAGTTATTTGAGTAAAATGCGACCGGACAGAACAAATCATTGTGCATTGAAAAGTTCCCTCTCACAAGATTTTCATAAACTTATTCAATGTAATATACCCATATAATGGCAGTTCTTTATTACTGCGTACAGTTCTGAAGCACTATTCAGCTTCGATTTTTTTTTTCATTTACATTCAATTTTCATATCACAATTTTTTTTCTAACCACACTTATCTACACAAAAATCCTTACATTTCGCGGAACAGAGTAAATTTCCGATAGGTTCTGTAACTTACTTTTTACACGCTTTCAGACGATTGTCGAATCTCTTGAAAAATGGGAAAGTTGCAGTTGGTGGGCAAACAGACCCTGTGGAAAAATTCATAGCTCCAACAATTCTAGTTGATGTTCAACCTACGGATCCTATAATGCAAGAAGAAATCTTTGGACCCATTATTCCCATTATCAACGTTGAAAATGCAGCACAAGCAATTCAGTTTATCAACAACAGGTATGTTCTATGTCAAAACCTTTCTATAATTGTTGTTCCTGTATGACTTCATATTTTATTAGGCTCAGATACTCAAAAAAGTCATTTAAATTTTTCCATTCGTTTTTCTCTCTTCAGTGTTATTATAGCCAGCCTCTGTGTCTTTAGTTATCTTTCCTGCAGGAAAAATGCTTCCCACGAAAATAGCACTTTTCAAAATTTTTCCAAGCTACGTAAGAGCCATGAAAAGTTAGTCCAAATACCTACGCTGATAGTAATGATACAAAGGTGTGAAATACTCTAAATGTTTTGAATTTAAAAATTCTTTCCGATAATTGAATTTTCTCCTTTCTTTTTTAGGCCGAAACCCTTAACAATGTATGTTTTCTCTGCAAGCAAGCAAATACAAGACTTATTTATATCGCAAACTTACTCTGGGTCGATATGTATTAATGACACAGTCATGCACTATGCAGGTAAGATAGTAAAAAAATTATTTTTTGTTGTGTAAATAAATCTTTATGAAACAAATTTTAATGAAAATAATAATGATTCTAAGAAAAGAACAACAGGATTTTAGACTTTCAAAAAATTGATTCACTAATGACTTGAGCAAGCACACGGTTCAGTCATAGTTTTTTAGTCACGCTGAATTAGGGTATCCAGAAAGCATGTTTTGCTAATTTAAGAATGGAAGGTAAGCTTATCTGTAAGTATTTTTCCTTTAATCATCAGAGGATTTTACAATCTTTGAAGACTTCTAGTACTTGCAGACACATTTAAGTCAGGTTCAGCTTTGGTAATGACAAATTTTTCAATTCAAGTTGTGAAGCCGATGAAACAAAAGCGAGAATTATAGAGCCAGAGCTTTGACTTTGGTAAATGTTTTTATAAGCAGTTTGTCGCATTCTAAAATTTCGAAAGAGCAAAAAATGATTCCTTTCGTAGGCAACTCTCAACTCCATGTAGAGATGAAGTTTCTGTGAACATGTCGAGCTTAAGCCTCAAAGCAATGCATTCATTGTCATCTGTCGATAATGCTATTTTGTTCTCGATCGGAGCAACTCCTCAATTTTTTTGTCATTCATGTAGACAGTCATTTTTGCAACTCTAACCCTTTCCTCTTCCTGTGGAAGCTCAACCTGCTCTAGCTCCTCCAGCTGTTTGAGGAGAGGTTTGATCAGGTCATTCGTTTGCTCCTTCTCTTTTTTCATATCCACTGCTAATTGAGCATTAACCTCCCGCCAGTGTGCTAACTCCTGCATCATTTCATCCACATCCTCTTGTAACCCTGCCAGGAGCTGCCCCAGAGGACCTGCGTTCTTTGTTAGTTCCTGTATTAGTGTTTTAACCCCTCCAACCTCCTTTTCGCCAGTGTTTCTCCGCCAGTTAGCACTTTCCTCCCACTGGATTTTTGTTTTGGCGTCTCCCTCCTTGCTCTCAAGCTGTTTCTTTGTGTCGATTATCTGCGAGACAAGTTGGCCTTGTTCTTGAATCTCCTCTGAAAAGAAAGAATTTAAATTGAAAATTGTTGTCATAAATGATCAAAATATATTAAAGTTATTATTATGCATCAATGTATAAACTAAGCAACCAAGCCTTAATGTTATTGATTTTAATTTGTATGTAATAGGTCACCTGACGTGTAGTTTTGGCAAGTCATGAAAATCTAGATTAAGAATTAAAATTGATAATATTAAGTCTAAAAAGGTCTAAATCGAGCCATTCTATTATCCTTATCTCAAACCGCTTAACTCCATTAGTGGTAATTTTTTTCATTATGAATTATACAAAAGTTACAAGTAACAGAGGTTTTAAAACGTTTACTGACTTTCTTAAGCAATTTATCATCGAATATTCCTAATTATCATATCCTCCCTACCTCCATCACAGAAATTGACCTCTCTTGACAGTAATTAGTAACTATAAGCCATTAAGATTAATCATTTATAAATGTCTTTAAGAAGAGTCGATCGAATACTTTACTCTTTTTGAAAGATGTTTGAACTCACCTTTACTCTCTGCGCCTTGATTGGCTGTCGGAGCTATGTAATGTGTCTCAAGAATGAACATATCATCAGCATCATCTTTATCATCCTGACTCTCCGTGAAGATATTAGTAGGTCTCTCTGTCTCGCTTCGTTGCCTAGCACCTTTATCTGGTGTAAAGACACGTTTATTGGCATCTAATTTTACAGGTCGTGCCCCAATATGGGACTCATTCCGCTGATTCAGCTCTTGTCTCTGCCCGATCGAAGAAGTGACCCTTCCAGAGTCAGTTCTTTCTAGTGAATGTCTCTTCTCAGATACTTTGTCAGGAGTCTCCTTTGACACTGACTCACCGGTTTTCTGCAGTGTGTTCATGACTCTGGAGTTCTCCGCCAGTTTTTTTGGCTCTCTTGTGCTCGCTGCCAATGGTTTTGGCTCTGTGTTCATGATTCTGGAGTTCTCTGTCATTTTTTTTGGCTCTCTTGTGCTCGTTGCCAATGGTTTTGGCTCTTTGACAAGATCTATCGCTTTTTTTGTCTCTGTCTCTGGTTTTTTTGTTGACGTTGGAGCCTCCTGAGGCTTCTCTTGAATAACACCATTTGCATCAACTTTCTCACCTTTGCTATTCATTTTGTCCTTTCGGTTGTCTTTTTCTTTACTTCCGTGTGTATCTGACACATTCTGCTCTTCAGTCTGTCCATTAACATTTTCATTTTTTACTTTCGTCTCCTCAGTTTGCTCTGCATTCTGTCTGTTATCTGTTCTGATCGGCTCGACTTGAGGTGATGAATCCTTCGTACGAGATTCTGGCTTCTCAGCTGGTCTTGTTTTTGTAGGCGAATGTTTTCTATCATCTTCTTTAGGTTTGTTTTGAGTCCTCCGATTTACTGCTGACTGTTTTGGGTCCTTGTTCTCTACTCGATGACCACTTTTAGGCACCGCTTTACTATCTTTTGTGGCTTGTGTCCTGTCAGCTGTTTTGCGGTGTGCATCCCTGCTTTCAGTCTCTGAGGTAATTTTCTTTCGGGGTTTTTTCTCCTCATCCTTTTTTTCGTTTTTCTTATTTGTTTCACTAACTTTTGTTCGGTTATTATTTTGTGTTTTTTCTGAACTTTGCTGTTTATTCTTAGTATCACTATTTTTATCAATTGCTTTTCCAAGGAGAATTAGAAGCTCGAGTGTTCGGTTCACATCTAATCCTGCAACTATCTTCGCAGGACGTGCTTTAACTTTTTCTCCCGTCATCACCTCAACTTCTGCAATCAATGTATCAAGGAACTTAATTTTTGTGTCACGATCCTTTGCATTTTCCAAATCCTTCTCTGAAAATTTACTGTCCAGAAATTTAGTTTCCTTTATAACTGATTTCACTATATCCTGCAGAAATCGGAATGGCGGCTTTTTCAAGAATTTTTCAAGCAATGGTGGCTTTTTGATGTGCTTTGAAAGAGAATTTTGGGTTTGAATGATGAGGTTAGGATCAACATCCTCTGCCATTTTGACTGGAAAACAGATCAACATTCAATTTTAGATCATCTCACCTTAGTAAACAACTATAGTTCAGCTCGTAAAGAAATTATGCGAATCAACAGAAGTACCCACTTGATAAAGTTTACTAATTTTAAAAGAGGTACCTTAATCTCAACAAGGAAAAAATCAATGTTGAAAAAAGTGTGATGTTCAGTGATAACTTCTCACACTCGAGGAAGTGCCCATACCAAATTATTAGGTAAATTATCCAACTTAACCAAATTATCACTTTCCTTCAATTTTTGAACATCCCATTCATGAACTGCACTCGGTATTCTAACTTGGACCCCCCTCTTATGAATTTTATAAAGCAAGGCAAGGAACCATCTTATGAACTCTTCATAAAAATGTAGCCCAGGAATCTTTTCCTCTCAAAAAAGTCATTCAGTATCTGAATTTGAATTGCCATATAACAATCATCTATGGCCCCCTTTCACCTTTGCCATGCATTATAACGCAGTCAGGCGCTCTTTTCCCTCTTGCGTAATCCCTAAATTCTCTGGTTTTTTAAAGTTCTATTCATAATTGTTTTGTGATTTTTTTTTATTTGTTCGCAAATTGTGAATAATAATTGATGCCACTGTGAGGGGCTATTTCCTCGAAAATTGCGAAATCGTCTGTTTATAATGTCTATGTTGTTATTCAATGAACATTTTTTCGTTCACTATCATCAAATAAAATCAAGCACACCTTTCTAATCACAAATTTAAGGAAAATGCATATTTTCCCATGAAAATTGTAAAAAACATACACCTATGCTTTATGTACCATTTTACTTTAAAAAATGAAAACTCCGAGGCATAACAAAATTCAAGATTATTATGTGTACCAATAACAATGAGCCATGAATTAAACTTTGAAGGATATGCACTCCTTTATTTTTTACCAATGACAGGGTCTATGCAAAATGTTGATCCCTCTTGATTAAAATAACCCTGAAAAAATGCCCCTTTCATATTAACTTACCGCTTTGTTTTTCCCATACGTAGTAAGCCAGTCCTCAATCAGGAATTTAGTTGTCCTTCACATAACCTAATCCTTTTATGATCAAACTCATTTACCATTCATATAAAATTGTGTTTTTGTCTAGAAAACATTTGATCAAATGTTTTAATAAGTTGAATTTCATCGCTCATCTCTTGTCAATTTCTGAAACTCACAAAATGTGAACACTCAACTACTTAACCTAACTGGTAATTTAAGTGTAGACTAAAAAGTAAATGAACAACAACAATGAATGGGTACCTTAATGTGCTTTAAATCCATTATCCATTGTAGTAATGTGCTTCTCAGAAGGTGTTGATGTGTTACGCTTGGTTGAGCAAGGGGCAGGTGGAGGTTGTGTTGTGGTCTATGTTGCCATGACAACAGGGCAGGCAACGCTGCAGCTCATAAGTCTAAATACTCGCTTTCTGTCATTGTTTTCCTTTAAATTTTTCTTCCCAAATATTTTTTTCATTTTTACTTTTTTCATACCAATTTATCATTTTTTCTCACTTGAAAGAGAATACAAAGTACCAACGAAGACTGCTCCGCCAAATGTGGAATTACATGTTTCAAGTAATGTTTGCTTCAAAATCCAAACAAATCAAATCAAACAAATTTAGTTTTTTCCAATTTCATGGATGGATTTGTTCTAAACTTGCGGCCTTTTGTTTGTTTTAAATAGTTGAGACATTACCCTTTGGAGGAGTTGGAATGAGTGGCATGGGTGCCTATCACGGAAAATACAGTTTCGATACCTTCACTCATAGAAAAAGCTGTCTTGTCAAGGACTTCAATCCGTTGGCTGAATCTTTAGCTTCGTAAGTACCTTCAGCTTGTAATATATCAGTTTCATTTAAGTATAATAATGCATTAATCTTTTGTCCATGGAATTTTGAAAAAAAGTCTCGACATTTCTCCATTACTAACTTTAATAAACTGACCGAACAACGGTTGCTCAATTTAATAAATATCTCCTCCCCCTTACAACTGCAGTGATAAAATAATAATCATACCTTAAAGGAAGGATAGTTTTTCACTGTTTTCGACTTATCGTGTTTTTAAAATTTGAAGCTGCTGAAGGCATATCTGTCTTAGCGTCAGCTTCAGTTTGTGTCACAAAAAAAGATAAGTTTTATTGACTTTGTAAATCGCAGTTCGTAGTATTTATCAGAGGAACCTCTGTAATGATTATTATTTATCAGAGGAAGCTCTGTAATGATTATGTATGCAGATAGTATCACCTGAATACCAATTATCATTATCTGCTTTGTCAAATCTAATAAATTACAAAGTTTTTGATAGTTACCGAAAATAATGGAATATTACAAGTGCACGAATTCAATAAAATCAATTGTCTCTTTGCAATGGGATTTCAATCTCTTCCTATTTTGTACAGAAATTGCAGTCAAAGGCATTTCTTCCTTAGATCTCAAACTGCATTAGGTAGAATTCTATTTTTAAATCTCTATAATTTCTGTGCTTTTCGTTTGTTTCAGTGCACGATACCCACCATACTCTGAGAAAAAACTGAGTTTTATCTCCTTCATGATGAAACTTCCTGCTATCAAAATGACATATCTACCCCATGCCCTAATGTTTGGATTAGGTTTTGCTGCCTCTATTGGAATTAACTACTTACTCAAGGTAACTAATTGATTTTTTAATTTGGGAGTACATAACGTGTCTACGAAGCTTTTGGCATATTTTTGCAACTCTGATGTATTATGATCTAACAAGAAAATGGACTATCTAAGTTCAAAGGAAAATAAAAATGTTGGAAAAATTTAAGGAGTCTTCTAACCTCAAGGTCACTTCAATGTAAAATTGATCATCCTGTCGACAGTGGCAGCTATTATCAAAAGCTCTCAAACGGTATTTATATAAGTTATTATCTCTAAAGGTATTAAAGTGGTTACAAGCTCTTTGATACACAATGGTTTCAGCTAACAGGACCTGTAGGAAACCGTTCCCTAGCTATAAATACTTTAATAAAGATGCTTGTTTATTTTGTGGTAGAGGTTTTTATGGAATACGAATGAGGTAACATAATTATTGATTTTTTTTTGGGTCAGAAACTAAAGTTTGACCTTAAAGCATGTCTCAATGTAGGCCACCACTAACTAAAATTGCGGTTTAACTACCTTTTTTCTGCTCATAATTATCCGTATTATAAATTGCAAGATTCAGTGTATGATTAATCGCTTGCTGAGTACTATCATTTATCAAACGATGCTGTTTTCCCCAGACTATATATATGTGGGTTTGAGTTGAAACTTAAAACCTCTTGACCGTAGATTACATGAAACTTGATAGGTTTTGTCTATTTTAAGTCTCTTCTAACCCTAGAGGAAAATTGTGCATCTGATATACCTAGGTAATATGAGGCTTTGTTGGTCATGAATTGGTATTTGATCGCTAACATGCATGTGTGACTTAGAGGACGTGGTGCCTGTTGTACTTAGGTTAGGCCTGTTGGCACGATGAAAAATCTATCCACAACTAAGCTAATTACTGAAACCGAAATTCTCACTTTGGTTTTTTCTCTTCTCTTTGCAGACTAAGAGGCAGAATTTTTTGAAGTAATCATTTGACAAGTTTTTAATTTGCTGTTGGATAAATTCTCCAATGTTAATAGGTAATAGGTGCAATCATATTTTATTCTTGGCCCTGTTTTTTTAAACATTTTGGGCCTTTACAATATACGTTACAATAATTGCCTTTAAAAAATCAAATATTTTTTTGTTTTATCCAAACTAATGGTTTCTATTTTAAATTCACCAAAATATTAGATATATATTGTTGTTGGAGATTTGAAATTAAAATAAAAATGAAGAGCTGTCTCCGTGACACAAGTTTTTTTTATCATAGAAAAAACTGACGCCAAGCCTCAGAGCCAAGAATAGAATTGTGACCCAGATGAGCTGTAGTGGAATAATTTAGAAAATTTCATTAAACTGCTATGAAAACAAACTAAAGTGCTTCCTTTTAAATTCACCTGATTTTGGACTTTTACCCCCTTTTTCATCTTTTAAACTCTTTTCATCGGGTACTTTTCGTCAGCTGCAGTTGGAATGACGGTCACATTACTGTCCTTCGTAAAGTTGAATGGTTAACACTACAGATCTTACACTCAGCGCTTTACATACGAGATGTATTAAATTTAAATAATATTACTGTAATTAATAGTAACTATTGTTTGATTTAATCATCTAAAATTTAACATCTAACATTTTAAATAATAGGTTTCAAGGACTTTTAGTCTGTAACATTTAATAACAATTTTGGTGTGGGTTAGCTGTTTCCAAGTTGACTGTAATGCAAACTATGGAGTGGGTATTTTTTGCTAAAATGAGGATATTCATTTCACATTTTTTACTATTTATAATAGCAAAAAATGGAATGTTGTCCTCTCAGATTCTTTCTCACACCGCCTTGATCCTTTCAAATGGTAGATACAGGGCCAGTAACAGACAACTATATCTAGGTGCCTCAAAGAGCATGTTGTGGGTCTTGCATTTAAAAAACAGCACCAGTATTTTGCAGTGCTAAGGAAAAACACTGTATGAGCATTCAAATGTCATAAGATTTTCTCTCGGAAAAAATTTATTTTTGACGAAAATAATGAATATTTTTCCTTGAAATTTTCGGACCATTTAGGTCAAATTACGAACGAAATTCTCTGAAAAAATCGGAATTAAAATGTTTACAAATATTCCCGGAAATACTCAATTTCTCCTAAGAAATTTGGCTACGCCTAAAGACCCATTAAGCGTTTTTCCTTAGCATGGCAGTATAGATGCACCACAAACAGGTCTCCAGGCTGATTTTACTGCTTTTGAATGACGGTCTTAAATGCGGTTTCAAATGTATTATTTGGTGATTGTTTAACAGCATGAAAGTTAACTCGTAAAGCTTTGATGGGGCCAAGCTTACAACAAGGGACTGAAATGCTTCTCAGGTTAGTAGCTCTTGAATTGTTTGATAAAATGAGAGTGCCCAAGAAAGATGGGCAAATCCCCAGCTTAAAGCTGAATGCTTGTAATGGGGCTGCTGCGTTGTTTTCAAAATTCATTTTAGGAAACTACGCAAAAAATGCAAACGCATTACTTTCTAATTTAATCTTTAGCGGAGAAAACGGCTTTAATAAAAATCGCTGTAGTCCATACTATTTCAAGTATAAAAATATCATGCAAACACATTTTGTGATGTTAGGTGAGGAATGTCCGCAGTTTATCTTGGTCGATTATATGAACATGATCAGTCAAGCTTTTGTCATTTTATTCTCACTATAGAGGGAAAATCTCTTATAGAGTATAATTTTCTTAATGGAGTTTCTGATTAGATGTACGAGGGGCGTTCAATAAGTAAGTATCCCCCCTCTCTAAAATCCATAAGAATGGACCAATCTTAAAAAACTTGGGCTCAAAATCTTCCTTAGGATATTTTGAGTTCAACAAAACAAACCGCAACAAAATCGAACGATATGCGGCCGAACGCGAGCCGTTTGAACGCGCCGAGGTGCTCGACGCTCCCGCCGAATCTGCGAGGATTTGAAGTTCGCTACAGGAGAAGAGCTTCTCTGCCAAAGCCTCAGTCGTTCATCACTGACGAAAAATCAAAGAAATTTTTGTAGAATAAGGGGCTTACCTCACTTCTCCACATAACCAGCTCGATCCAAGCAAGTCTGATACTGAGACTAAGACTAAGAGAACAGCTTTTGGATGCCTCGTGCGTGGAAGTCTTTCAGCTGACCGCGGATGAAAGAGTGGACGGCTTGTTTGACCTCTTCCACTGATTCAAAGTTAACTCCTCCAAGTTCAGATTTCAGGAACGGGAATAAATGGTGGTCTGGTTTGCCATTTATTATCGTATCTGAAATCTGAACTCGGAGGAGTTAATTTTGAATCAGTGGAAGAGGTCAAACAAGCCGTCCACTCTTTCATCCGCGGTCAGCTGAAAGACTTCCACGCACGAGGCATCCAAAAGCTGTTCTCTTAGTCTTAGTCTCAGTATCAGACTTGCTTGGATCGAGCTGGTTATGTGGAGAAGTGAGGTAAGCCCCTTATTCTACAAAAATTTCTTTGATTTTTCGTCAGTGATGAACGACTGAGGCTTTGGCAGAGAAGCTCTTCTCCTGTAGCGGACTTCAAATCCTCGCAGATTCGGCGGGAGCGTCGAGCACCTCGGCGCGTTCAAACGGCTCGCGTTCGGCCGCATATCGTTCGATTTTGTTGCGGTTTGTTTTGTTGAACTCAAAATATCCTAAGGAAGATTTTGAGCCCAAGTTTTTTAAGATTGGTCCATTATTATGGATTTTAGAGAGGGGGGATACTTACTTATTGAACGCCCCTCGTAACAGGTGTTGCACCAAACAGCTTAATTCCATGAGGGAAATTATACTCTTTGGGAGATTTTCCTTCTATAGTGAGAAGAAAATGATAACAGCTTGGCTGATCATGTTTGTATAATCAACCAACTTGTGTGTATTGACTGTTGCGTCTCACTGCTTTGCTTTCGTAAATCTATTAGTCAGCATTTGTTTATTCAATTTCGGGTTACAATTGGAAAGGGAGGACCGTCCTCAGAATACAAAATCTGGTCGAAGTGAATGTTTTTAGAAAAATTTTCCTAGGACAAGGAAGCTGATTTGAGCTATTTCAAGTGCAGAAACCAATTTTTTACCAAAATTTACCCAAGAGACATCTACCTGCAAGAAAATTTCTGAATCATGCGATAGCTGACTTTACGAGATCAACATTTAATGCTCAATCAAAAATCAGTGAATTCAAACCTACCGCCAGTGAAAAAACCAAAGTCAAAGTAGGTCAAATTGGCCAATGAAGACGAACTTAACGTTCAGCAAACTACTGAATTCGAACTTTACATAACATTTTCTTTCTATTTCTGCCTCTGGTGCAATGGTGTATTTTCAGATTTGTCAAGGAAAATTCAGTACAGTAAAAAAATCAGTCCACCTTAAAAGACACTTATAGAAATTAGTATAGTGGCCAATGGGCCACTTAAAGAGGTATAAATTAAAGCGCCATGCAACACATCGTCCATTTTGAATTCCACAAGGGAAACGAATCTCACAAAGGCGAGTCTGGAATTTGACTAAAATATAAAAGTTCACAATTATCATTGGTTTAATGGCAAAAACACAAATAGCATCATGTGTTTAATCTAATTTCCATTTAGTCTGTGTCAAAAATTCTTGTCATTATCTTGTTCAGAAGTTGATTTCAAAATTTTAAGAAGGAAACATGTCCTGTGATGCTTGATTTTAAACTCTTGTCTCGTGGTCCATGGTAATATTTGGTATATTCCCGTTGCATAACTCTAATGTTTACACTCTTTGTGGTAAATGTGCTTTTTCTGAGGTTTCTTAAAGCATAACATTAATAATTTTATCAAATGAATTGTTTCAGATGACATCACAAGACGATTCTCCGTCCATTTGAGTTAAGTGAAGGACAATGTGCACTGAGACGGTGGTGTCCTTTTTTATACGTGTTAATTTGTAAGAATTTTTATCCGAGTTTAAACCCGGTGTTATAAAATCAAAACTAGTCTATGCGATGTGGTTTTACTACGAACTTAAATTTAAGTTACTTCTAAGTTTTTTATAAAATGATTTTCTTCTCTATTGTACTGGTTGATAATATTTTTAAGTTGAATAAATTGTTTTTTTTTCCAAAATTAATTATTTATTCCTTGTAACCTTGTAAATGCAAAATTGCATTACTAAAAGTCAATTGATATAATATGGGTCAACATTGCTGAAAATAGAATAAAATAACTGGGATGTGCGTAGATTTGGAGCACCTGCAGCCTTATTGTTGAAATTGTGTAACTGTCGACAGGACTAAGGAGGAATGGAGTTATATGATTGTTCTGCATTGTCAGTTGTCCTCTTAGTCATACCTATTTTGGGTGGCATCAACAACAAACTATCAGCAACATAAAAGGTGTTTTTAGGCTCTTGTTGATTCCATTCGATATAGAAATAACAAAGAGAACGATCAACAAAGCCGACCAATTATGCGATTCCTTTTCTGCTTAGTCTTGTCTTTTCCAGTGACAAGTTCTCAATTTCAACAATTTGGCCGTACTCTTTTTGTTCTTTGAAACTTTCCTTAAAAATCCCTGTTGGTAAAAAGTGGGTACATGAGTATAAAAATAAATCATCAAATGATTGTCTTTTATTTATGAAAATTTTAGTAATTCAGCTCGAATCAACCTGACATATTCAGTTACCTTCACTACTTTACAGGGCAAACTATATCAAACTTGGATGATAGAGATCTCTGATGGAATTAGATGCGATGGATGACGTGGCGGCAGTGGCTGGCCAGAAAAATACGAAGTCCAATTTTTTGATAAAATTTATTATTAACAAACAACTTTTTACATGCAAAAGGGATTAACATTTGATTTAAATACACCAAGTCACAGTATACATAATTGTAGTCATGACTTAAATCCCTCCGACATAATTTTTATATTTGCCACAAATGACCACTTAATGTGCTGTCATTAAAGAAAACTATAAACTAAAGAAATAATCCAGAAGAATCGTGTATACTAAAATGATTACAAAGAAAGTTTAAATTTCAAGTACATTGTTATCCAGAGGATGTAGGACTGAGGACTGGTGATGAAATTAGCCAAGTATATCGATGGCTAAATGTCAAAAAATGTGTTTATCAGATTGAGACATTGTCAGTCTTCGCTTATTTTTTTTAATAGGAAGCCAGCCAACAATTCTCATTGAAATTATCTGTGAATTTCCTTCGCCCATTCTATAAGAATGACACAAAATTGCAAGGAAACAATTGGATTGAGATACACATTTTCCGTACTTAGCTATCGATATGATCTAGACAAAAATAATTGTTTCTGAGAGTTGAATTTAAATTAAAGATAGAGCACAACTTGAGTTATAATATGCTTCCTTAAATTATATTTTTTCAAGAAAAGCAATCTCCTATTAACAGCATAATTGTTTAAATGAGATGACGGGATGAAGGATGAACTTAGTCTTCACTCAAATTCAATTTTATGATTTTACTTTTAATCTCTTAGATAATAGTACCATTTAAAACCAAAACATAGTATCACAAAATAATTTTGTTGGGTTTGTTCAATGAAATGGGAAAAAAGTGTCTTCATCATGAAAAAAGAAAATAAACTTAAATATTAATTTCCATTGCCTTCAAATGGAAAGTAATAACGTTGTCCTCCTGTTCAATAACAACCCATAAACAAAGTCCAAAAACTTCCTTGAGTTAGAATGACTGCCATTTTAGCACATGCATGGAGCCGTGGAAGTACAAGGGCAAAAACTTCAAACCAAAAAATTCAAGGAATGCAGAAAAAAACCAAGAATAGTGCCTTTCCCTTGGAAAATACACTAAAATCGGATCTCTTGAAATGGTTGCTGCGGTTGCTTCTTGGGTTTTTAGCATCGGAGACCCTCTTTCTCATCCGAGGCACATTGATTGGACTCATATGTGTTTAATAACAATCGGTTGGAAGTTGTTTTTAAATGGGATATTTAGCAATAAAAACACAAAAAAAACCCCCGACAACCATGGCATAATAATGGCTACAAAATTGTACAATTTTTACAGCCAGAGAAAGATACAAATTGACAAAACCCAACACTATAAATAAAATACTCAAATCATATACTGGTAAGTAATAAGTAACAAATGCAAAAGAAAGAGACTGTAATCCAACTAATTCTTGGTACTCGATAAAAATTGATGACGAGAAAGTGACAAAAAAATGGAGACAAATTTAAAGCTGCTACCTCTCACTGATGCAACTTTTAGTGAGAAGAGGATATGTACACAGTTTTGCTGAATGCAACCATGGAACACTCAAATTTCTACAGGACTTGACATGTGTACTTTTATATTTTTTGTTATTTCCATGTTATTATTAGTCTTCTAATAAAGAGCTAATATCAGATTAAGGGGTTGGAGAAAATCACAATTTTAGGGAGTTTGCCGGATGAAATAAAGGTCCTATTGAAAATTTGAATGCCAACATTTTTGTGGTGTCCAAAACATGACATTTTGGTACCACTACATGATAATGAGATGAATGAGAGAGTTTTGGAATGGTTTCCACGCTTACATGACAGATGATCGACTATTTACATAAAACTGATACCCTGAGAACGCTAGCGTGAAAAGGTATAAGCAGGCAGCTATCCAGCAGTTTTGGGCATTCTGGAAAAAAAGCAAAGAGGAAACATGAATACATCAAGCTTTATAATTAAAGTATGAAAAGGCGAAAAAAATTAGGAGTCACATTAGTAAATCGGTCAAAGAGGAAATTCCAGCACCTAAGTGCGGAGAAATTCTGAGTCATGATAGATTTGAAAAATACCTTGTGTATCAAGCACCAGAATGCAGTTACTTAAAAGTGCACTAGTGTCAATTTAGGTAAAATTTTGATCCATCTTTCATTTTTATGTTTGGATCACACTTAGCAAAAGGGAGCCAATACGATTTCAGTGGTGTGAAAATCATGCATCCTCGACTCTTCGTCAAGTAGTTCAGGTTTCACAACCAAAAAATTGTTAATTTTTAAGGAAATGGATGAATGGATCCTACACACAATATTACTGATGCATTTTTGAAAGGAAAGAAAAACCAAACTATTAGGTAGCTAATTAAAAGTGAAAACTTAGTAAAGGTATATTACAAATTTTGCCAACTACCATTGAGCAGACCAAATTAATTTTTTTGTGACGAAAAAGCACAACATTTTTTGAAATGGCCACAAGAAAAATACAGTCTCAGAGCCATTGGTTCATTAAAACAAACATTTTAATCTACCATTGAAAAACTGAGAGATTACAGTTCTTTTTACTCTAATAGTTCTTGGGTGAAAAAAAATAGGAGAACTTGTGTCCTGAATCATCCTTGGATTTATTGTGGAGCATCGTAAACGTGTGCAACTTCGAATGAGTGATGTATGAAAATCAACTCGGCAAGGGCAAAAACAAATATGCTGTTGGATGTAACAGGTTTTCAGCTATATAAAACGCTTGAGATCAACATAGGGTTATTTGAACAGCTACGATGGGGACATTTAGGGAACTTTTCGATCACGGCATATAAGCTGCAGGGACCTTTCAAAGTCATGTAAGAGTTGTTGTTAAAAGATTGAGAGGTAGGTGAAACAGCTCGTACCTGATAAGCAACTCATCAAATCTTGAATAACGTGAAAAGAAAGCAATAAAAGGAAAACTCACCAAGGTGAAGCCTTTATCAACTTCCGCATAGAATTCACCCGCACTGTTATACTGCTTATTTTCCGGCATTGGTAGATCTTCCATTAGGGCAACAGCTCTGACATAGTAAAAGAAACCCATCAGCACCTGAAATCAGAATCATACAATCATAAAGATATTTTGCAAGTCTGCAATTATTGATGGATTAATGACTATCAAACCATTCTCATAAGTGCTGAAGATCCATTTTGAAAGGAAAGCAATGACACAGATACATTCTTGGTTGAGGTGAATTATCGTTTCACCAAGACTAGAGTTCAGTCTGCTCATTAGAGTCATTACTTTATAAAGCTCTAGCTGGGTGATAGTGAGAGAGGCTGGTGAGAATTTTTTTCAAGCTCATGAGGTTGTTTAGCTACAGCCTTCCGCTTGATCTCTCGAAGCATTGAGGCGCATTCACACGGCATGCCAAGCTGCTTGTCAGGCCACCTGACATGCAGCTTGACAAATCCTCCGACAAACGTGCTTCACGGTGAGAATAGAAGATTCTTCAAAGGAGGGCTTGTCAAATGGTCTCCACCGGCCTGTCAAGCAGCACATCAGGCAGCCTAACAAGCAGCTTGGCATGCCGAGTAATCGTGTCTTGGGGTGTTTAGAGGGTAGTAAAGAATACATTGAATAGTCTCAGAGTGCTACTACATTTTCTTTTTATCACTTCTGTTTAATTTGCTGACTGTGCCACTTTTTATCTAGAGCAGATCGGACAACAGGTCATCCACAAAGCAGTCTGCAGAAAATTACGGGAGATATTGACGATATCTGGAGCAAACGCAATGACATAGTTGAGTTTAATTATACCATTCTGTGTGCTTCATCACTTCATACGAGAATAAAATGTGTGTTTCATTGTATAATGTGGCTCATATAATACTAAAATTGGTTTGGATACTTGGCTGATGTTACGACCCTCATTCTATGCTGACTGTAAACACAGTAACCACCCCTGTGATGCTGCGGGTCAACTGCCATCTCTTCTCCTTTGGATTTTCACAAAAACTGTTCAGATTAAATCTGTTGTCAGTGCTAAAGAAGAGGGTGCCCTAAAGGGCCTACATGAAATGAAAATATTTCCTGGGAATTAAATGGGAACCGAAATCTATGAGTGAAAACAGTCCAATGCCATGGACGGCCATAATGATCCTGGTTCAGAGGGAAAAATTGACTTACCAATTGGATTATTCCCCAGATGCTGATGACTAACCCACACAGAGCTAATTTCGGGCCGCAAATTTTCATGTTGCTAAACTATAAGAGATAATTAAAATAAGAAAATAACTAGTTCAATATTTGTAATCAGGACCTGCCCAGCCTTATCAAATGAAGATAGCTGTCATGTGATCAGGGCAGAGATTATAGAAACTCGATTCCTGTTTCACGTTCCACGTTTATAGGTCTCCGTTCCTTCCATTCTTTCGGATTCCTTGACGATAATCTTTGAAATGATAACATAACCACAAAATCACATGTTTTCCCGCGAAATTTCCATTGTGTACAATCTTTCCTCGATTGATTGTGCATTGTGCGCTCTCGTGCCTTTTAGTGAACTTTCAATTATATTTTATCAATTTTTTCGCTATTTCTCGAATTACATACATAAACCCATCAGTAAACGTTTATCAGTTCAGTTTATTCAATCAATCTCTTCTTTCTACTTTGTTAGTGCTCCATAAAGTTCCCGAGAGATGGATGCCCCTTTCAACGACTTGGATCAGCGTTTGCTGGATTATCAACGTGAATACTTGGATTTTATCGATGATGAGGTCAGTATCGCAAAATATTTACGCCAGTTATAGTATAAACACTACTGATGGCCATTTGAAGTTATCATTAAACCCTAGGGACTGTCAGTGTCCTCAGAAAAGGAGCCTTAACCATCAGCAAGTTTTGAGATCCAACATCTTCGTAATGCCAACTACTCAACTGGCTCACAACTTGGGATTGATTTCCTGCAACTAACCGTGAGAGAAAGGACATGTGTACTTAAGCTATGACGCATTAGTAAGCTTGTCATGCAACCATCATTTCCAAACCTATTCAAGAATCCCATCCCTTCAGAAGCTGAGGTGTAAGAATATTTTCCCATCACCAGTACACCTACCGCAGGTGTTATCTTGTGATGCCTGTGCATGATGAACACACCAGTATCACAAAGTCCCCAATAATCCTGAGCTCTTCTCTGCTAAGTACAGGAGCAAGACTCACGATCAGTTGATTCTCAGGCCTTTTTGATTCATTACTTCGCTACGGACGGATCTTGACCTGTAGATTAGGTAACTTTGAAAGTCTCTTGAAAGAACGGTACCTCTACTTTTTATTTTAAAATATAGATTAGGAGATCAGTTTTCCCTCAAGCAGTATTTTCACTGAAGCGTAAAGTGGAATCCCCGAAAAGCTAAGGAAATACACCCATCTTGTCAAACAGAGAGAGGAAGGAAGACTGTAAGTGGACGAATTAAGAAATGTTGATATGCCACCAAATAATAGGCTTATACGCTCCTCTGTCACTAATCATCGGCTATTTTTGGTATATTTTTCAGGAGGATGAAGGAATTTACCAGAGACGCGTGAAGAACATGATTGAAGACAAAAGATGTCGATTGGTTGTGAATATCAACGATCTTCGACGAAAGAATCCTGCCAGGGCTGCAGCGTACGTGTTTTTCTTTTATTGAATTCATTCTTTATCTCTCTACCCTATAAACTGTAAAACATTTAATTTCAAACACTTCTTGAAGATTTGTTTTAAGAAAGTCCTAGGAAGCAGTTTGATAATATTCCTTTAAGTAAGTCGATTTAGCTTTACGAAAAAACCAAGTATTTACTGATGAAAGCAAGTAATTCATCATTAGTAAACTAACAGAAGTTACCTCAGTACCTGTGTAGTTTCATTGATTAAAAAGGCACAATTTTTTTAAATTTGACTCAATTCTAATTCTTTGCCTTCACTTCTCTATCGACTCTTATTCTATTCTCAATTCACTTGTTCAACAAATTAAAAAAATAATGAGGATCGGAGGAATACAGATGAAGAGAAAGTAATTGAGAGGAAAGAGAATAAAGTGAAATATGGATAAAAAGATAAACTTTATGAGTTTATGAGAGAAATTAAGTCAGGAAAGACAGTCTTCCACCGTCCACGAGGATTTCCTCCATGGATGGAGCCCATCTCATCTTTCACTAAGTACTTTCTTTTGCTGTTAAATGTCACTAGTATCTTTTCATGTTTCATCTACCTATTTTATTCATTTCGAGACAAGGACAGGAGGTGGAGAATATCAAATTAAATATTAAAATGGATAATGGTCAAATCAACGCAGCTGGCGATTTTCATTCCCTTCAGATGATAACCTAAAGATACGATTTTCCTCCTCCTCACTTGTTAAATTTTTTTTTTTAAATCTTACTGTTACCTATACATTTACTGTAAGATACATACAAAGGTAAATTTAGCTCTAATATATATACCAGACAGAATCGAGGGATTTTTTCTAATATTTTTTTTATCACTCCCTGATTAACTACTTCTTGATGATGGTCATTTTGGTTGTGAATTTTATTTATTCCTAGTTTTGATTTAAAAACCTTTTTTAAAAATCAGGTCGTGTGATGTTTAATTTTTGATTTCAGTGTTCTAACTAATACATTTGAGGAGCAGCTTGCATTCCAGAAAGCTTTGAAAGAATATGTATCAACCATTGATCCTGTGTATGCGAGTGAAGTAGAGGACTTCTACATAGCGTTTGAGGGTAGCTTCGGTAACAAGCATGTTACTCCTCGTACTCTTTCTGCTCGTCTTTTGGGCTGTCTAGTTTGCGTGGAAGGCATTGTTACCAGAAGTAAGTTTTCTCTATTATTTTTTAGTGTTATTGATACCTTTCAAGTCACCTAATAGATTTTGATTTAACTTGAATGATCCATTCCTAGAGAGGCATGAGTTTAGTTGCATTATTTACTCATAGAGCACCTGTGAAATTAATTGTTCAAGGTTTCGAGCAATTTCTTTTTTGGACATTTATTTTGGTCTTGTCATGCTCAAGATTTTGGCTATCTCCTCAAAATTGATCATCATGCTAAAAAAAATTGTGCTGGTTTTTATGTGTGATTTCTTGTCTTCCAGGCTCTCTCGTACGGCCAAAAGTTGTGCGCAGTGTTCATTACTGTCCTGCCACCACTAAGACTATTGAAAGGCGGTACACTGATCTGACATCATATGATCCATTCCCGAGTGGTGCCACGTATCCCACCAAGGTAATGTACAGAAGGTTTTAATATTTTTCTTTTGATGCAGAACAATTTTTACCTCACCTCTCTCACTTGCAATTTGAATAAGATAGGTAGCTGCTAAGTTGTGCAAGTTGTGCTCAATTTGTTTTAGGTTCGGTTTATATTTTAAACAATTTTTCATCGTTAAGAGGAGTAAAAAAAATCTTCACTCATTTCTCTTTTTTAAAGTATATTTTTAAAAAATTCTAGTTTAAAGTGATCAATTTGCAAGAATTGAGCAAATTGAAGCGGAATAGCCACAAGGCTATTAAACCACAATTTAATTTGTCTAAAAGGTAAATTTCCTAGTTTTAGGTTCGAAAGTTTCTGTAACTCCTCGCTTTAGCTGTGATAACTTGCATAATTAGTGCCCCTTCAAGAAAAATAAATACAACTGAACTTGTCATGCTGGGAATGTATCTAGAAATTATGTCCACTGATTTGACAACTGCAGGGGTTATCAAGTATTTTTCAAAAACATTACGTAAAGCAGTATTTTTTCAAGTGTCTTTCTTTGATTCTTAGGATGAAGATGGTAATCTTTTGGAAACCGAATACGGAATGTCTGTGTACAAAGATCACCAGACAATTACAATTCAAGAAATGCCTGAAAAATCACCTGCCGGTCAGCTACCCCGCTCTGTCGACATCATTTGTGACGGTGATCTAGTCGATTTGTGTAAACCCGGAGATCGGGTTCAGATCGTCGGAAATTTCCGTTGTCTACCAAACAAACAAGGAGGCTTTACAAGTGGAGCTTTCAGGTATTTATGCAGCTCATTTAATGTATTTAGGGTGGTAAAAGTTAGGGGAAAATAAGGAAGAACAAGACATTTTGAAGGGAATCCCTAGACTCAGCTCTCAGCTGAGAATAGAGGCTTCGTTTCAAAATTGATAATAACTTGTCGTAATCTCATCAATTACCCTCAAATTTATTGCTTCACATAAGAAGGCATCCCAGGCACAAGCAGAGATGACACATACAAATATTGACAGTCGTATCTGTAATTGCAGTGTTACTCTCTGTCTGTGGAAAGGCAATGACAAGTTGTCATTGCCTTTTCGATGCTCAAATTCTTCAAATCTTTTGAATTTGTCCATTGCTAGGGTGGTGGTATTGACTACTTCTTTGTTGGTCATGCCAAACCAAAACAGTCCTCTATTTTTAATAGGAAGTTTTACTTGTAAAGTTGTGCAACACTGGTGCTGTCTGCGGGTCTTCCATGGAACTAATTGTGGAGCACTAGTAAATAATAGGCAGCACAAACCTTTTGGCTATCGGCAGAAATCTTCGTTTGAAGCACCTGAATTTTGCCGTTTTTCTGTGCGCATAGGCCAAAGTTGAGCTACATTTCGTTGGCAGGGAACACATTTAAGGAAATTATCATTTCCCTGAACATTTTACAGAAATTCTTAAGTGAATCTTTAGTGTACGGCGTCTGAATCACCAAATCGATCTGTGCATGGTATCAGTACAGGTATTGGTTAGGGTCACATTGTGTCTTATTCTTTAACTGTCGATGGAGATTTTTCTGAATATTTGTTTCTCTTTTCTTTTCCCAGAACAATAGTCATCGCAAATCATATTGCACATCTCAGCAAAGAAGCTCAAACTTTTATTGTTCGTGAAGATGTACTTCACTGTCGTAAGTTAGCAAAGAGGAAGAATATTTTTGATTTGCTGGCACATTCGTTGGCCCCATCTATTCATGGACATGAGTATATAAAGAAAGCCATTCTGTGTCTTTTACTTGGTGGCGTTGAAAAAATCTTGCCAAATGGTACACGCCTAAGAGGGTAAGTGACTTCATCGGAAACATATCTGTTACTCTATCTTCAATGGATAAAAATTCAGTTTTGCCAAATTTTAAATTTAAGTCTATCAAACATTCTTAGTGCATGGCTAAAATTTAGCTGTCAACTTCGGAAAGATGTTCTGTTACATTCTAAAATTGTTGTATTAAATACAGGGGAAGTAAATTATTAAATCTGAAACAATTCAAAACTATTCTGTAATTTAATTTTTTAAGTGAATCCTCAGAGTTTGCGAGGCTATTTAAAGATTCAAAATACCATCATGTTATGATAACTCCCGGAAACTTGTCTCTGAATCTGATTGTTATCTTCGATCAAATCTGGCAATAAATTGCAAAAAAGTATTGTGTCATTCATCATTCATTTGCAGGTAGAGTTGTGGTATTTCAATATTGTATCATCAAAATGACATAAATGAAGAGAATCTTTCAAAACTAAAAACCTGAATATTTTCTGTTACCATGACCTATTTTTATTGCGAAATTGATCCGGAAAAAATCCATCATGACTCGCTGTTCCCCTAAAAACTCAGAACTGTTTTTGATATTAACTACCTGTTATTTCTTATATTTTCAAATTATTTCCATCCTCCTGATCTAAAAAAATTGCTACATTTTTCAAGGATGAAATGGATATTGATTTCATTCTCTTTGTGTCGAGAGTGAAATGAAGAATCACCCTCTAGGAAAGCTCTTTTCTTAGCACAAAGTTGAATATAATATGGTTTAGCTAAGTCATCCGTTTACTTTATTTATTTAGCCAATTAATTTTTTTTATTTTAGTGACATAAACATTTTGCTAATCGGAGACCCTAGTGTGGCCAAATCGCAGTTGCTGCGGTACGTCTTGAATACAGCACCACGCGCTGTGACAACAACCGGTAGAGGAAGTTCAGGTGTTGGTTTGACTGCTGCTGTAACAACAGACAATGAAACTGGAGAAAGAAGGTAAAAATGATATGTTTTTGCAGCCAGAACCACGTAATGAAGAAAAAATGGACTGTACAAAAGTTATTCAACAAATTTTGAAATAATTTAGCTTGTCTTCACAGCCATGAGTTGTTGAATTTTGCCCTCAGTTTTTAAGTTTCTAACATCCACTTAAATTGATGAGCCAGTTTCCTCGAAATTATATCTAAAATATTCTGCTAAAGAGACAAATACACTCCCACTGGAATTCTACGATACTCTTATGATCTCAGTGACACCATAATTAACGTTTGTCAAATAAAGAACTGGAAATCTATGGAACTCCAGACCTAAAAAATTTGTAAATTTCATTAATATGAGCACTTATAATCAGTTTGTTTACTCCACAATTACATTATTTTTTCCTTGCTTTATTGTTCAGGCTTGAAGCTGGTGCCATGGTTCTCGCCGACAGGGGAGTGGTTTGCATCGATGAATTTGATAAAATGTCGGACATTGATAGGACTGCCATCCACGAAGTCATGGAACAGGGTCGAGTGACAATCTCCAAAGCTGGTATCCATGCTCGTTTGAACGCCAGATGTTCTGTCTTAGCTGCTGCTAACCCTGTTTATGGAAAAGTAAGGACATACATTTTTTTATACATGTAAGGTGTAGCAAAAACTTTAGAATTAACATTCTGACTGTGTTCAAATCAGTGACAAATCGAGGTTACAGTGTAGATTAGTGTCCAATTTAGACCGTTTTACTTTAATTAAAAAGTTTAAGTCTCAAAACTTCACTGAAGAAAAAGTAGTGGCACCAGCAGATGTCATCATTTAGTTAACACATTTTCTGCCATGGAGTTTTTGTAAAATTGTTCCTGTCAGGCCGGGAAAACACGCAGAAAAGTGATGAAATTCAAATACTTCAAACTGAGGTTATACCTAATTGCTCCCATGCTAGTGCTTCCCATTGATTACAGGTGTAACTAGTTCTTTTTAATTAATCCTGTAGAGGACCTTCTGACCGCCTTTTATCACACCATTAAGATGAAACCGTGGCATATGAAACCTGGTCATTGTGACTGCTTTGGACTGGCGTGAGTTACAAAGAAGCTGTTATTATGACTGGGCCTAACGGTGGGTGTGTTAAAGCAATCTCCTAGAAATCTATCCTTACAATGGAGAACCCTTTTATTTTCACGCTCCAATCTGTGAAAGGCTGTATTCTTTGCAGTCGAATGTTTCAATTTTTAAGGCACTGATCCTTCTGATCATGACTGTTGATTTCTCTTGTACTTTTTTTGGAGCTAATATGATTAGGGTTAATATATTGTTTGTTTCTCCCTCATCCCTGACTTCCCTTTTTTAACATTATCTTCATCAAAAATTGAATTGAATGAATTGATCAAATTTTTTTATTTTATTTTTTAGTACGATTCCTTCCGTACGCCCATGGAAAACATCGGTCTTCAAGACTCATTGCTCTCAAGATTTGATTTGTTGTTCGTCATGCTGGATAAAATTGATGTCGACCATGATAGTATGATCGCTGATCACGTTGTGAGGATGCACAGATACAGGTGAGGAGTTAGATCTAAAACAGTATTTTTTATTAAGGTAAGGGAAGGGAAAAGGGTAAAAAACGATCTACTTCTGCTTTCACATCAGAGTTAAAAAGCAGGTAAAAAGAGAAAGGAGAAAAAAGTAGAAAAGAACTCTGCCTTTAAGTCAGTTTGATTGCATCAATTGAAAAATTGACAGCAATAATGAACAGATAATTTTTGTTTGAATATGTATTCTGAATAGTCCAGTCAGAAAATAGTAAGACTGTGGACCTCTAACAAATTCAAACTAAATAGCTGGTTTGGATTCAGTTAAATTTTAAATGTTTTAAAAAATAATTTTCTGGATCATTCTAATCATTCATCTTCATTTTAGGAGTCCCAATGAACAAGATGGTGAGGTTCTACCCATGGCCACTGATGCAGACATGCTGAGCACATACGATATCAGTGCTGAAGAGGAAAACACTGCTATTTATGAGAAGTATGATGCAGTCCTTCACGGAACCACCCGATCAAAAACGTAAGTTTTTCATTTATAAAATCAATGAACTCCTTCATAAAGTTGTGTTGATTTACATCCGTGTGATCATATAAAGAATCACCTCTTGTAGTCAATATAGCCTCCTCAGTATACTAATATCTGTATACTGAAGGAGACAGGTTGTAATGCTGAAGTACGAAAAGCCAGTAGATTAAATGTGGATACATTCAGAAAGTTGGAGCTAAATGCTCCGATTTCAGAAATAGGATGGCCAAAGCCGAAATCAACCTGACTACACTATATATTGCCTGATTTCCTCTTTTGCTTAATTATTTTTACAGAAAACTCAGCAACTTTTTCCCTTGAAATTTTCTGAGAATATTCTTTGTGATTCAGAAAAAATTCAAGAAAATTTCAGTGCATTTACATTATTTTGTTTTCTTAAAAACAATATCAATAGAAGAATTATTAGGCAACATGAAGTGTACTCCATTTTGCAATTAGGAACCATAATTTCTGGCTCAGTTTTAAAATAACGTATGCACTATTAGCTTCCATATAGATCTATGTGTTTTACAGATGAGTATAGAAAAAATTAGTCCCCGTTTGAAAAATGTAGTTCAAGTGAAGTTCAGTTGATTGTGATCAATGCCGTTCTCAAGAAGGTCCAGTGCAATAGTTCGCAAGTGATTCTTTTGCGATTTCAAGGGAAATAATATATTTTTCGGTAAAGAATTACATAAATGATCATAGCCTGTAATAATTGCAAGTTAGCAGAGTGAGACTGAGAAAGAAGCTCTGTTTTCCATTTTTAAAATGAAATGCTGTGAGAGTAGCGCCATGTGGTTGAACTAATGAATACTTCTCATTTTTTAAAGATGTATGCAAACATATCCATGTCGTGAATCCTTCATTTGTCAAATTTGTCGGTTTACTCATGAGTTTTTTTTAAGTTGACTCGAGTGAACTGCACTCTTTGAACAACGCTCATGTTTCAATACCTACTTTGTTAGTTTTAAACAACAAGAAAACAGAGAAAATCGTCCGCTTTGTTCTAGTAAATAAATTTTACTGAACAACTTCAATAGATTTGGGGCGAACCGACAAATTGTCAAAGAATTCCCGCTCCATTCTCTTCATCAAATCAGTAACCAAAGAGATGGCTTTAATTCATCTGACAAACGAATTATGTAGCTCACTCTGTTTCCTCAATCAGAGTTTGAGGCAAGGTCGCCCATCAAGGCATGTGCTGAGATGGTTTGTTTAATGCTCTTTTTTTTTTTTTTTCAAAGAAAACACTCAATGTTCTGCTAACATTACCTCTCTAATATCCTGACTCTTTCATCTATTTTGCAACCCCCTGTTCTGATGCAATGTTGATTTTTTTTTTGCAGCGATAAAATTTTCACTGCCAGCTTCATGAAAAAATACATTTACATCGCAAAAATTCTGAAACCAGTACTCACCCAGGAGGCATCAGAGAAAATCGCCGAAAAGTACTCAAGGCTTAGATGTTTGGAATCTGTATCCGGCAATGAAGCCAGGGTAATTATAAATACTATTTTTTAGCAACTAATAAAGCTTTTCCCCTAATGATTTTGGCATTTGCCGACTCTTGCATTTAGTTTTTTTGTTTGAGCCTTGTATTCTTTGTTATGGATGCTAACCTCATGTTGATATTTATATTAAAAATTTTGATGACCTCAGAAATTTAAACTCTAAAATGGTGGAACTGTTTTTTACAGCTTTAAAAATCTTCTAAATTACAGAGAATGAATTTTTCGATAAATGACCATTACTGCATGCTTACAATGCAAATGTTTGAATTATACAACAGGAATGCAAAGAACATTGCTTGCAAAAAATTTGTTCTTTTCTCAAGCCAGTCAAAGTAGCACCTGAGTGCTTTGGTTTTGAATTTTTCTAATTTTGCCTTTTTCTCTGTCCTTAGACGCAACCTGTAACCGTTCGTACTTTAGAGACGCTGATTCGATTATCAACTGCTCATGCCAAGTGCCGTCTATCGAAAACCATTGATGCTGTTGATGCAGATGTAGCTATTGAGTTAATCCAGTTTGCTCTATTTAAAGAGGTAAGCAATAGGAGATAAAAATTGAATACTGATTTTTTTTTTTTTCAGTAATTTTCAATATCTTGAAAACTCCTTATAAAATACGAGTAATATGTTCTATTAATAATCTCAAGTATTTTATTTAAATTATATGGAACTAGATTTGGCAAGTCGGGAATATTAAGATTCTTGATGTTTTAATCGATTGAGTAGTATCGTTTATTTATTAAAATTTTAAGTTACGATCAAACAAATGATTTATTAATTAATGAATTATTAATTTATAATTCAAATGTGTTTTTTATTATTATTAAAATCAATATGTAGGAGTTTAAAACGTATTAAATTGATTATAAGTAAGTTTCACCCCTGACTTTTTTGTTGGTAGCAGAGGAACAGGTTTGTATCCGAGCGGTTTATAGAAAAAATTCAACCAAATTTGTATCTAATCTCCAAAGTTGGAAGTTTCCGCACCAATTGGTCTACATTTTGCAATTGGGAACTACTATTTTTTGCTCATCCATAAAAGCTCGTTTTTGCATAGGAAAACTAACAGAGGAGCTCTTGTTGTTCCTAAATTGAGTTAGAAATAGTAGTCCTTTATCGCAAAATGTAGTGAAAGTAGTCCTTGCATTCAAATGATCCAATTAGAATCCTATTTTTTTTTCTCCGAGAAGGTGCAGTCATACTATGAAATTTGTCATGCAGGGTTAGTTGAATGTATGCTCTGCTCTGAAATTATGCCTTTAAACTCATGGTTGATGCAAAGGTTATAACTTAAGTTTAAACTTGAGGTTAATAATTAGGTAACTGGCATTTATTTCCATAGTCTTACAGTGGAAAATTACACCAATCTCTCGACTTAAATTCTTGTTCCAGGTTTTGGAAAAACCAAAGAAAAGCAGACGCGCAGATGACGGTGATGATAGTCAGGCTGAAGATGATGATGATGATGAAGATGGTGGCAGTAGCAGACGAGGCAAGAGGACCCGCTCAGACAAGAGCAAAGTAAGAATGCTTTTTTTTTTCAATTCCTATGCGACTGTCCTCAGCTGTGCTGTCTAATTTCTTCTGATTACATGAATAGTTCGTTTTGCATTAGAAATGCTTCTTTTCTTGTCGGAAACTCAAGATTTGGAGTTAAATAAAGAAATCTAGAACAGTCAAAAACTGTAATAAGTTAAACAGTTCACTCATTTGTTGCAGCCTGCAATCTTGTAAAACTTTATAATGCCTTGCCAGAAAAAATTAAAAAAATTGAACACCCACCGGAATTTACAATTACTATCAAAAAATTCTTCAAAGATAAGGTATATTATACCACAAATGAACGTTTAGAAGAAAAATGGGTTGTTTAACATTGTTGTACTCTCTGTTAGTTTATGCACCGTGGTACTCATTGTTAGCTCTGTGATTTTGCACTTTGACTTTGTATTCTTTTTTATACTGCAAATTGAAAGTGGAACTACAAACTATTCTATTCTATTCTATTCAGCCAATCACTGATTATTTTTTATTAATTCTTCTAGGAAAGAAGCGAGTACGATTTCTCAGATGAAGATGAGCCAGCAACGGCTACACCAAGGTCAAAGAGGCAGCGTAGAGATCCCGAGTCGCAGCCAGAAACAACAACAACATCTCAAGAGCCTGCGGACGTTAGAGAAGCTGTCTTTGATCAGCCTGCTACAGAAGCCCCTAAATTACCTGAGCCCACAGCTATTTCAAACGACAGGTTTGTCAGATCTCTACTTAGTTTTTGGGACGTGGTTATTTGTTAGTGCTGCATTGATGAATTAAATTTTATTTGGTGGTGCTGTATTGATAAATTAAGTTTGTTTGACAGACACTACTTATTTGTCGGTGAAACACTCATTCAATAGACTTTTTAACCAATGCAAGAACAAATATTGGAATGATGGTTTACATGATCCCAGCCGGTTTCTGCAAGGAGACAAGCACGCAACATTTGTGGTACATTGTTAATGCCACCCAAAAGAATTCTATACATGCTGATTTAAGCTTGAACTATCTAGACCGATTTGTGTGTCAGATGACCTGAATCATTTACAGTTGCCAGGGATTGTAACATCAAAGAAATTTGTGAGGAATTTGAAGGGAAAGTTTCTCTGGTATTTTTTTTTTATTGAGTGCCAAGGTGCTCCATTACATTTGTTACTATGTATTTGTGATTAAAATAAAGGGCGGTGGCGAAAAATTTAGGTGATTGGATGGTCTGCCCTAATGAGGAAATTGTTGATGAATTTTCAATGTCATTTTTTCTACAATTATCAATTGATTTTGTAACTTGGTATGTTTTGAAGACCAAGCCTTGGGAAATGAAGACATTTTTTTGGTACAAATTTTCCTGTATCCAGTAATTTTTTTTGCTGATTTCTAATGAAATCAAAATGATGAGGTTTGACTTGCTTGGGAGACTTGATGTTTTGAAAGTAAACGGTCATTTTTTGACTATTTATGTCATGAATGCTACTTTTTTGTTAAATTTTGCTCACTGCTCATTGAGCAAATTGATCTATCACACATCTCTCGTTCCAAACTTTATCTCACTAACTTCAAATATGATACTTATGCTTAAAGTCTCCCTCAAGTATAGACTGATTTAGTCACTATGTCATTCAATATATTTGACGGTTCCTCCTAGAACAAATGAACTCTTTTGGTATTGATCGTTTTGCTGCATCTTTTGAGAGGAGCACAACTTGATGGCGATATATTGAATAGCCTAGCCTCTAAAGCCGTCTTTTGTTTTCAACGAAATGTCTGCATCATGTACTTTCAATGTGAGTTATGACTGTCTTGTTAATCTAAGTCAAATTTTATGTTCGTAGGTTGAAAAAGTTCAAAGGTGTACTAGCTGACACCTTCCGTCAAGAAAGAGCTCATACCCTGCCTTTCACTCGCATTATGCAAGCGCTCAATCATCCTAATGAACCACAGCCTTTTGCTCCTGGTGAAGCAGCCGCTGCCATCGTTCGCATGACTGACGATAATCTGGTTTATCATACCGATGGAATTGTTTACCTCCTGTAAGATTCCTGAGCAAGGATCTCTTGTACCTAACTTATTTTGTAAGTGAGAAAACTCTGCATGAAAATTGATGTTTAGTGTCAAATTGGCTGTGCTGAAAAATATTCAGTATGAACTTTTGGATGTCGCCTACTAACTTCTAATATTCACATTTATTGGCAACTTTAGGGTTTTCCCCTTGAATTTTGCAGAGAATTTTTATCATGATTGAAACTAGTGTTACTGAAAGTTTTAATGAAAAATATTCACAGCTTCTCTGAAAAATAAATCTTTTACCGGCAGAAATCAAAGTACCCAAGTTGGAAAATTATTGCCATGTATGTCACTCTCCGATTGATTAACTAGTCCTAGTTTTCCATGGGGCTCTCAAGGAGCAATAAAAACTAAATCTGATTTAGAGATATTTGCATTTTTGAGGGAGAAGAGATTGTTTCTTGTTGTCGAAGTGAAATTCTTTGAAAGAATATCCATCCACGTCTGTTTAGAAATTATTTCAGAGGTTGAAAACTAAAAGATTCTTGTGTGTGTAGAACTACATTGCAATCATTTGGCTAATATTTGTCCCAAACTAGGAACGAGGGGGGCTTTAAAAGGGGAAAAATGGCAGAACCAATCAGAGAGCAGTGCAGTTTCTCAGTAGTACAAGGATTGAGATGGCAATAATCTACTTTCTTGGGCACCTTAGGAAAAATTTGGTAACATTCGAAAGTTCAAGCCACACTCTTCTTTAGCACAGCAGAACTCCACATAGCTGATCGTCTAAAGTTCAAAGCCTTGCAATATGCTTGGTGGAGGCTGAAAAGAAACTGTAGTTAATAAGTCAGCATCCAGATGTAATAACAGTGTAGCAATGCGACGGTGTAAGTCGGCAATCACATAACTCAGTTTGCCATGTTGCAGACTTCCTGTTATACTTTATTTTTAAACGGGAAACTACTCAACGGCAATTCTTTAAAACTGCCGTGATTTTTCTTCTCTGTGTGAAGAAAATTCTGCAAAAAGGCAAAAACCTTAAGGAATGATGTCAATTTATTCTCCTTTTGAGATATGTGATTGCGGACTTACGCCGTCAAATGGCTAATCTTGTTCTAATTTCAAATTTGCATTAAGTCTGTACCTCTCTAAGTGCCACATTTTGATACAGTTCATTGAGTTGTAAGATAAGTTGTTTGAAAACTTCAGTTTTAAGTATCACCGTTTCATATCAGAAAATCTTAAATGTTTTAACTGTATTTTTGTACAATAAAGTTTTTTAATCAAATTTTATTACTTGTCTAAATTTTTTTCATTTGTTTGTTTTTAAATTTAATTACATGCAATGCTTCATCCTCACGGGCGTACTTTCATCCAACTATTTTTAATAACTGTAAGTGATAAAAATGATGCGAATAGGAATGGGTGAGCATTCAAAAGATCAAAAGTACAAATATTCTGTTTACGTTTTATTTACACAGACATTTAATTAGTTACAGGCAAAAAATTAAAAAATGATGATAAAAAAACCTACCTAGAAAAAAAAAAAATAAGTGTTAAATGTACGATTGAATCTTTTCGGTCCGTGTCAACAGACTGTTATACCCTTGTGCAGGAGAAAATATGCTTCAATTTGAAGATATTTACATAGAGAAGCATCTTAAATGATTACATCACACATTGTATTTAGTCATGAAAATGAATGAAATAAAATTCTTCCTGCGCTTGAAATTAACATGATCACATGACTAACTGCTGAATTCATCTTCTACACAGAGATGGCGCAGTTGAATAGAAAATCTTTCTATTTGAAGCTTACATCAGTAAATTTCAGATGGACGAGAAAACAAACTAATTTTAAGCTTAGAAAAATAAAAAAAATTCTTAAATTTCACAATACATTAAAAGTGTCGAACTCGGACAGATGACAGGATGATGAGACTGATGTTCTAACAAATGCAATGGCTTCGTTCACTGAGTGTACATCTATGGACAGAAAGAAAGAAAAGGTCTGCAATTAATTACAGAGTAAATATCACATTGTTTCAGCTCAGTTTTTCAACTAAATAAGCTAGAAAATCAGAGTTCCAAGGAACGCAAATGCTGTTTATAGAGATAATCCACAACTTGAAATCTACTATCAGTAACAATAGGTGGAAAAACTTATCAGTCTCTCGACAGGACTCGCAAGTTACAATCGATCGTGTGTGAAAATGGGTTTGAAAATAGGAAGATAGCACAGATGGCACCACCTAAGCACAAATATCAATCATTTCTGGAAAAATTACAATGAAGGCACGTTTTTTTTTTTTTGTTTGTGCAAAATTGCTGTGAAAATGGACGTTTTTTATAACTAACGGGAAGTTGTAGAACAAGAGCCATATTGTTTAATACTTTAGGGGGAAAAAGGGTTTATTAAAATAAATGGCTAAATCCTTGCATCCCTGACAAAGATTAAAATGACTGTTTCAACCTGAAATGTTTTGCCAAGCTCTTATTCTGCTTTGCCAACTTTATTAATATCCCGACATTCTTGATAGCCTACACTTTTGACTTCATGCAGAAAAGGCAATAAGTTAGATCACTTTGCCAGCAATTTTTTTTAAGGCAACATTTATTACATTTGTACATTTTCTTAAATTTCGTGTTTTCAATTCAGACACTAAGTAGTAGATGGTATAATCAATTGGAGAATGCAAAGGAGTAAGCTACTTCCATTCAAACTGCATCTAAAAATATAAAAAATGATAAATCAGTCGGTGAAATTCAGGGGCAACAGTGTAACGGGTAGAAAATAAAAAAATAGAGAATCAACCATAGGAAACTTACCACTCATTACTCATCGAAGTATTCGAAAGCCTCAGGAGGATCCGGCTCTTTTTCATCCTCTGACTTGGGTCCGAAAGCTGCTACTGGCTCGACCAATTCTTCTTCTTCACCTGATTTCAGATGCTGCACCATAACGATTCCACCGATTGCCACATCTTTGAGTGGAACATACGTTGACTGATCAGCAAACTGGATGTACTTCAGTTGCTGTTTCATTACTCTAGCTGGGTTTTGCAGGATCTCAAACGTTGGCTCAGGTTTCTTTTCTTCTTCCTTCTTCTCTTTTTCTTTCCTTTCTTTTTCCTCTTCCTTCTCTTTCTCTTTTACTTCATCAACTTCCATAGCATCTGAGTGGCGCTGTGCCGCACCTCCCTTCCGTTTTGCACGAGCCGTGATACTTAGAACTGCAGTGGTGACCTTTTCCCGTTCTTCTCTCTTCTTCTCTTCAAGAGGTGGAGGATACCCAAATTTGGATGGAGGGGCATTACTTCTAAATTCAAGTTTTGGCATTTTTAGACTACTATTCAAAGCTATCAGACAAGTGGGCGAGAAGGCTAGACACAAACAATGCGAGAGTGGGAACCAGTACCAATATTGGGTGAAAATTAACGTACCCACAACAGCTTGCATGTTGATATGACCTGTCCTTGACTGAAGGGTTAAAGTTACATTACGACCACCTGCATCAATGATTCCTTGCGCCATAATGGCTCCAAATTTGGACATTACATCCTCATGCTTGTCCGTGATTACTTTAGAGTAGAGGTTTCTAAAATCTTTGACCTTCGGGTTCAGTGATTCTGTCTGCTGAATGAGGATCATAGCTGATGCAATCAAAGCACCTTGACGGACAAAGTTAACTGGATCGTTAGTCATGGGCTCCAAGAGGCTGATGGCCTCCTTCAGACCCGTTCCTGCACAAGCAATACCCAACGCCATGGCTGCACCGTAACGCACATGGGGATTGTAACTTTCCGCTAACAGGCTGACTACACTTGGACATTGTTCTGGGGCGCGGAACAAGACAAATCCTATTCCAGTGACTGCTGCACGCCTAACATCATCATTGACATCAGAGACAGCTACATGCAAAAGCTTGCGGATTGCAGTGTTACTTCCCGTCCCACAGTAAGCCATGGCAATAGTGTACATGCCTGAACGGCGGAGGATGGGATCTTTGTCTGCACAAAGAGATGTGAGCAATGGATCTGCTTCTTCAAGGCGCCCAAACATTATGAGCGCGATACCAACTGCAAGACCTCGCAGGATTTTTTCGTGTTGCGATTCTTGTGCATATGTTACCATGTCTTTTAAGGCTTTCTCTGACTTCGAGCCAAGCATCACCATACCCATGGCTAAACCAGCAGCTTCTCCTGTGGCAGCATCATCTTGATATAAATTGAACCTGATTTGGGCATAGATATCTTGCCGCTGAGTACCCATTGCAGCTAGACCTAGACCTAAACAACCGCCATGTCGGACCATTTCGTTGGTGGCATTTTTCAGCTGTGACAGCAAGTAATCATTGATGACAGCTCCATGATTTGCATGTATAAGTCCCAAAGCATAGAGACCTCCTCCTTCTGAGAACCCACTGCTTGGGCCAGTTTCTCGAGGAAGGTAACTTTCCATAAGCGCAAGAGCATCATGTTCGTGTCCTCTGTGAATGACGCCAAGAGATGCTGTTGCTGTTAACTTCGCCCAATTAGTAGCACGGGCTAGCCATTCTAGATTATCTCTAAGGAACTGATCACTGGTTGTTCCTGCGTGCATAAATGCATTAGCGATTACTGTAGCTGTGTGACAGATACTCACCCGAATAGCGTCTTTGGTATTCTTAAGGATGAGCATGTCCGTTTTGTTACTTCTAATTAAAAACTGTACATGTAGGTCAATCGTTACTTCTCCACTTAAGATCTTACTGAGATTTTGGATGTGCTCTTGTTGTTTCTTCTCATCTTCTGTTAAATTTTCAAACTTCTTTTCGGCCGGTGCTTCTGAGGTCGATGAAGTTTCAGACTTAGCAGGTTCCTGACTGGAATCATCCCCCGTTTGCACAGAGCCAGCATTGGCAGCTGTTGATGAGACGGATGGAGAGTCTGAGTTGGATGCATCAACAGGAACTGGTGTTAATGTATGGGCTGCGCTTGGAATTGGGGCTGATAACCGTAGTGCTTGTAGTACGCTACCTAGAAATTGTTGAGTTGCTGATTCGTACATATCAAATGCAAGTTGGTATGCCATTAATGTGGACTTCTCAGATCCTTTGCTTAGCTTTTCTAAAACTTGTGCAACGGCGAGAGGATCATCTAAATAAATCAGGCATTGACACATGTTCACATAATCGGGTATTGCTAGGTTATGATACAGGTCCACAAGAGCCCTCAATACAGTATTACAAAATGCTTTAGACTCAATTGAGGACATAGCTACAACAAATGCATATTGGAGCATGCCAGGAATATCATCAGACTGTTTGATAGCTTGGTCGAATATATCCATCCTTCGTGTCTCTAGAGCAAGGCCCAAAGCCTGTTTATATTGACAGTCATCTAGACAAAGCTGGAACATCCTGTTGACGATATTTTCAAGACGAGGATCCATCTCCCGAGCTGTTGACGGGCTTTCGATACGTTCTACGCAAAGTGTAGTATAGTGATCGATACATTTTGCGAGGAGGGTTTGAACATACTCTGACTGAGAGGAGACGTCAAACTTATCACCTGCTCCAAGAGCATAAGTGAGAGAATCACTGTAAGACCCAAGGTGGAAGTAAACTTTACTTGCGACAAGAGCGGCTAGTTCTTGTTGATCGAAACCTTTATCTTCGTGCAGAATTTCAATTTTTTGAATAGCTTCTGAAATTTCAGGCCAAAATTCATCGACAATGAGATCCAACTTCTTCAGGGCAAAAACTTTGAGCTCTGGCATCGGCTCATCCAGTAAAGATATAATACCAGCTGCGGATGTAATTCTTACCGAAACGGCTCCTTCGTTCGTCCCCATGATTTTCACAACTTATATCCAACACTATAAGAGAAAAAACTGCTCAGAAATAAATGAATTGATAAGATGGACCAGAAATAAACACGGATAACATGAACAGCAAATTCGGGGATGCTTCTGACTCATCGTTCATCAGTCACGTGACTCAACAAAAACCGGTTGTTGTTGATAATCGAGCATTTTCATTTCCCTTCGGCAGTCACATTTTTTTCCAGACGTGCGGTGAAAATTCCACTTAAAAATGGATGATGAATGGGGTAAGAAAATTCTCTATTGTATTATTTTTCATTATGTGCAATCACTCTTCTCCAAAATACATTAGCCTAACCAATTTCCATTTTGCTTTATTCACAGATTCAGAAAATTTTGCGCCCAAACCTCCTGCCTCAGCCGCCCTTAATGCCAACAAATGGGAAGGAGAGGATGAAGATGTCAGTGTAAAAGTAAGTTTCCACGATTTTAAACCTCTATAGTTTGTTAAGAGTTGCGTTTACGTTGCACACGAAAGCAGGAGTTTTCCAGCAAAAGAAATGAAGTATCTTCCTTTGACAGTGATAACAACAGCTTGCGACTGTCAACCACTTTGTCTCGTAACTCAATATTTTTCTCTGTCTCTCGTTAAATTTCTTTGTGAGATCCTTCTGAGCAAATGCAACTAGATCTATTTGAATCCTCTATCGTCTCCTGTTTATGCAGACGTCTTAGTCCACTTATTTGCATTCTAAGTTGAAAGTCCAACACCTAACCTCAATTCAGAATCGTCTGAAAGTCATCTACAATTCTATCGTCTTCTACTTAATTACTGCATCAATCAATTTTTTTACTTTCACTAGCCTACACCCTGCTTATTTTTCCAAGCTAATCTCTTAAATCTCTTCAGTAATTCTGCGAACTATGATGTAGTTGAGGGTCTCATCAGGTGGGGCGTTGGTCAATGAGCTTATTCGATTTCATTGTCTCTAGTATCAATTATACCCTTTAAACTCCAACTGTCAAATTTTTTTTCATAAGCAGAGTTACTTGTGTTGACAAGTCGCACATGTTTTCTAATGTATTTTACATATCGAGCACAAAGAACTTGCGCTGAACATATGGTGATTGTGTAGGTTAGCCCTTAGGCAGAAGTGAAATCTTGATGACTACGACATTCCAGTACTAGGATATGCCTTCTTCAAAGGTTTATGTTATTGATGGCTAAGATTTTGTGGTATGGAAGTCCTATACTTACCATAGACATTTGCTACTTTACAAGGATTTTTCAATTGAGTTTATGTTCAAATTTCTAAGGTGCAAACAAAAATTATGAACGAAAAGCTGACACAACCTAAATAGTTAGGCTGGTGGGCCTGTTCTCATAATCTTCTCATTTCTTTTTTACAATCCCCTGATGTGGTCAAACTGTGAGGGTAATAATTGTAACAATTTAACTGCATATAATTACTTGAAGAAGAGACTGCCTTACTTTGAACACCTAAACGTCTAAACACCATTCCTCATCCATGATGCCTCTTGTTCCAGGACAGCTGGGATGCAGATGATGATGAAAAACCACCAGATACCTCCTCAAAATCAGCACAACTCAAGAAGAAAAATAAATTAACCGACAAAATAGCGGAGAAGGTAAATAGAGTTAATAATGTTGAAAATCACGTGATTATTTTTTCTTCGAGTAATCCCAAAACACTGTGGATATTATCTGCTACAAGTAATGTAAGACATTGGAAAGACTAGGCATCAAATGATCTTAACTATTTCATTACCACGGATAAAGTAACTCATCCGTTTTGTTGCACAAGCTGTGAATCCTAGACACTTTAATCCATCTTATGGCTACTGACACTTCAGGTGTGTATAGAAAGGGTTAAAATATGACATTTCTAAAATGGGCTACAGGATTTAGTCTTATTAATAGTCTGTTAATTAAATAGCTCGTCACTTGAAGTGCCCATTTTGGAAACCAAAATTATTCAGGAAACCATATAAAACTGAGTGAAAGATCCATCAAGAATCTTCTTACGAAATCTTTTTCTTCTGCCCATCACAAGAGAATACTGACTTTCAGCAGTTTTCACCAAGACATTAATTCAAAGAAATGCCTTGAGCATCCCAGGAGAGTTGATTGTTGCATAATCATAAAATTCACTCAGTTAACAATGTAATTAAATCAAAGAAGATAGTGACTGAAGCTCTCTGTTTATCAGTAAGAGATTCTGAACCAGCACGACCAGAAGGAGAGGAAGCAATCCAGTACCAGAATATGCTTTCTTCAAAGGTTTATTTTATTGATTGCTAAGTTTTTGTGGTATGAAAGTCCTCTGAGGTGCGTTCCTCTGTGATTGAGACAACAAAGTCAGCCATTAGGGTTATTAAGTTGACGCAATTTTTCTCTTTTGAAAAAACTTTTCTTTATTTTTCAAAAGATTAAGGAAAAACCTTTCATTTCAGATTCTATGAAACGTCTTATTGTAAAGATAGAATTTATCAGGTGATACTTACCTCTGAAAAGCATAATTTGCAGTATTTTTCCTCCATATTTTATTTGGTTCATCTCATGAAAAGGTTACATCACCTATTGCAAATAACAGTAGAATGATAAGTATATTAAATCTTCAACTATTCAAAAGTATTACAGCTTTTTTTTTGTTTCTCTGTAGCAAAGGCAGGAAGAGTTAGCAAAATCACTCGCTGATATGACTCCCGAAGAAGCTCAAGCAGAAAAATTAAGAAGACAAAAGCTGCAAGAAGAATCAGATTTAGAAGTTGCGAAAGATATGTTAGGTATGATTTCCTGTATCATATTCATTCGAATTTTGGTAAATTTTCATTCTAAAAATGTAGTCCAAGAAAATAGAAAGATTAGAGAAACAAACCAATTAGGAATGGGATAAAGTTATGGGGCCGTCCATAAATCACGCCATCCAAGTAGGGGGAGGATGGAGGTCTAGCGGTGGGTGACGGGGTCGAAGGGGGATCAAGCCAAGGATGATGTTAGCTTGTCTGAAGGCAAGGAGGCTGAAAGTCTCGTTGATTTATATCGATTTTCTGCGTTTTCCCCCAAAAGGAGAGGTGACATAGTTTATGGATGGCCCCAAAGCCAACAGCTAAACAAGAACTTGTAATTGCAGGGTGCTCAATGAAAATGTTCTGTTATAAATGTCCATTGAGTAATGTTCATTACAACTAAGTTGTCCTCATAATGTCGAAACCTCAGTTTTTCTTGTTGAAACATTTCAAACTCTTGACTTTATCCAAGAAGCAAATGATGAGAACTCAAAAGCTAATGACAGTACCTAGGTAAAATTGGATTTCCATGTCTATGAAAGTCTATGTACAGGAATGAGTTTGGGAACATTTAAGATTCGTCACAAAATTTTGCTGAAAAACCAGCGCCGGAAAAAAATGCTGCTACGGTTGATCTGTTTTTATGAACAGGTAAATAGAAATTTTATTTTCCCTAGGGAAAACTATTAAAATTTCCCCTCGCACTTTTTTGTGACTGTTTTGGAATGAGTGAAGAAAACTCATAGGAAATTTCAGTGGAAGCTGTTGATTAGTTTTCCTTCAAAAAATTTGAACATGAATGGCGACTTGCAATACTGCAATCTGAAATATGTATTTTTTTACTGTGGTCGTTGATATGCTCCTAAATCATACACAGCTTAATCAGTCCTGAAACATTATTATATTTTTGGAACTTATTAAATTTACTAGGAAAATGAATTTTTACGTTTTTAAGTTAAGTAATGCCAACTTAGTGTTTCTCTCAAATCATAATCCAATGAACTTTAAGTGAACAATTAATTTATTCTCATCCCAAAACCTCTGATTTTGTTTCAGGTATTAAAGATGTTGATGTGGATCATTTCAAACCAGTTACGAAAGATGATTTTGTAGCATTCGAAGAAGCCATCAGAACTAAAATTTTATCACATCGAGATTCAGATCACTTCTCATTTTTCGCTGAAGAATTAATTAGAAACATTTGTGTTAATTTAAATTCAGCAGAGTTAAAAAAATTGAAAATCACTGTAGAAAGTTTACATGCCGAAAAATCAAAAGTTGAAAAAGCAAGTGAAAAAACGAAGAAAGCAAAAGGAAAAGCTAAAGCCAGGCTCAGGATTGAAGGAGACAACGTGAGCAAGGTAAATATTCTATCTTTAGTCTTGAAAAAGAAATTGTTTCGGTTTTATTCTCTCAATATTCATAAATATCTGTCATATTTTTTAATGTCAGAATGTAAAAAAGATCAATGTTCATTGATCTTTTTCTTGTCTTATTGATGTAATCCTCTTAAACCATGGTGTCTAGTTTTTTAAAAACCGGGATTCATCAGGGAATGAAAATTTACCGGGAAAATCAAGAAAAAATCAGGGAATTTGTTTCAGAAACTGGTCATCTCTTCTCCAACCATGAAAGGATCATTTCGTTTTCAAATTTGACGGTCTAATCTGACATGCGCCAAAGAAGTGGCAGTAAGATTAATTAAAATCGATATTCATATCTAAAACTCTGGAAAATTATATTCTTTTCCCTGAGAAAATCTCTGGGAAGTGGGAGAAAACTTCGGTTTCTCATCAGGGAATGAGCTCCTGAAAATCAAGGAAAATCAGGGGAATATCAGGGAATGAGCTTTGCCAAGAAAACTAGACACCATGTCTTAAACGAAACTTTCCCCATCTGAAAACATGAGTATCCTGCTGTACGTTTTAGAATTTGAGTTACAATACTCTCTGAAACCAGCCATTCTCAACAATATTGAACTTGCTTTATTTTTTCAAACAATTGCTACCTTTCCATTTTCTTTCGACTCAAGAAATTTTAATGCGGGCTCTAGAGGAAAAGATTGAGATATGACCTTCATTATGCATGAAATCTCATCGCCTTCAAGGCCTAGGGAAAAACTTTCTGCGGCAAGTCGACTCAGGAATGAGAGTTAGAGTTTGGTCCAAAATCTCACGAAAAAATTCACAGGAGAGGAATTGATCAGAACTTCATCTGCAAGGTTTCTCCTTCATCAGGTGGAAGGGAATACTTTGCTCTGATTGAAACAATGGAAAATACAGGAAAGGATAAGGTTTTCCCGCGCTTCGTCCTGATGAAGTATCTTGTGCCCGAGCAGGCCCCTGTCTTTTTTCGGAGACTCGCTGAGGAGACTGCAGCAGTCAATCCTTCATTGACGAGTTTTATCCTAAAAAGGCTTTGAACCAAACCCTTCTTTCAGGGGTAACTCAACACTGAAGTTCCTTTACGTCTCTCTGCAACAAGGTCGCTTGCAGTCGAGGTTTAGTTCAATTCTCTGTTCTCAAGGCTTTGCCTTATCTCCAGCTTCCATAGAATTTAAAAAGGGTTTCACTGGATTTGTTTTTTCTTCTCTTTGCAGATGTACGATGAATTTTCAGCGTACACCGTGGATGATACATACGATGACTTCATGTAAGAATCGAAAACCGTACTGTGCAAGGTGGGCAAGCTGATAGCTGTACGTGTGCCTGAATTATATTTTATACTTCATGTACAGACCGTAAAGTTTTAACCATGGAAATTTCACTCAAAAATTTCTATTTATTTTTATTCATTATTATTAATATTATTACAATTATGTGGTTATTTTTCCCTTGTCCTTTCTTTATTTGTTTTTAATTAAAACTTTCGTAAAATGCATTATTAAAAATTTATTTTTATTTCATGATGTTTTATTTTTACATGCAGCAAGTCAAGTTGCCGGTTCTGATGGGAAACTTTTGAATTGATCGGGAAACTTCAAAGCTTAACAATCATGGGTACCTTCTCTTAATGGATAGTTTTCAAAACTCTGAACGTAAAAAAAATAAAAATTTACCTAATTAATGCCACTATCCTCTCGTCTCCAAGTTCTGCACAGAAGTCTTTACAACTGTAAAATAGTGTTTTGGGTTAAAGATTAGGCATCTGATTGTCATCTAGCAACGTCTGTAAAGCAGATGAAACTAATAAAAGAATACGTCCCTAATCGATTCAAGAGTGTGTCCACTTAAAAATTTTGAGTGATATGCCAAGCATATCAATGGTGAAATTGGAAACCCTATTTTTTTGTATGAAACGTTGGAAATTTCTTATCACATTTTATTTCAATAAAATTTAACTTTTTTCTATTTAGCAGAGAAATTTAGATTGATCTTTCATTGCTCATCTAAAACTATCAAGTATATCACTCATCAGTAAATGTCAGTTTGCTTTTGGGAAAAAGAGAAAAAGGGCTAAAAATTAAAAACATCAGGATGGAAAACTGGGTTTCCTCACTTACACCATTTAATTATTTAAAACTTGTGATTGCTCTGAAAGTTCACGATAAAAAAGAAAACATAGGTGCAAAGTTGATTTCATCACCTGGGGGTGAAGCATCGATACGCGATTACTGTCATGCTTGGATTTACCAGCTACGGAACTTAGGCAGCTGTCTATGGACAGCATACTTTGAAGGGAAGGAGGGAGAAAGAAAGCTTTTAGAATTGTTCATTTATTGATTGATTTATTTATTTATTTATTTTGAACAGTTACCATGTAAGAATTGACAAAAAAATAGATAAAACTTGTTGACAAGACCCCCTCGTTGGTAGGTAATCTTTTCTGCTGTAACAACCATCACAGGGGCAGCAAAAAGTCCGAGCCTGACTACCATCCTGAAAGCATAAAACTAAAGAGGAACAAAATAACTATATTTCCAAAGTGATTTTTTTTTTTCTTTCCTTTCTTAAACATATATCATGGCTCTAGATTGATGAATGAAAAACTTAGCTACTTAGTTCTTCATCCACAGAAAATGAATCATAAGCTGACATAGTATGACTCGTGAAAGATTATCCGCCATTGGATATCATTTACATGACCCGTCGTGCGAAGACAACATAAAAATTGAAATCAGTTTTCTGAGCTTATGCAACTACAACACACACTGGAGGAAAAGACGATGATTTGTAATAGAAAATACCTTGTTAGGCACGAAACATAGGTGTGGTAAAACTAATTGGAAAAGCTTAGCGATGCAAGCATAGAGATACGTGGTTTCATGACTTCATAAAATGAAAAATTTAACGTTACAATTTTTGAAATTTTTAAAACTCCTGCAATAAACTGGGCATATCCTAAAACCCACAAAAACTAACACCTTAATTTAAAAAAAAAAAAAACGAAAACATGAGTCATATTTCTAAGTTTCTCATCAAAATCTCGAATGATTGTTGCAGGTTGCATATGTGGTCCTTGAAATTCTATTGAAATCAAAAATGTTGCATCTTTGAGTAAGAGTAGGACAAAGTGATATTTATTCAAGCGCTGAAAAGATAATGATGAATCATTCAGACAAACAGCTATTTTTTTTAAGGTGTCGACTTACCACCTTTTGAAACTTAAAAAATACCTAGAGGTCACAGAAAAATTGCATAAATTTTCAAATCACACGATGGAACTATTCTATTGTGATGGTGAATAAAAAATAAATTATCATTGAAATTTTGGCACATTGAACCACAGTAATTTTTAGAACTTAATTGAAAAAAGAAGCGAACTCAAGGAGCTCAATGAAGTTGCTTCTTCCAGGCAGGTTCCACTCACCTCATCTCTGGTCCATCATGAGAATTAGGTTTTAGGATGCACTAATATGTAACTTGGATTATAATTCCTGAGGGCCTTTTTCGATTGTTCATTTCCTGAAATTTGGTCTCCTCAATCGAGCATTTGAAGTCTGCCTACCTAGGATGAGATGGAGATCGAAAATTCTGTTCGTGGTCAGTACTACATTATGCTTAGTTAATGCAGCATGCTGCTAAAACAAGCCTGAATATTTGCTGTCTTCTTGCTATTTTCTGAAAGGAATAAAACGATTTACTTGTTTACGCAGGTACACAAGTTTGAGATTGTCGAATCATTACTGTTGTTACTGAAGAAAACCATAAATCGACAGTGTAAGGCGGCAATCACATAACTCGGTTTGCGACGTTGCAGACTTCCTATCATACTTTATTTTTTGAACGGAAAGCTTCTCAACGGCAATTCCTTAAAATTCCCGTGATTTTTCTTCTCTGTGTGAAGAAAATTCTGCAAAAACTTAAAGGAATGATGTCAATTTGTTCTCCTTTAAAAAAACAATATAGATGCAAAGATTTTCAGACACCGCAAACGAGTGATGTGATTGCCGACTTACACCGTCAAAATGAAGACAGTGTTCAGCAAAAGGAACCAAGTCTGTTGTGGTTGTGGTGTTTTCAAAATCGTGTAACTTTTATTCCTCTTGAGTGTGGATAGAACTGATTGTACGTACATATAATAATGCAACTTAAAGGACTTTTTGTTACTAAAAACTAAGAATTTTTTAGTGAAAAAATAAAAATTATTCTAACCTTCCAGAAAAAGGAAATGTACAATTTTGAAAACACTATAATAAACTCAGTTCTTTTCCACTAAACTCCATCAAAAATATCAATTTATCGTCGCAACAATGTAACATCCAAAAATTTTCATTGCTGTATCTACCTCCTCATCTGTGTGTTTGGAATAATCATGTTACATGTCTAGGTTCGGTTTTATTTTAGTGGCTCCTTCAGCAGAAAGACGCATCATACAGAATCAAGCTGAGAAAAATAAAATAATCCTAGCAATTAAAGTGAGGGTATGAATTTTAACAAAGTTGCTGCTGTTTTTGGCTTGTGGTTTAGGTAGTTTACAACGATATCCTGACAATTATTCACAGGTTAGAAATATTTATGAGTACGGAAAACTGAATTAAAGCAAACATTGGTATTAATATAACTAGGCTGAAAATTAACTCACCACTCACACTTATTTTGTTACTGAATTGCATTACGGAGAGCTATTTTTGAGGGTTATAAAGGATACTCTGCGGGCATTGGAGCTCCTTTCCAAACAGCAATAATATTTTTAGCTGCTTGAGAATGTTTATCCTCTGTTCCTTTTGAGGTGGCATCTCCCATGTGAGGTAGAATAACTGGAAACAAATATGATATTTTAGACTGATTTTAGAAAAGCATATTAATGGGAATGCAACAATGTTTTTGAGAGGGTTGACAAGAATTTAGTGTACATTTGCATGGTTCTACGATAACTAATTCCATTTTTGAATTAAGAGAATGAAATCACAATAGCAAGAGGTTTTTTCAAATTTCATTTTTTTACAGTCTAGTAGGAACCTATTGCTTATGGGAAAACGCATCATACTGGAAAAGGAAATAAGGAAATTGCAATCGGAAGAGCTATAAACAGCAGCCATACAAAGCTTAGGTACTCTTGTACTAACTACGCAACCTACTGTGTAGTTTTTTATGTCTCCTGAACATTTTCATTTTTCGGAGTTAGTGCATTTCCATTTTACTGATCTAATCTCTCACTGGCCAAATTGACTTGCATTTGGTAAAGTCCTCTATCTGAGTGGTCGAGTTCAAAACGAAGAACATATAATTATGCACATGCAATAACGCAGGCATTTAGTTTTTTCAAGAAAGTGATGCTTTAATGTTAGCAACCATTATTAGTTGTGAACAAGGCATAAAATATGTGTAAAACGTTATTTGGAGAATTAAAGAAATGGACAGACAGTACAAACGAAGGACCCAGAAATGACAAAAAAATGGTAGAACTTATTCTTGATGTAAATAAAACAGCACCTCAGACTAAGCCCATTTACTGTTACACTAGAATAGAACCGTTTGTTCAAATCTTTGAGAAAAATGTAGCATAACTCACCACAGTTTTTAAGCGTGTGTAGCGGATGGTCTAGAGGCAATGGTTCGGGACTTGTGACATCTAGCCCTGCACCGAGAATTTTCCCTTGTTGAAGAGCTTCAGTAAGAGCATCTTGGTCTACTAGCACTAAAAAGAATGTTGGAAATAATAATTGATCAGAAATAGTAAAATAATCACCGAGATAAGACTATTTTCAAACGCTTTGCATTCCAATAAGCCAGGATTAATTGTTTCTGGAGAACTGGAAAAAAAGGCGAACTTTGATGAGCGATTGAATAACAGGATTAAAATTTTTTTAGCTCAGAATTTGCACGGCCACCGTCAATTTGTCATCAATATCCAACATCAGCCTCAGGAACTGAAAGTGGCATCATGAAAACATTTTGGTCCTGGACCCAACCCGCCCGGCAAGGGAGCAATGTGTACGTTGCCGCAACGTTGCAAGGCAACATTTTTGATGATATTGCTTTGTAAAAGTAAAGCAGCAACGTTTAAGCAATGTTTCAGCAATGTTGCCTGACATTATATTTTAGACAATATTTTCAAAACGTTTTTAGAAATGTTTCTGGAACATTATTAAAAAACGTTTCAATAAATATTTCTTAGATATATTGTGACAACGTTGTTAAACATTATTAGTCAGGGAGAAACACGATTTGACCCGGAACAAATTGCTGAACAAACTTTTCCTATGTAAACGTCATCAGTAGGTCCTCCTGAACAACATACCAAAAGTTTACCACGGTCCGACCCCGGAACACCCCCCAAAATGCCTAAATTTCAAAATGGCGGCCATAATAAGGCCTCTGGGATTTCGGTTTTTTAAAATGCGCATATAGTATCATGTGAGGTATCAATCCCTGTGTAATTTTGGTCGCAGAACTCAGATATGAGGTCAAGCAGATGCTGTGCTGCAAATCGGAGGGGACACTTTTCCACTGTTTCAGGTGTTCTCCTTTCTGTTGTTTCTCAACAGATGATTTTCTCCAATCAATATAAGGGAATGCGCCCTCATACAATGTCGCAAAAATATGTATATGTATATACAAAAATAAGCAAAAATTAATTGATAGATAATTCAAAAAATAAAAAAATTAACAATAAAAATATACAAATGAAGATAAAATTAAAAAAAATAAAAAAATAATTTAAAAATAAAAAATAAAAAAAAAAATAAATATAAATAATTAGAAAATAATTTAATACAAAATAAAAATACCAAATAATTATAATAATAAAAAATAATTATAATATAATTAAATAAATAATTAAAATAATAATAATTTTATTTATATAAAATGAATATATTTATTCAATTCTTTTTTAATTTTTTTTTCATACTCCTTTTTTTCAAAAACTTGATCTTCCTAATATTATATTCAGTATCCTTCGTTGTAGAATTATGCACAGAAATGCAAGAATATCATTGCTTTCTATCATTGAACCAGATCTAGGGATGTTTATTAATGCTAAATAACCAAACTCTATCACGCGAGCGTCCGTAGCCGAGTGGCAGCGACACACGGGCGATCACTGAAGTTCAGCAACGTCGGGCGTAGTTAGTACTTCGATGGGAGCCCGCTTGGGAACCCGGGCGGAGCGCGGCTACTATCGGACTTAGAGTGAATTTCGGGTGCCTAAGAAACGCTTCTCTGCGGTCCACATTGAATTCTAGGAGTAAAAATGCAGAGTACTCCTAAAAAAAATCACCGAAATTTTTTCACCGTATTTTTGCAACATTCCCAATATGTTGCTAAAACGTATTTTTGCAACATTCCCATTATGTTGCTAAAACACATTGCAGACACATTGCCAATTACGTTCATGCAAGCTGACAAAATTACACGTTGTGGCAACGTTACCACAACGTTGCCCGAATACGTAAATGGCGAAATTGCAACGTTTTGGCAACATTGCCACAACGTAACTTTGCCGGGCGGGAAGAGCCCGACATAGTATAAAGTTTGTAAAATAGGTTTTCAATTTGTTTCTTCTTATTATAATGTGAGAAAATCTCTGAGGGTGATTTCTTTTAACTAGGCTTAAGCATAAGTAAGTTGACAGCAGTGGGAACTAGCAAAATTTAAAACAATTTGATAATGTTCTCTTTGAGGCGTGGAATCATGAAAGTGTTTTCCTTCTTTCAGAATAGAGCTGGTTCTTAAGTGATTTAAAATGAAAATGGGTAGTTCACGAACTTCCCCTCTAATGCAGAAACAGAGGATATTTATTTAAATCTCTGATGCAAAATGTACTAGGTATGTTACATGTATTTCATGTTTACCTCTAAAGGTTCATCTCTTAAGAGGAGAAAGGGAGTCAAAACAGAACAAAATTGTACCAACCACCCCTTGCAGTATTAATAAAGATGGCGTTCCTCTTCATAAGGGAAATTTTTTCTCTACTGATGAGTCCCTTTGTTTCCGGAGTGGCCAAAATAGTCAGTATAATGAAATCACAGGTCTGCAATAACGTATCAAGGTCAGTGAACACAGCACCAATTTCAGCTCCTGCCAAAACCAAACAATAATTTCAAATTTGCGTCATTTGGAGGGAAAATAAATCCAAAGTAAAAAGACAGGAGGGAAAAAGAAATACAAAGAGAAAAGGAAGAGGTAATAATGACAATGGAGACAAAGGAAAAGAGGAAGATGATAGGGGGCCATAATGAGACAAATCGTTGTCTCCTGCTTGAAGGAACGTATTTCGTTGGTGCTGTTTCAGTATTTAGCTATAGGAACATTTTACTTTGTCATGAAGGAGACCTCATGTGAATTTTTTGAAAATGTTTGTGCTTTTTCTTGCGAACATAAAGAGAAATTACTGGCAACTAGCAAATTCATGTGATGGCTCTCTGATAAGAAAATACAATTTCAGTAAGGAATACAAAAAAAGTGTAATTAAGATATGTTCCCTCATGCAGGAGACGACAAAATAACATCATGTGCCTACATTGAGAGTAAATTGACCATGAGATTCACTGCAGGAGTAAACTGCAGAGTGAGTTAGTATGGGCTAATGATCATGTTGTGTAATTGTCTGAGGCTTTTTACATCTTCTGTTGTTATATGTCAAGATTTTTGACATTTCATTTTTAAAATTTTTTCTTGAAAATTAATTAATCCAAAAAATAGAATTTTTAAAATTTCAAAATTCACATCCTGATAAGATGAATGTCTGCAGGTACAATGGTCATTATTTCCAAGTGATGAGGCGGAGGCGGTCTGTCTATAAAGGTAGTTTTAAGAAAAACAATGTTGAAATGTATTTTTGTCCATAACTCCTTTTGTTGATGGATCCCTCTTACTTAGTTAAGGTTATTTGAGTAGAGAAAATGAACTGAGTATGACATCGTTTTTTAACGTTCTGTATTCATTAATTTCATTCATCATCATTTTAGCATTTTCTCAGTGGATGTCTTGACAAGAAGGGACAAAAAGTTTTGAGGTAAAGTTGCAGCTTACTAAATTGAATCTTACAATAATTCATTGTCAGTAATGGGTAGTAAAATTTTATTCAAACCATATCCCTACAGCTCAATTAGCAAAGTCCCTCTGCAGAGTTTAGCATGACTATCGAATGAGGAGATTTAACAATCATACATAGGCTGTCCAAAAAGTACCGAGACTGGTTTTATAACTCAAAAACCAAGATGGCTAGAGGCTTGATCTTGGTTTCATTTGAAAGATCAACGCAATATCTATCGATTGAGACCAAAATCAAAACTTTTGGTCAAATATTTCAAAAGTTACAGCTCTGTTTGTAAAAAAAATATCTGGACCCCCTACCGTTTTTATGACAATTTTCTCTTGCCTAATTGATTTGGAAACACTGTCAAGCCGTTGTCGTCCGACTACGGGTGCAAGGGTTCAAAACCCATGGGGAAAGAATGAACCGTCGGTCAGCCACCCCCAAAAAACCCGGGATATTTTCGGCAGTTGATGACAGTTCATAGTGCGTGGGTGGTCTATACGCCTACGCTGCAGATAGTGAGTGATTTTCTTTCTGTGTTCGAAATTTTGGATACCACTGCTGTATCTCTTTCCATGATGATATCAAAAATGTCGAACACAGAAAGAAAATCACTCACTATCTGTAGCGCAGACCACGCACGCACTGTGAACTGTCATCAACTGCTGAGAATTTCCCGGGTTTTTTGGGGGTGGCTGACCGACGGTTCATTCTTTCCCCGTGGGTTTTGAACCCTTACACCCGTAGTCGGACGACAACGGCTTGACAGTGTTTCCAAATCAATTAGGTTTTGCCATGATTAGTTGCAAGAGAACCGTGCACTGATCATTAATAATTTAGAGAGTGTTCCCGGTAAGAGAAAATAGTCATAAAAAACGGTAGGGGGTCCAGATATTTTTTTTACAAACAGTGCTGTAACTTTTGAAATATTTGACCGAAAGTTTTGATTATGGTCTCAATCGATAGATATTAAGTTGATCTTTCAAATGAGACCAAGATAAAGCCTCTAGCTATCTTGGTTTTTGAGTTATAAAACCAGTCTCGGTACTTTTTGGACAGCCTATGTAATTGCTGTCCCTTTAGTAAATTTGGGTAGTCTATTTTTAAATCTGCTGAAGGTTGTCATTTATTTCTGAAAGTACAAAACATACCATTCGGTTTCTCCTTCCTACTGTAATAAAGAATTTGTTTTGGAGAAAAGCTTTTCAGTTTGACCGCAACAGAATGTCCTATTCGTCCATAACCGATAATTCCAATGGTTGAATCATAAAGTCCTTGGCCTTTTACCCAATGATTAGCTAACAGGTCTGGGGTCCAACCACCACTAAAAGGAAAAAGCAATAATGAATTATTAGATAATCACTACCTTGGTGAGTGAGAATAAGTTAACACATTTTTATCTCAATTGACAATTGAGAGTAAATCATAAGGATTATAAAGGAATTTGGCTTGTTCTTTATGCCTCCTGAGCAAAATAATCGGTGAAAATTGTATTTGTAGGGTGCCAGTTTAATTAAAAGAGGGTTGCTAATGGAAATTTCTCAGTATTTTTAAGGGGTTTATTACTGTCAACACAGTGATAAGAGAGAGAGACACAATAGCCCGAATGCAGACAACAATAAAAACACACTAAAATAGAAAAAAAAACAAATGGGTACTTATACAAAGCTAGATGAGGATAAAACAACCCGGACGTTTCGGGCCAATTACATGCCCATTCTCGACTGGAACAAAAGCTAAAAAAATGTAAAAATTAAAACAAGAAAATGAGCATGCAACTGACGGAGGTTGCCCCAGTTACCTCGGTCAGTTGCATGCTCATTTTCTTGTTTTAATTTTTACATTTTCTTTAGCTTTTGTTCCAGTTGAGAATGGGCATATGATTGGCCCGAAACGTCCTGGTTATTTTATCCTCATCTAGCCTTGTATACCCATTTGTTTTTTCTTCTATTTAGTGTGTTTTTATTGTTTACTGTCAACATGTGGGACGCTCCGCTACGTCGGATTTCAGAAGAGCCCTTACTTGGAAGTTGACATGGCGATGCACTATATGTTGTTTTCATTTAGGACTTCTGATCTTAAATTTGACACAGCAACATTTCTACCAAAACTGCATGTGAGATTGCTGAAAGTTTTATTTTTCAGCTCAGTTCTCACGAAATTGGCAGAGAGAAAGTTAAGTCTTTAGTTTGGAAATCCTAAAGAGTTGAGTAAAAAAAAATATTAATAATTCAACGGACATCGAATTCTTCTGAGAGTAATTGCATGCAATTTCTTCTTCTAAATTTTTGTGTAACAGTTTTCCTTTCAACTGGAAAAAGAGAGAAAAAAAAATATAAATGTTTTCTTTTGAATTTTCTATAGTGTGAAATGATGATAGGTATAAAAAATTAAATATTTTAAATAAGAATTCTAATTAAGAATATTAAACTCTGGTTAAAGGATGACTGGAGTTTAAAGCACCTGTAAAATCTTGACTGGAGGTTAAACCATAGGAAGAGGAGATGGAACCAAATTTAAGTGAATACTATTTTTTCCTTTCGACGAAAGATACACTACGATCATTTATACAGCAACATATTTGCATTCAAGATCAATGAGCTCATCCTTACCACCAAATGATAATATTTTATACCTTTTAACTCCATTTGAGGCCTCAACTATTCTCCGAGAAACTGCAAGCAGCAAAGCAACGGTAAGTTCTGCGGTCGCTTCCAGGTTCGAGACATGAGGAGCGTAACCAAGACGAACATTGTACTTTTTAAAAATTTCCACTTCAACATGATCCACACCAACAGATGCAGTGCTGACCACTCTCAAAGAAGGAACTGTAAAAATCATGACAAAAAAATACCATGAATTTTTTAAGGGTAAAAACTAAAAAATCAAAGGAAAATAAAAGGAAAAGGATATTCACCTTAGAAATTGATGGGAAATTTTTTGAAAAGCTGATTAGATTTAAGTGGAGAGCCAGCAGGCACTTCCATAAAAATATGAAAGCTTCAAAGTTCTGCATCCCTGGAATCAACAGCTCATTTGGGTGACATTAGTAACAAATGGATGATGTATTTTCCAGCGGGGGAAAAAATAAGTAAATAATGAAATATTCAGTCAAACATCATGAGTCCCACTTTTAAAAAAATGCATTTCATTGACTTACCTACACGTCAAATAAACTGATACAAATCAAAATTGAAAAACTCACCTCCTGCAGCAAGAACATCTTCATCAACTCTCAAGGGGCCAATCATCATCACTCCAAATTTCCCTCGAATAAGTTTGATGAATTTATCTTGCGGCAACAGTCCATTCTTCTTGTTGTCCCAGCATTCGACTTCAAAGCTGAAAAAAAAATAATCACCGAGAAGTTAGTAGGAGACTAAAATTTACCTTTGGAAATATTTTGAGCACATCAGAAGTACGGTCCGAGACTCATAATCAAAGTCTGCTGCATGCTTGAATTTCCACCTGAATAAAATTAGATCATAAAGAATTTCATGTAAAAAATAAAAGTTGGTCTAACGGACATCTATAAAAATTACTTTAATGACTTCAGATTTTCATAATTTAGGTATGAATTACCTAGAGATACTTCATTCACAATTCATCCCTTTGTTCAAAGTTCCACGACACCTCCTTTTTCGTTTCCTTCAGCATGCAAGAAAAAACGGACAACAATAACTACCCAATTTTTGAGACACTTTGATGTGAAAACTCTTTCTTAGTTTTGAAAGTCAATTAATTGAGTATGATCCCAATTTTTAAACACATATTAACTTGAAAGGAGTTATGATTAACTCTTTGCTGTTCTCAGGCCATTATGCATTTCCCAAGTAGCATTTCTCAACTGAAAAATCGCTATATATTGCGATTTTGATCATCAAAATTTGAGCGATTATCCTCCATTTAATCGCAATAAAATTGCGCTTTTATTGCCCGACAATTTATAGCATATTTTCGAAATATAAATCGCAGTAACTGGCGATTTAATCTTGATTTTAACAACAAAAATTTATGACGATATTATTGCACCAAAAATTGCAATTTGTAGCGATTTAATCGCCGTTTATTGCGATTTTAATGCGATAATATCTTGATATATTGCCACCAATGTAATCACGATAACCAACCGATTAAGTCACTATTTATTGCAATCATTGCTACTTGGGTCAGTGGTTCAGAGTGGCAACTTCCGTGAAATACATTTTTCCCTCGCGTAATGAAAAAATGTATTCTATTTTAACTTTGTGCCTACCTCTTTTGTTCGACTTAAGATACGACAGATCAAAGCGGTCGAAGTTAGAATACTGCCTGTGTTTGCATGGGGTACCATCATACCAGCTTTAGGTATGTAAAATGATACTTGAAGTGTTATACTAGGTATAGGTGCGAAAAAAATTATACTTAACTGTTCCTTTAGTAATGCAATTGCTGAGGGTGAAAAATCACAACGTGTTACTAGAACATTTGGTTTAACTGGATCGCTAGACATTTTCACATCTATCAAACTCAGGATGTGTTTAGTTTGCCGTAAAAATCGTTGACACTGCAAGACATGCATATCATTTCTAATTCAAGTTTCACAGAGTGTTATTGGGCAGGGCCACTTGAGCGCAACGTAAATCTTTACACAGAGCAAATTTAGCCTATGTTGACAGATAGTTAAGGTAATTCATGGAAATGCTTTAATTAGGAATTGGTGAGTGGGCATTTCAAATTGCTACCTGGTTTAAATTTCACTTTAATGGAGCATTGAGAATCATATTGGATAGCACACATGAACACGATTTAATTGCGTAATTTGACTCGTAACTATGAGCATTTGAGTTCCTGCCTGGCAAGGATGTGTGGGCATGCAATGTTGTCTCAAAATTTTTTACACACCCAATTGCAATGCAATATTGTGAGACGGTTTGGAAAGTATTTGAACGACGTTGCAGGAAAAGTGGTTGATCCACTGTCATGCACATGAGAAAAGAATTTTCAAAGTGAACTATCACTCACACAATGAATGATCAGTGGTACTTGAAAAGTGGTAAAACAAAACGGACAAGGAGGCTGAGAAAACAATTGAAAAATGCTCGAGACTTTTCAGCTAATAATCCTCGCATTAGTGTCGAGAGAGATACTGATAAGGCACTGATACTGATAACAGCAACAAGCAAACAAACAAGCTGCAAACAGTAGTAGAGGTAACTGTTCAAAGGCAGCAGCACTTTCGCATGCGAGTTTGACGGAAAAAGCAAAAGAATGTAGGAAATGCAACAACGCATGAAGAAATCGGTAACCGAGATGTAACGTGAGCGCTGATTGGCTCCGTAACTTTGGGCGCGGGCGCGATATGGTGGCTACATACAAAAAAAGCCGCGAAGTTTCAAATTAGCGCGGCGTCCGCTCGTTTGCCGACAGAGCCGCGGCGCGCATGGCGCACGACCCGCCTTTCATTATTACACTTCATCTGGCGTTTAGAGTTCACTAATTACATCACATGACAAGTGCGTAATTATAAAAGTCGAAAATTAAAAAAAAATAAATAAATAAATAAAGAAAAAAAACAAAAAAACGCACTGACGCCTACAAACCTAAAGGGATTCAAGCATTGCACAATGCTTGAAGTATATCTTCAGGTTTGTAGGCGCTAACGTGCGCTTACGAGCTACGGCAGCACGCGCCGCGCCGCGCCATACAATTACCCACAATTGGACTGAGTTAAGCAGAAAGGAACCAATCCACATTTTGGAAAAAATTGAGTTATGAGTGGTTTTGATTTCAACCACTGCTCTACTATCTATAGCCAAAAATTCAAAGTTTTTGTTGGAGCAAATTTTGCAGGAATTGAACTTGAAGTTTATCTTTTACATTGAGTCTTATGCAGGAGCCAAACTTTAAACCTCTTTTTCTCGGTTCGATCCTGGTGTGGCTTGGTTCCTTTCTGTTTAACTCCCTCCAATTAACAGGCCAGGGTTTTAAAATCTTGGCAATTTGACATTAAATTCGAGATTAGCGACTCAAAAAACATCAGTAACGAAACTTTCGTGATCTTTCAGTCATTATCCGATTTATTTCTTCCTATTCTTGAGTTTTGGACCATAGTGCGCTGCGGGCGGCGGCTCATGAAATTCACTCAATCACTCATTTGCCGCAACAGCCCTGTTAATATCCTCGACTCTGCGGTTGATTCTTCGAGCAAGAGACTGGCTCTCCAACTGATTTGCTCGCGATGTTGAGGAGATTTTGCAACTTCATGTAAAGGCTCTAGAGACCAACATACTCATTAATTGGACAGCATTAAGCAGAAAAGAACCAAGCCAATCAGCTATTGCCAAAACTTGGGCAATTCAATTTTTTACATCAGAGTGTTTGTGCAGATTTTTGTGCAAATTTCAGTGAATTATCTGCATGCGAAGCAAATTCCTTAAAATTTTCAAAGGAATCCGAACAAACGTTCTTTAGAAAGAAATTTAATTGTCCAGTTAATTTTGGCAATAGCTGATGTGGTTTGGTTTTTTCTGCTAACAATAAGTGTAGTCCAATTTAAAATATTTTCATTGAGAGGTACTCCACTTGGAGGGAAAATTTAAGTGTAAAATACACATATTTTTTCAATATGTATAATCTCTTAAATAAGGTAAGTTTCGTTAGAAATTATAGAATGGAATATGTAAAGGAATATAGATACTTGATTATTTTTCAGCTAATCCCTCCTAAATGCTCAGTAAGTCAGTGATCAGAGACCCATTCTCACGCGTTGTCATTTACACAAAATTGTACATTTTTTATTTGTTGAAGTATAATTTTCAGGATGCAGACTAGATTGATGGAATTTATAAAATGCCGAGAAATTATTGTATTCATGTTAGGCTGTTCATGATCAAGTAGCATTGTTTCAGCAGATTTCTTCCTCGTGATCCACCATGTAGTAGAAAATGGTGACTTTACTTGCCACACATTATATAGTGCATATTAGCCCTGGCTTAATTTAACTTCATACTACCCCACGATTATTAGCTTCTACTTGGTTTATTCATCTGTTCCGTTTAAACTTTTTTTATTCACCTAATGATGACATTCCCAACATTGCAATAGATATAGCCTGCTACTTAATAATATGTTAAGTAAGTCATCAATTTTACTACATTGGGGATTACAAGGAAGAAATCTGCTGAAAAACTTGTTATATTGGTTGTTTTTGAAACTAGTGAAGCGGGGTAAAAAAAATAATCACCAAGTAAGCAGTTACATATCACGTTTATGTAAAAATATCATGTTTTAAAAAAAGTGCTCAACAAAGAATTAAAAAAGAAAATAAAAGATAAACTTAAGTGTATAATTTGATGGTTGAGTCAGCACCACTGGAGAATAACCATGGCTGCAATGGGTGGAAGAGAGTGTCAAATACTCCAAAGTCGTCAAATGCTTCGTGGCCTTTTAGTTTCTTCAATGGCACAATAAGTGCATTTTGCAATAAGTCACTTAAAAAAAAAAATTACACAAATCAGTTACACCAATAGGAATCATTTCTTAAATTATGAAGATTTAGATTACTGCCAAGCTACGGAAACTTGCTGTTTGAGCATTCGAATCTTGCACAATTTTCCCCTTTAAAATATTTATTTTTAGGGAAAGTTATGAATTATTTTTATTGAAATTTCTGGTACTTCAAATTAAACTACTGGTAAAATTCTATGAAAAATTGGAAACACAAATATTCACAAGTATTCCTGAAAATTTGTATTTTATCAAAGGAAATTTGGCAACATGATCATGCTAAGGTTCAACGACTATCTTCTTCAGCATGACAGATTACCACTCAGTAAAGGGACCAATGCCATTCACACGAAAAGGAACATAAGTGCAAAAATTCTCAAGATTGAGTTTTTTACTACGCACAATTTAGTAAAAAACGCCCAAAAATGAAAAATTAAAATAGGGGCAGTGATGCTTTGAATTTTGCAGATTAGAGGATGTGGTTGAGAGAGAGGTAAGTTAAATTTTTCATCTGACATGATTGAAGTTTAAAACTGCAGCAATAAAATGCAATTTGACGTCCTTCCCAGTTTAAATGGAACGTACAAAGAAGGGAGTACATTAAGGGAGAGAATGAGTTGGGGGTAGTTTTAAATTCTACGAGTCATGAATTTTCTCTTGAAAAAAGCTCCAAGTCTAGAAATAACATTTTGACGGTGAAAATAGTCATTGAAATTTGTCCAAAACATCGAGTCTTACTAAGGAAAAACCTTGGAACCCACAGAAAACTCAGATCTACATAGCAATTGAACCTTTTTTTATCTTCTCTTAGCTGCTTTGCTGAGAAATGATACACCTTTTCTTGGAATGGGATTGTGTTTTGTCAAAAAACTTCTGAGTAAAAATGCTCATTTAGAAAAATATGGAGCATTTCAACAAGAATCACAGTTTTGAGAAGGATGTGAAAAAAAATCCAAGCAAACTGCGAGCCAATGCAAAATGATTCAAAAGGAAAGTAACAAAGCAAGGTAAAAAAATAAAGAAAATCACTTACCTATAGACCATACTATGAGAGACAATAACATTTTTGTCATCGGAGCCAGAGGCCATGAGAGGGTACCGTTTGTGAAAGGCAACGGATCGTACGCTACCAGAGTGAAACCTAAGTGTTTTGTAGGGCTTTGAGGATAGGTCAAGATCGAACCAAATAGTTTTTTTATCATACGTTCCTACAATTAGATTGTCACCTCCTATAAAAAACAATAAGTCAAAATTAAACTAAAATGATCTCTTTGATTCAATTTTAACTTGATTTTCGGTTTTATGGTATTTTTTCACAAAGATTCACTGAAATACTGTTAGCCACTCTAGGAGGAACAATAAAACTAGGATGTTTGTAAAAGAGGGAAATAATTAAAAGTAGCCATTCAGAAAAAGTTTTAGACTATAATTATGCGCTTCTAAAAATAAATTTCCATCCGTTTCTCTGATTATAAAAATTGCTCACGGATTGGACATAAATAGCAACAAGCTCTTTACAAAATGAGAGATAAATTATAGTAATTATGAAAAGACTGCATAATCTGCATAAAGAAGAAATTTTACGATTCAGCAAAATACTAACCTGGATGAATAGCCATAGAAGAGATCCATTGAGAATTTGCTAGTAGCTTCTTGGTCAACTCTTGTTTGACAAGGTCATAAACTCGAATATTTCGTTGCGTCTAGAATTTTAAGTAGAAAATAAAAAAAGAATTACACTTTTCTGTGATTGAAAAAACCTTGAGTGAGGTAACTAAGGTAATCAAAGATAAGTCCCCCCAAGAGTTTTTACTCTAATCTGCTTGCTCCCTGAGTGCATGCTGAGTTCACATACATATCTCCTTTTGTTACTTTTTAAAGAGTCATGCACCATAAGCCTCCAAGGATAAGGCACGCTTTTTTCCCTGATTTTTACAAACTCAAAAGAGGGCTGTAGTCTATCTGCAGAATTCAAAGACTTCTGTATACTTTCCAGGCTTGTAAATGCACGATCATCTATTTCCCACTCAGTTCTATACAATGTTTGAAGTTGTTGTCCCGGAAACAGCGAAGGTGGCATAGCAACCAGAAAGAGGTGAGTTTGTCGGGTGATGTTGTCTCTACCAGTGACACAGACTTTACAGATGATAAAGTGGAAGTTCTGAAATTGAACTTTTGTCTTGTGATACTTTGAATGTAGTTCTTCTCTACTTGATGAAAATCTCGAATCTCAAAATTAGGTTATTTAAATTGTTAATGAGCTCAATGAGTCAGTTAAGCTTGGGAGGGATTTGCCTGCAAATAGTCGAATCTAACAGTTTTCGATACAAGAAGAACGATGCGCACATTAAAATTTCACGAAAAATTGTCTCTGCGGAGATATGACGCTTCCTTTTTAGGGGTCCTTGAAAACATGTTTGAACCGACCGCCGATGATCTTCGAATCTACATGTCATAGAACGGGAAGATGGCAGCGATGAAGCCAACCTGCTTACTACCACCACCCTGCCGTTTTTGATATCACGATTTTTCGTTTGAGGTTAAGGAGGTTAAGTAAGTTCTGAGTGAATGTTTCATATCCTACGTACATCTGTATCGCATTCTGATTGAAAAGCTTAGAGAATTAAGAACGATGGATATAGATCTCAAACACAGTAACCTACATAACCTCCAATTGACCAGAAAAATCACACCGCCAACGCGCTGCCGCTGTGTATTCATCCACTACGCATTCCGCTGCCATATTGATCGTGACATGTACATTCGAAACCTACGAGCGCTCAGTTCAAACGCTGTTTTAGGCCACCCTAATTTTTGGCACTTTCAAATAAACTTTTCTCCTGTTTGTAGTCATCAAAAAAAAAATTCGGAAAAAAACTGTAAGCTTCGGCCACTTACTACTTCCGAATGACACAATAAAAAAAATTGACTTAACTGACTCATTCTTAAATTCCAGAATAATTCACTTAAATACTTACGGCGACAAAGAAGTAGGGAATTATGGGATGGAACAAAACACACTGAATTATGCCTTTTGATTTAGAGAAGGGAATCTGTGACCGCCTATTTGACAGTTGATGAATCAGTACTGAGCGGTTCTCTCCGTCAGGCATCACAGTTGCAAAATAGTCACCTTTTGCATGCCAGGTTATCTGAAAAATAGAGGGCATATTTTAGAACTGGAGACAAATAAAAGTAACTTATTTTAAGTTTCTTCATTTAAATTTAACATTAATGCACATGGTGATAATCAACACTGCTCTTTAATGAATGGAGCTTACAGTAATGATTGACGAATTCTTTAATATTTTAAAATCTTGGTACTGATGCCTTACCTGTTTGATTTCTTTAAAATGATTGATGACGATTCTTATGCCTTTGTCCCATAGTTCTTTTTCTGGATGCTCCCACTGGACAGCAGCCTTAATTCTTTCAGCAACTGAAAACACAATATAATTTTAGAATCGGTAAATTCCAACTAAGGACTAAAATTAGGACTTCCCTGCCCATAATCAGAGGAGTATACTGACGATTAATGATGATAAACATCTGCGAGGGATGAAAGTTGGTATTAGAATGTGTGATACGGTTTTAAACATTAAAGGTAACTCTGATTTTTAATGCCTGAAATGGAGGGTGGGAGAAGCTTTTAGGTGGTCATCCACACTAGAATCATGACAGATATAAGGAGTGCCTCATCATAATGCGAAAATGAGACAATTTTTCTGACTCTGGAAAAAAATCTTTTTAACACAATATTAAGAAATTGATAACCATTTTGACTTTCCAGAGAAATCAGTGAATTGCACAAAAAAGGGAAATCTAGTTCGGATAACATGCAAAATTTGTTTCGTTTTGATGGATTGTGTAGAAATTCTAAGTTGAAGAAGATTTTTAGTTAAATTTTAACTAAAAGTTACTGAACACGCGGAAAGGCAAAAAATAAAACCAAGAACTTAGCTTACCTATCGCAGTCTGCTCAGGAGGCTCATCCAAGAGAGTATCAGTTTTTCCAACAACAAGAAAATCTCCAACACTCGGATTGATGAGGAGTAGTTTGCGATCAGCTGCCACCGCAACCAATGACAGTGCTGAGTTTGGACACCAAGCAACAGATCTAACAACACCACCAACTTCGAATGTCTTGACGCAACGGCCAGTGGATACTTCCCATACTGTAAAAAAAGGACAGAGAACTATAAATTTGGATGTACTGTGAATCGTCACAATGCATGCATTGTGCATGTATTGTATTGCAAGGAGCACACACAAAAACAAAATTAATAATGATCAGTATCAAACAAACTGCATTTTTGACAAATGTAGATATGCTACATATGTATATAAATGTGGGTCTTACATTTATCCTCTTGACTGAAAATAATATTTTCTACCACTGTTTATTGGTTACATTTTATCTCCTATTTTTAAGCTATTATTTTGAAAGACATAGGGACATATTGCCACCAACTATCAAAGACACTAGCCGATCGTAGATCAGGATTATAAGAACTGAACCGTAAATCTGCTATTTTACCTTTGGCTGTGCAGTCATCTGATCCAGACAAAAGATACTGTCCAAGAGGATCAACAGAAATGGTCCGGACCATGTTTGTGTGTCCTTTGTACGTGAGGGATACAGTGGTTGGGAAGGGCTGCAGATCCTTTGGACTTGGCAATTTTGGCAACAAATCTTCAGGTTGAATTGATTGCTAGGAAGACATAAATTTCAAAATCAATAAGGGCAAAAACAAGTAAAAATGTTTATTATAGGGAATGAAAAATTGATTTTTGCAGAAAATTGAAGCACCCAACTATTTCTTTCTTGGTTACTTACATATCTTTTTGGCTTATCATCTCCTGCATAAACAAAGTTACTGTTCAATTTCGTCCATTTCTCTTTCGAGGGGAGGTTGCTCAGAAAGAATTTTTATTCTCAAGGCAATTGCAAATTTTAAAACGTTTTCAATCAAGTTGATATTCTTTCATTTGAACGCAAAACAAGTTAGAGCACATACAAATTATTTAGTTATAACAAGTTGGTACCACAAGTTTCTGACCATTGCTTTAAAAAGTGAGTAATTTTCAACAATAAAATGATTCCATAGTTTCAGTTTTCAATGACTAAAAGTGGACTTCGTTCAACAGTTAGGAATATGATAAATCAAGATCAAACAAAGAAAAATAAGTTAAAAGTTTTATCCACCTCTAAGATGATAATGTTTGAGGGTAATTTTCACACTTAAAATGGTTTTCTCAACTTTGAATTTTCGACAGAAGAAAGTGTGCATCTTGTTAGACTGAAAACAACTCCTAACACATTATAAAAGGCATACAGACATAGGGTTTGGTTTCTTTCTGGTTTTGGTTTAATTCAGTTCAAATGTACTTGAGTCATAACAAAAAGATCATTGGATCCAAGTTATTTTTGGGACTCCAGTGTCTAAATAATGATGTTTTTAAACTTCATAAACAGATAACAAAATTAAAAAGAGAGCTTAAAGTACTTACTCTAACTTTTGTGGTACGAGGACAAAGATACAAGTCCAAACAGCGTGTAAACCTTTCTTTAACAAACTTTGGATATGCACCAACCTCACGCAAAGACTTGTGTTTTTCTGGCAAGAATGGATACTTCCGTCTCCAGGGTTCATCCTTCAGCGACTCCCACTCTTTCATCTTTGGACAGAGAAATGATAGAAATGAGGAGGAAAATTCTGAATACATTGGAGAGTGAAACAAGACTGTTGAGGATCCCACATCTCTTTAGGAGGAAGTTGAAAATAAATTCTGTACTTTCTAAGCTTTTCCAGACAAGATTGACTTCTTTTAAAACCTATGTAACTATGAACAGGGAGCAAAAATTGAAATTTTGGACACCTCAAGCAGTTACAAATACATGAATTACATGAAATCCGTTGATACAGTCATAGGTTCAGATTTTTGGAGGCTATTTTTTAAGAATCTCCGACTGTTGGAGGGAGAAAAAACACATATGTCATAGAAATGCTTGTTATTTGGCTGCTTTATGACAGATACATTTGTTTAAGTAATAAATTAAATTTGTCACAGTTGTTCTTGAAAAAAAGAGACTTACATTATTAAAGGCAGAAAGAACTTTAACCCATTTGCCTCACATGACGAGTTTACTCATCAGCGGGCGCCTAGGACATCATCTCAGCTGACGAATTAATTCGCGCCATTTTCGGCATTCCGACGCTTCAGATGCCATCTATCGGAAAATTGAAAAACTACTGGCAAAAAAATCGCACAGCAACGCCAATCGATGCCGCGAATTAACTCGTCAACTGAGATATGTCCTACACGCGCGCTGACGAGTATACTCGTCAAATGGGGCGAATGGGTTAAAACCATAAAAAAGCATGATACCAAATTCTGTGGAATGATAAGTCCATAAATTGATTTTGAGAGGAATATCCGTAACAAATTACCTCTTCTTCATCCAGGAGATACTCTGGTGGAGGATTATAAGATTCAACATGGGACGGAAGATGTCTTTTCGGGGCTGGAATATGATTCCTAATACGACGCATTTCTTCTGCAGTATTGTCAGTATCCCAGAGCATATAGAACTTGTTGGCTGCTTTCTTTTTCTCATACCTTTCTCTTTCTTCTTCTTCTAACGTTTTAATCCTACCCATTTTAATTCCATGTACTAAGTGATTAATCTGAAATCAGAAGCATAAAATTTAGTGCTTTAATGAAGCAGTAATGACTGATCATGAATCAGTTCTAGGGGGAAACATTCTGTTTCCATTAGAGCTGTGTCAATAACCTGAAATCAAATAAACCTGATGATAGAACTAAAATTCCGAGGGAGTGACTAAAAGAAGTCAGGCAACCCTAAAAAACATGATCGAATACTGACTCTCAGTAATACTCGTCAGACTTCAGACAGGCTTTGGTTTTTACTTCTCAGTGATAACGCATTCTGTATTTTGTAGAATTGGTGCTAGCATTTAGAGGAAAGAAATCTATATTAAGTTGTGCTTCTGCTGAAAACTATGGACAATTTTAAAAGCTTTGGCTGTACATGCTGTCTGATTTACATAGATTTTGCTGTGCATTATTCCTCGATACCTTGGAGAGGGCAATCATACGTGCTTAAGCTGATAAAATAATATTGGATGAAGGTTCAATCCCTGCGGCAAAGAATAATCAAAAACTTGTTAAAGGGAGCTTTCATTACTTGTGATGTTCTTAAACTAAAAAAATGAAATTATTTAGTACTATCCATTAAGATCGTATCATTTGAGAGAAATTTGATTATTTATTAATACTTGCAGACTTTGAAATTTTCTTGATCCTTTACTAAGAGCTATTTGATTAATAAAAAAAGGCGCTCAAAAGGAAAAAAAGGAGTTACATCACAAGACATTATGCAAAGTCATTCATTAGTTTTGATAACTTACCTTTTTCTTATATGCAAGACTAGGTAAGAAGGATCGTTTGTGCTCTGGGAATTTTCTTAGGGGAGTCTTCATCACCTCTGAGGTAAACCATTCGATCCATGGCTGAAAAAATAACGATTTAAAATCAGAAATAGGAGGAATTAAAAAATTAATAAAAAATAAGTATTTAAAATGCATTCATAGCCTTCTGCCCTCCGTATAAAATATGCCGGTTGCAATGTTATAAATAAAAAATACAAAATATGTATACATTAGCAGATTATTAGCAAGAAAAAACAATAACAATTGAACATGAGTTTGGCAAATAGTTCATAGAAAATTAGTGAGCCCATACACTAGGATCAGTTGAGCGAATAGTTCATTTTCTTAGAAAATTAATGAGCTCATACACTAGGATCAGTTAAGCTTAATATGGAATAATTTCTTCATCTTCTCAACTAGGAAGTGACATGGTGATGCTCAATAATCTCAATAATTTCAGTTAATAATTTTTTGATAATGAAGTCAATGATGTTTGAAAAGAAAAACTCTGAATAATGATAGCAAATGCTGCCTAATCATACATTCATGTTGCTATGTCTAAAATCCATTTGGCCATATCAGTTTCAGGTGGAAGATTTATAAAATTTAATTTTTCTTGCATTTACAAAAAAAGTACAAGACGATTTAAAAAAAAAGAGAATGGTGTGTGATATTCTCTCATGAAAAAAAGGAAAAAGATTATCTCGGTAACAATACAGCTTTGCGATGTTGAAACATCACTGGCTGGTGTAAACGTTCAAATCTATGAAAAAAAGGAATAAAGCAAAAACATTTGTGAGACATCTGGTGATGTTCTTACTTTATACTCATCATGACTTGGATCCGGAATTTTACTTCTTTCCAGCCTGCGAATGATCTTGACATCTTCTTTGCTGAGGATGACTCTTTGGCCAGTCATCGGATCTACTATTGTTCGCCTGAAAGAAAGCAAAAAGATATTCAATAGATCAGTTTGTATTGGTGAAGGATTCAATAGCAAATAGTGCCCTTGCATAGTTTTAAGAGCAAAAGAAATGGTAATGAGAGATAAAGTTTGATAAGTCTTCACTACTAACCAGTAATTTGGATCTTCCATCCGGTCTATGAATTCGTCCAGTAGATCACCTTGCTTGGGTTTCATTATTTTATTTCCGTCAAGGTCATATCCCAAATGCGGATAGTTTTTATACCAATCCATTGGAATATTTCCCACTGTGTTACGCAGCTCCTGCAATAATCAAAGAGAGGTAAGATAAAGTTTTCTTGCATTATTAAATATTTCTAATTTCAAATGACGATGAGCCAATATTTTTAACAGGGTGAAAATGAAAGAACCACTCTGAAATTGGATGTTCATTTTCTAGAAAATAAAAACACTGACGAATTACCAACTGTGTCCATGCTCAAAGCTATATTGTTATAAACAATTATCCATGTGGCAACCATAAGGCGAAGGCAAATCCTCATTTAAAGGCATCACAAAAATCCTGCGGAAGTCAGTACTGAGAGGATAGTTTGAGTGAGTTTTTGAAAACTTATTCCGCATGCATATACTTACAGTACATAACTTAGCCGGCGACCATGAGCCAACTACTTGCATGGTAGCTGTCTAGTTATTTCATAGTGTTTCTTGGTCAAATTTTGCACAAGTACCTGATATTCTACAGCATGATGTGATGCTCGGAAATTCCTAAGATTTGTCCTATACCTAATCTAGAAATTATCAAGTGATCGATTGATAAGCGAATCATTCTCCAAAGTGTAGAAGAATCACCTTGACACTCTTCATCCACAGCCTCAAGGTAACCTGGAATGTGTTTTGAACTCTTCTGGATGTTGAGAAAAGATTTGAAAGGTTGGACTGAACTGAAGTCACCAACAGGCGGTGGCAATATACTTTTTCCCGAGACCTATCAGAATTTTGGTCTCCACAACATATTAATAGGCTAAAAGAGGGGATTCAATTGAAAGCTTTGAGAGCTCCTCATTAAAAATGCTTCAGAATCGTGGTTATAGGATTGTCAATTTAAGTAATTGGTGTGAAAAACTTACTTCTTCATCAGATGAGTCCCCATCTTTGTATTCAGCAAACTGGAAAAGAGAGAAAAAAAATGTAAGGCATTTGAAAAAAATTACTTTGAGATTTACATACTAGAGTATGGTGAGAGCAATATCTTGCTTCGGAATAAAACCCAGATTCATATTGAATCAAAATAATATAAGTTCTTAAATTCTTGGGAAAAATTGAAACCTGATAAAAGTATCTATTAAAACTTCAGTTCTGTGTTTTTGATGTTGCAAAATACATGGAGAAATTGTTACTTTCGAGTCTTGTAACAGCCTTGTGATGTTCGCGTCAGTTTATGTGGAAAAGTAAAGTGCCATAGTAAGATCCTTCAGAAACGCAAATTATTTACTCACTTATTGTACAGAATTCTAAGAAAACCAAGAAAGAAATATATTTAACCAAAATAGACAAGGATACAACAAATGTAATAAAATGGGATCAACTTTAAACCTGTATTGTTCACAAAAGTACTTGGACAATATATAAGCAATTGCTCGGCGTTAAAATTACAACACTTGGGACTTCCTTTCTGCTAGATCACCAATGCGGTTTTCACACTTAAGCATGGGAGCTGTAGAAAATCTCTCATGGACCTTCCGGGCATCAAGCACGAGGTATCTCGTGATGAGGTGGATGAGGTCAATAAAAATCCATGCTGTATTTTTGTCGCAAAGGCATGCATTCTGTCATGTAGAGGGGGCTTGTTGGAGGTGAGGATATGAACTACAACTTCTCTCCTTTCTCTGCTGAATGCACTGCAGTTTATCAACATTAATCAACATAAACTTGAATTTTTCAGCAATTCATGATTTCTTACCCAGCGCTAAACAGGTTAAGGTTATTCTTGAAAGGTTTATTGCCTCTCTACATCATTTTTAAAACCTAGGAATTCAAATCCGAACGTACCGGATCCACTTAGGATACTGAAAATTTGATTGCTGAGAGGCACAGATTCTATTCTATCAAAATCATTTCCTCACCAATCTTTTTGCTACTAATTGCTCAAGTCCGCTGAGCAACCCACAGTGTAAATTATCGGTTTTCAGCGGCAGCAATAACATTGAACAGAATCACTGAGTCCATTCAGTTTAGGAGGTGACCTGAGGTGTATGCTTTGGATTAAGTGGATTTTCAAAAGTGAGAAAAACACATAAACGCTCTCTGAAACGAAATGTATATGTAGAAACAAACAAATAAGGACTTACATCTTCCTCATACGGATCATCACTGCTTGGTCCAGCATTGTCGTCTTCATTTGAGGCCGCGGCAGGTACCTCAGGGATTTCTACTCTCTCCTCCATCCCTATCGGTTATTCGTCACTTAAAAATGAACATAAAAGTTATAAACTGTAAAAATATTAGAATATTTCACCAATGTTAGTAAAAACATGCGAGGCACATGACAATTTTGACATCTAACCTTAAAAACACATGCGGCTAGGTGGCTGGTGCATTTCTCCGAAGCTCAACGTTGAGTAGATAAGGAGTGTAAACAAACAAAATCAATTATCAGTCAGTGACAATGGTGGAAGTGAAGTGAATTTTCACAGGGTTTCTCTCTACTAGTATCTTCCAAAAATCTTTGTATTTTTATAATTATTTAATTTATTTATGGAAAGTTCTTTTCCTTAGTAGACATTATGGATATTGATGAACCAAAGGTTAGTTTCTTATTATGTTTCACGATGATGAATAATTCCCACCTCTATCACGACGTTCTTGCTCTCATTTTTATCGCCAGATTTTTCCAGTATTGGTTGTCATTTCTTTAATATGTATTCTACAAGAACTTCAAGGCCTCTTGATTTGTAATTATGATAGCATTACTTTTTCTCTCAATCTGGTTTGTAGGCTCTTTATCATATGTTTGACTATCTATCGATGTCAAGGAGAGCTTTATTTATTGGAGACATTTTTCCTCTCAATGATGGACCACTTTCATTCATGAACTCCCTAAATTTACTTGACCATTCTCATGACAAGCGAAGTTGTGTTTTCAAAGTAAAATGTCCGCTGCTCGTGGACATCTTCCAAATTCCTGAGTCCAACCAGAGCTTGTTCATCGCATATTGAGACAAAGTCAGTCTATGATGGCTCTAAATCAGGACTAACCACTAGCTGAATATATGCATTAAAGTGGTATCAATTATGAGTGTTGATAGAATCATGACTCGACTTTTGTCTCAGCATGCGCTGAGCAAGCCTCAGCCATGCTTGAAGTTTCATGCTTGATGAATGTTACTGGATGACAAGGTATGAGGAGAATTTGTCAACTTCGTCAATAATTAGTCAGGAGAAAGTAAAATTGACAGCCTTGTTTGTTTATCATTGATGACTATGATGAGTTTTGTACTGGAGGAAGTACAAAATTTTGCTCTACCCATGAGAAGTTGCAAATATATTTTCATCATGCCAACATAGTTTTTTGGTTGCTTAATCCAGAAACACTCTCTTCTCTTCTTTTTGTGGCTTAAATGTTATCTTTTGTTCTTACAGGATGATGAGGATGAATTGGCAGCGCTCATGGCTGCCAGTACAACGGTCCGTAAGAGAAGACTTGAAGTTGGGCCCACTATCAACCCAAAGAGGCGCAAGCAATTGAAAGACCTAGCAGTACTTGTATCCGCCGATGATGCATGTCAAAAGGAGCGAGAACAAAGTAAATAAATCTTTAAAGGAAAAAAGCAAAGTTCTGTTAAGAACATCATCTGAGTGGGCAAATTTCTCAAAAATAATTGTACATGATCGAATTGAGGGTTAATTGTAAACCGTTTTTAGGGAGCTTTTTAGTAACGAGTAATGTACAAAAGATTGATCAAACAGCTCCATTACTTTCATGATGTGGTTAAAGCGATTGCTGTTCTGTTAAATTTCTCTTAAAATTTTTCCTCAACTCATTATTTTATGAGCAGGTCAATAAGTGCTTGGTAAAGCGCTGGAGTTCTTTTTGATTGAAATGCACTCACATTCAAGCTATGACAATCATCACAATTATAACCCTTATGGCATAAATTCATTTTGGGTTTCAGATTCGGAGAAACTCATATCTGGGCGTATTTCTGTCAAACGGAACTAAACGCCATAGAGGGAGGAAGGTAGAGGACAGCTTGGATTGGTGGCGGAACCGGGCGTCGGACCCATTCTGTCCTACACTCGCAATGCTTTTCCATGGTGCTTAGTTCCGTTTGACAGAACGCGCTATCCGGCATTCAAAATTCCTCAAAAGGAACTCAAATTGGCGCTTAGTTCCGTTTGACAGAAATACGTCCATCTATGCTGTGGCTTTCGGAAAATTTTAGTAATAATAATTTTTAAAAAAAGGAGGCATTGACAAAATTTGCACCATCATTAGACCTACAGTACTTATTATGAGTAGAGTGTTTGTGAAAGATTTTGCCAAAATGCGCTCGAAATTCAGTATAAAACTGAAGTCTCATTTTAGAGAGAAAAAGCTCATTCTAGCAGAAATTTTCTCTCATGAGAGGTATGCTCATAGAAAGTTATATTATAATTATTAGAGCAATATTTTAGACTTACGTGTTTTCTTTTCTGTGGACTGCTGTTTTCTTCAGAATTGATTATTTCTTTCCTCTGTTAGACTTTGCTGCCAACTATTTCAATAAACTGAAAGAACAATTGGAGCCGGCAGTTTTCGTCAAGGTTTTGGAACTTTTGAGTGACTTTGATGGGACGTCAGAAGGAGTTATCAATCTCTTCCAAGATATTTCATCTTTATTGCCACCTTCTCTTGCCAAGGAGTTCCTTTGTTTTTTAACTCCGGATCAAGCCCACCTTTGTGGGAAGTTCATGGACCATTTCATTTTGTCGAAAATGATCGAATTCTTTCGGAAATTCGAAGTGAGTATCTCATGTTTGATCTACGCCTACATTTTTTCAATTTTTTTATTTTCTTTTGCATCCTTCAGTGACACAGCGACACTCTTCAGTGGCGATATGACTGTTGAATAGAGTTTGTTCACCTCTCCTATTTTGTTTTATGCTCAGCTACTTATATCTTCTAAAGTCATCTCTTTTATTGGTTTTTCTTATTTAAATAATTTAATTTTTTTTGTTTTTGTGTTTCTTTACTCCAGATTTGTTTTGCAAAGCAACCTCAGATGGTGCGAAAATTCTATGACGTCCTTTGTCAGCTTGCCTCGTCTGAGGATGTTTCCTTGCAACAAGTGCGTGAGGCTGTTTTACCATTACTGAAAACCAAGAATTTTTTAATGGAGTACTTTCTTCAACTTTTTCCCTCTGAAAAACCGTCGGACAGGTATGTCTGAAGATATTTTTTGTTTGAGTGTGTGTATTGAAATTATTCTTTTTGTCAATACGGTCTAGAAATTATTGAGAAGAGTTAATTACTTCTATTTTTACTTGACAAGAAACTTAGTTCTGTTTCTCATCACGTAATATTTAAATAGATTAAATGTAAAATCAAGCTCCAGAATTTTCTTTGTTCTTCCATCTTATTTAAATAGTTCCGTACCAAGGTCAACAAAATCTCATCAAAATTTTAATTTCTTAATCAAAGAGAAAAATTTTCCCTCACAGTGAAAGAAGGAGGATTTTTTATTAATCCTCTAGTCTGGGAAGCCACCATTGACTCTTCATTCGAATTGGCCCATAATTTTATTTCATTTTTATTTTGGGCAAGCTACCAGAAGAATGATTCTTTTTTTTTTTTTAATAACATTGCTCTTTGGTTTTTTCAGCTTTGTTTTAGATGATTACGAAGACATATACCTTGATGGTGAATGTGGAGTTGAAGAAGAGATTCGGTTGGCAGAAACAGAGGAGTCAGCAAACTGCCCTTGCTCCTGCCATCCATCTCATGCAACGCATTGCCAGCGATGCGCAGTGAAAGTATGTAACTATTCCTTCTATGAAACTCCATTTGCCAGTACTCTTTTATGTATATGTATACATTTTTTTTTTCTTCCAAAATTTACAACGGTCAGGGCTATCTCATCAGCAAATTATGGTTTCAGTGGGAGGATGCAATGATTCTCCTCCAATCATAAATCTTAGCTTTCAGTTAAATATGCCTAAAAATGAAAAGTGCTGAGTAACGTTTTAAACTAACATTTTTAAGAATATTTTTTGCCTTTCGTTGAGAACATAATACTGTGCGAAATGTTCAAAAAATAACTAAGATAAAAAAAAAAACAAAACAGGAACACCATTACAGGAACAGTTTTATGCCAAGAGTAAGGTTTCTTCATCAGGCCGGTCAGGCAAGGTTATCCAAGCATCACAACACAGCATTTCCATCCAAATTTCATCTAGAACATAGCAGACACATTGGAAATTTTCAGTTTTAAGTTGTAATTGAGGAATTAGTATGTACTTCCTTCTGTTGTAAATTCTATCATACCACTCAAAAAAAAAACCAATCTTTACTGAGTCTCATTAGGTACCACATCAATTTTAAAAAAAAGTACCTAATTCAGCATGTATCGATACTCTCAGTGTATTGAGTAGGACTTAAAAAGTTTACAAGCAATCAGCACCAAAGGAGGCATAATTTGATGGGAAACGTGACTGTAGTTATTGACCTGAAAATGTTTTTTTTTTTTCAATGGCTGATTTAACTTGTGTTGATTATGGTCTTTTCAGTGAGTAGGAATTTTGAATTAATTAACTCTAATGTAATTACAAATTCTAATATCTTCTTGAAAAATCAATTTAAGTATTATTAAATTTCCATAAGTGGAACATGTACTTCATGAACTTTTGACAAGGGAACATGTCTTACGTTACTTCAATTCTTACCTTGCATATCACTTTAAATTAAATAATAAGTGTCATTTGCGTATGTCTCTGCCCAGACATTGTTTAATTTGTTTTTTGAACTTGCTTGCAGTACATCAATGGACGTGTGTATATCCAGACTGGCAAAGTGCTCCGCTCAGCAAGAGTTGAATTCAATGGATTCAATCCAGTTGATGCCCTCCGCCGCGTTTGCGTAAATAGTGAAGAACTAACACCAAAAGCGAAGCCCATTCGACGCAAACCTGATGTTCACAATCAGAAAGATTTATCCCCTATCAAACATGTGTCATCACCCCACATGGCAACAACAGGTACTTCTGATTTAAATCTGCCGATATTGTATCACAAAATATCCAGACTGATGTTTTAAGTGCCTGTTCTCTCTATAAATTCTATTTGTACCTTAGAGAGGAAAGTCAGCAAAGTAATGGTTGAGAGGTTCTCTTAGCCTCTGAAGGAAATTTGCAAAAGAGGAAAAAAAATTGCGTTAGGTTAGGATCATTTTGAGTTAGCGATAACAAACAAGCTATCAATCTTAAATTCTGTAAACCAGTTCGATAAAGTTGAACTTTAACCCTCAAGGAAGAAAAAAGATTTTTTGCATGATTTGAATTCTTCCTTATTTTGTGCATTACTTTTAGTGTTTTAGACTAAATTTCAGCTTTTATTTTATTTTTAAGTATGAAAATTGCTGATGGTGAGTCCCTGAAATGTATACTACTCACAGATTTTATCACAATGAAGCTTCGCACCTTCAAAATTATTTTCTTAAGCTGAGTTGTTAGGTCCATCATAAGTGACCAAAAATCAAATCCCACATAGACGTTTTCAGCAGAGGAGTTCTTAGTCATATCTATTCAAAGACATACATCAATAACAGACTCAGTGTCGGAAGTCAATTTTGAGTTATTTATGCTTATTGCCGATGACTGCTGCAACAGTACCATTCCATATGTCATTAATTTTTATGTGTTTGCTCCTTTCAGAATCTGAGGATGAGTCTCTTGAAGTGAGAACCATCAATGGAACTAACAATAAACCAAAATCTGCAAGATCACTCAAGATCAAATTTAAGTCCAGTGAAAAGCTCTTGGCAAAAGTTAAAAACCCTAGAACTCAGGAAGGATCTGAAGAATTGAAGATAATGTCTGATGAAAATGCTATCACTGACTTGCCTGACTGTTTTCTAGCTAGGAGGTTGTCACCCAGCGAGAGTTCCGAGCTGAGCAATCTCAATTTCAATAACATACTTTCTGACAATCAAAATGAGTACAGCAAGCACACAGATTCCGAGAGTGTGTTTAATTTTTCTGTCCATAGTCCACTGAGGAGAGCATCAATTTGCCTTGAAGGTTTTGACTCCACGAGTGAAAGTGCACAGAGCCCTATCAAAATGGATCAAAGATTGTGCATACCCCTGAAAAGAATAGATGACGATGACTCGCTGATGACAATACACAACAAAGACAACCATAACATTTCAGTAGAGACGATGAATACGTCTTCTGACAGATCTGGCTCTGAAATTTTCAAACCTGACACGCCCATGAAATCTGATGTCTCAGGAACTGTTGATACAATTTTAACTTCATCGGACGTTGATGAAATGAATGTGTTTATAAGCTCATCTAACATAGATAAAATCAATGTTTTTGGAGTGAGCCATTTTGAAGCAGCAAAAAGTTCTCAAAAATGTGCCGATAAGTACTCTGAACCTACTATGGATTCTATGAGCATCGATTCGTTTTTGAATATTTCTAACCTGGATGCCAAAATTGATTCATTTCTGACTAATGCTGAAGGGGCAAACAATTTAGATGCTCTTTTAAATGATTCTTCACCTGAAAGTTCAAATATGGAGAAGAATACAGACACTAAAGAGTCAACAAGTTTGCATCAATCAGAAATAGACAAAAATTATGTTGCTGATATCAAATCATCAATGAACCTAAGTCCAGTTCCGAAAGTTGTCCGTAATATGGACTCCATACTAGACTTAATAGATCAGAATGTGTCTGAAAGCAGAAATCCCTCCATTTTAAATGGTTCTAGTGAAAAAGTAAGAGACTTCCAGCTGCCAAAAGGAGAGGTGCCTGAAAAGGTTGAGATGAGTCCTAAAAAGGAAGAAATTCTGGACGAAGATCAGAAATCCAGCGTTCTCTCTACAACTTCTGATGCTCAGAATTTTAAACCAGTAAAGGTCCGTAGTATGGACTCAATCCTAGAATTTGTTGAACAAAATGTTCCTGCACATAGCAATATCTCAAATTTAAATATTTTCAAAAATGAAGATGAAACACCTCATTTTGAAAATGTAGATTCTCAACAGCTTGACAAAGAAGCACCTCAAACTAATCTTGAAGTTCGGTCAGTCAGCCCATTGAAGGACAATAAATCGGTGAAGGAAGAAGTAAAAGTTGAGGTTTTAGACATAACTTTTGAACCTAAATCTCCTCTGAAAATTTGTGACGCTCTACAGTCGAAGTTAATTTCAGATGTGAAGGAGGAAGCACCCGATACTAAAATCATTTCAAACATCAAGGAAAGCCAGTCTCTTCAAAAATGTAGCATCAATGAAGCGACTCCAGTAGATATAGATCAGGGTCTACTTAGCCCTAAAAGTGAAAATGGCTCAGTTCAAGAGGAGGCTGAAGAAGTAAGCCCGACATTTGCAGCTCTCTCTGCCGCTAAGGAATGTAGCATCTTAGAGCCTAAAAAGGAACAAGTTGACAGCCAAGATTCTGCGCCAATATTAGACAATAGTAGGGTAGAAAGCGAGACTCAAGCAGATGCAAATCAGGCTCTTCTCAGTCCCAAGACAGAAGTAAAAGAAGAAATGCAGGAAGAACTGCAGGAAGCAAGTCAGATGACTTCAGCCGATGTCTTCGGTAGTTTCAAGCCGAAGGTGGAAGTTGTTGACAGTGAAAGTAACGGAGTAGATTTCAGTGCAACAGAATCCTTAGATACAGCTAAGGTAAGGTGTCAGTTACTTGAAACGCCTTTAATAGTGAATCAGTCAGAGGCTGTTCAAAGCGTATCATTTATTTACGGAGAGGGGGGAGACGAAAATTTGAAAGTAACGCTTTTCTCTGCTGATCCAGTAGAAGAGAAAGCTATTGATACCGATATTCTATCAATTTCTACTGATTCAGCAACTGGAGAAACTTTTAGCAGACAAATTTTGCCTCACAATGGTGCAAGTGTTAAGATTATCAACAAGTCGTTACCCACTACTATAGTTGAGAAGTTGTCAGAGGACAATAATGCTGCAATTTTAGGCCGAAGTGAAGTTATCAATGAGCCAACTTCAGTAAATTTCAGCCAAAAGGAGGAAAACATCATTTCCAGTTCTTCAGAGGTTGAAAAAGTACCGAGAAACAATTTTTCTTCACTTCGTGATCTGTTAATCAAGGACCAGTTTAATCAGGAAATCTCAAGTTTCGTCTGCAAAAGAACGGAAAAATTACCTACTGCAAGCAGTTTTCCTTCAAGCTTTACAAGTAATATTGATAAAATTGAAGATCCCTCTACTACCCATTTAACAATAGTATCAAATAAAGAAAGATCATTGCCTCATGTTGCAAGGGGTTCCTCAAAAGATTGCCAAAAAAGATCACACCTGAAACTTTCTGACTCAACACCAGTCAGATCCTCTGTCGATATTCAAAATAGTGCTGAAGCATTACCTGTGGAACTTGCTGAATCTCAGAAAAATGGAAGAGGAATAGTAATATCCACGTCAGGCTCGGCTGTTAAACTCACGGAAGGCCACGGGAACGATTCCTTAACAGATTCCTCTCAAGAGCTTCCAGAGGTGCAGAAGTGCGATGAACTTGTCTCCCCAGATTGCAGTAAGAAGCAAGAAACGAATGCTGAGAATATTGAGAAATTGATGTCCAGTGAACATCAAAGTCAACTTGTAGATAATCACCTTAAGAAGGAAGATTCTGTGAACCTCAGTGATTATGTAGGGAGTAAAGCAAAGGACCAAGGAAACGACTGGACAATGGAAGAAGACAAGATAATCTTGCAGACATTCCAAAAAGATCCAGATATGCAAGATATTTTCTCTAAGATACAGACTCAACTGCCGGAGAGATCTCTGCAAGAGGTGAGGTTTTTTTTGTTTAAAATGTGAGTTACTCAGTGCAGGGGTGCAGAAAGTTCTTAGCCCTCCAATTTTTTGAACTGGCCTTCCCATTTCAAAGACCCATTTCCCCCGAAATTTTTTAGCCTAATGACCTTTTTTTCGTCCTTTTTTCATCAGTTGCGGAGTTTTGGCACGGAAGACGCGAATTTCACCACTATTTTACAAAAAACTTGCAAATTTCTTTGTGCTTTTCACAGGAACATGCGAATTTAATGCTTCATTCAGTTCACCTTCTCAATTTTCCCAACCCTCCCATTTTGTCCGACCAGCAGCCTTGCAATCATGATCGATCAATCGGAAAGTTTCTGTACCCCTGACTCAGTATTGTGTTTTCTGTTTTGTTCTATTCAATAAATACCACATGGATTATCCATTTGCTCAAAATCGGGTCAGTTGTAAATTAACATTTTTCACTGGATTACATCTGGCCTAAATTTTTACCAGCATAATTTTTAGCGGAAAAGTGCCCCTTTTCAACAGGCAATCGATTTTACATATCTACTAAAAGTAAATATCAATCTCTATTGAATTTCGCAGCACATCAAGGATTCTGTCTTTTAGAAGCATTATTGTGCAAGGGTGGTTCAAAAATGAATTTTCCATATTTTTCTCTCAAGAACTATGAATGAGAAAAAGAGCTCTTCATTGATATTTATTCAAACTATGTCTAAAGGTGGTTTTTTTCCTCACATACTTAATTTCAGGAAAGTTAAAATTGCCAGAACTCAGCAACTCCCCATCTTTGTCTCTGATTTTTTCTTTTTTTCTCTCTACAGAACCTACAGGTACCTACAGGTACGCATGTAAGATGTTTGTTCCCTAAAATATATTTTCTTTTACCGTGTGCCTATTTTGAGCCTCAACAAACTACAATTCTGTTTTCAGGTTCAAAGTCGGTTCTATGTTCTGATAGAGTTGTTGGAAAAAATGTCGCACAGCTCTGAAGATGCTAGCAAGAAAGAATAAACCAAGCCAGCGAACCATACTTTATTTTTCAGTACAATCTTAAGAAATCCACCTAGCACATGATATATACGTGCAACTAGCCATAGGAAGGTAAAAATTGAGTTTTCATTGATCAAAGCCCTCAACGAGTTTTAGCACATAATTTATTGTTAATTTCCAATTGTTTTTACAGTTGACTCCCTGTGATATATTTATAAGTTCTAAATTATATTTTTCCTAATAAAATGATTAGGTATAAATTTTCAGTGTTTTACATGTCCAACTTTGAAAACCATCATTTGCGGTCATGTGCAGACTCTCAAACTAAAAGTTTGTCCCTTTGAGCAATAGGTATATTGGATCAAAAGTAAAACAGCAGAAGGCTTTATATCATGCCAATTTATGATTTTTATATGCAATTTGAGACATTGAAACATAGTAATTCAAACGCCTTCCAATTTAAATTATGTTTTAATAATACCTGAGTAATTTCTTCTTCCATTTGAAAATAAATGAAAATTTTCAAACATCCAGTTAAGTTGGTACATAGATTTCAAGGTAATTTTTCGAAATTGCATAAAAGAAATGTAAAGTTTGTAAACCATCCAAAAAGCGTAGTTTTTTAAAAACATGAATCGTTTAATTAAATTACAGACGTTTTGAAAGTGGGAACCAAATTAATCTGCATTGCTTCTTATTATTTTTCCTTTTGGTATTAAATTCGCAAAGTTATTACTTAAAGGCAGTTGAAACTTTAATCCACACACTTTTGCCACTACCCTCATAAATTCCTATCAAATCTTGTATCAAAACAATGGAGAATTTGCATGCAAATTTTTTATTGCTTCATCTGAAAGTGCTTAAAGAGCTGATTTCACAGTATTTTTTATTATTTTGTGCTGATACAGGAAATAGCACAAAAATAGATTTAAAAGTGAGAAAATTCACCGCTAAGTGCCGTCACCTGGCAGAATTTCCCATTTAAACACATGTATTTTAGCAGATTAGATCATTTTGTCAGACCTTCTCCAATAATTGTTCAATTCATGAACCAAGGGCACCCCGTGTTCAGTAGTTTCCTTTTAATAACACGAAATTCATCAAATTTCAGACACCTGCAAATTCTCCATTGTTCTTCTTTTTTTTAGGGGGGGAGGAGGGAGTAAGGAGGAGGGGTGACGATAAAGGAAATGAATTGAGATAAAAAGTCTAGATCGAAAGTTTTACTTGAAAAAATACACAAAGGAAGTTAAGATAAGAAAGTAGAAGTGTAGACACTAGAATCGTACAAAATGAACAATATGCCTTACTTATGTACAAATCAAAATTAAACAAACAATCTTAGTGACAAAAACTTAAACGTGATCTACATACTACTGACTTGATAAGTTTCTTATTGCTACGAGTCCCACTCTTGCTGTACCTTTGTAGTTAATGATACCTAATTGAGGTGCTGGGTGCAGGACGAGCACCTCTCGGTTGCGGTGTTACAGAATCTCAACTAACAATAAAAGTTTTGTAGAGGAATCTAATGGATGATTTTTCTATGACATTTTTACTTAGTCCAAAATCTTGTAGAATCACAGAAAATATTCAGAGGAAGTTTCAAAAAATATGTATGCATTTGCTTTTACTTACACTAGAAGAAGTGTTATCCTGGAGATTCTGAGGCGCACTGCACCTGAGAAGGATACCTCCTGCTCTCTGCACTTCAATTATATTCTCTGGAGGAGAGCCATCAATTTTTGCATAAGAACTTGGGAATCCACTCACATCATATGAGGGGCTTGGAGGACAAGGTGCATAAGTGCAGTTTTTGCTATTTCAAGAAATACATCTTTGAAGTTTTCATATTATAGGTGCATGAATCCTTATGGCGGAAGAAAGTTCAAACTAACTTTTTGATGCTTAAAAACTGGAATTTTAGTGCGAATTTTACACAGAATATGCATTAAGACTAGTTTCACTTAAAATCATTATTATCTCAAATTTTTCAAAAACTGCACTAATGTGTCTTACCCTTCAAGCCCCTCAAATGTAAATTCAAGAGGGAGAAAGAAGCAAATTGTGCAAATACTTTTTACTGAATGATGATAGTTGCCGGGACATTGGCGCAAGGAGTTGTCGCAAGTTTTTATGTAATCTGCATTTCTCCGCAAAAGCCATGATGAAAATTGACGGGCTCCTGCACAGGCGCAGGAAACGCGGCAGTTCTTTTCGTGAAGAATAAACTGTTTTTTTCTTAGTTCGGTACCTTGATAGGGAAAGGATCGTGAAGAAGTAATATAGGATGCGCAACTCCTGTTTTTCTGCTGTGGGAGGGAATGACATTTATTTTCAAGCTTCCAGCCCAAGTAGCATTAATCTTTATGAGTGGCAATGACATCGTCAAATTATTGCAATTTTATTAATGTAAGTATATCTATCAAAAGAAGTCGCAAAAAAGTTGCTGAATTATCACAATTTTTAGTTGTGGCTTCGTGCTGCTCATTCTCTTAGTTCCAGGAGTCAAATGGCTTGGCAAAACAGTTGCAATTAAACTTTTTAGTTCCAGGAGTTAAATGGCTTGGCAACAAAGTTGCAATGAAACTACAATTTTTGGATTGCACGTTCTCGACACTCACTTTTCCTCTGGTAAGAATCATTTGCAATGATCATAAGTATAGTGTACTGGCCATCTGTTGATTAAGGATTAAGAGATAAGCGTTCATTTTTTATATGAGATAATAGAGTGCTGACCTACGCACAGTGGATCAAGTCAATTAGATAGGTCGGACATTAAATTTTTGACTAAAACTGAAAATTTTGATGTTTATTTAGTCACATTTTGCATTTCAAGGAGTGCTTTCAGAAGCAAATTTCACGAGGAAACCAATGGATCCACTTTCAGAACGTCAAAGTTTTGTACGAACGGAGTTATATCAGCGTTTAAAGTTTCCATATTTTGTCCGACCCTTCCCACTGACTCGATCCAGTGTGCTACGTTGGGTTTGGTTTGGTTACGCAACTAAACTAACTCTGCGGCAAAGCGTGCGGTATCAGAGAACACTGCAGGCGCTAGTCTTACTCTCAATCGTGCGGAGCATTTTTACCGCGGTTCTGGACAGGAAATTAACGCGCTAATTTTCTGAATGAAAATTTATTGCAAATTTGATTTCTCGAAAAATGCCACTTGGGAGGCTACGGACTCGATAAAAGGTTTATTTACAAGTGTGGATCTCGGTGACCCGTGTACAAGTTTTACATTCGACAAAGCAGCACCACTGAAACTTGCAGTCGCATCGCTCCTTCACGATCATCTTCTTAGTGTTGTAGCCTCGGTCGCAACACATCAACTTGCAGCCGTCCATCCCAATCGAAGTCCGGTTGCAAATCCGTCCCTGAGTCCCTGAAACAACAGAAGTGGAATCATTATTAGCAGCGCCAGCCATCATTGGTTGCGTCTTCTTATAACGAAAGATCCCCGAATCCCTCTCTCGCTGCTACATCGCTAAGGCCTTGTCTCCACGGGACGTTTTCATGAGATTTGTCCCAAGTTCGAATCGCAGGAATGAAACTTCTGGGATTTTTTCCAGTTACCGTCTCCACGGGACGGGGCTCATACAGTCCTGCGACTAGTTTTCGCGGGAAGATAAATTGGTTGAAGTCGAGTGTTTAACCGGGATTAGAATAATAATTGCACTCAATTGACAATTAGACACATTATTTTAACTAAACAAACATTAACAATGTAGTAATGAATAAAATATCGCACAATTCGTTTTCACTTCTTCTTCTTCTTCTCTCAGTGGGTCCTAGGGGTACAAGTACCATAGGTACTTGGTACTGGGAAAAATATTGATTAACTCAATATTTTTCCCAACTTCGTAGGTGGGATTTTTCCCTGGGACAAATCTCGTGAAACGGCTCGTGGAGACAAGGCCTGAGGAAAAATCGTAATTTCAGCTTCACAACATATTGATGATATATACATTGTTCTTTGAGCTCGGGGTACCTACTCATTATTATCTTCAAATAATCCATAATTTGCACTTCTACCCAAGTAGAATTTCTCAACGGAAAAATCGCTATATATTGCGATTTTATCGGCGATAAAATCGCCAGGATCATCAACATCTGAGCGATTATCCTCGATTTTATCGCCCGACAGTTTATCGCGATATTTTCGAAATAAAAATCGCCATAAATGGCGATTTAATCTCGATTTTATCGACAAAAAATTGCGATTTGTTGCGATTTAATCGCCATATATCGCGATTTTTAATGCGATAATATCTCGATATATTGCCACCGATATAATCGCGATCACCAACCGATAAAATCGCTATTTATCGCGATCAGTGCTACTTGGGTAAGAAAAACACTAAATTCCTCCTTTTATGAATAGAGGATTTGAAGAAGTCTGATCTGAATGAATTTCGTGTTTAAGTGGTATCATCGATTCAAGTGAAGAAGAGGATACCCTCGGTTCATAAATCGAAAAATTATTAAAGAAGAGGATACGACAAAATGATCTGATAAACTAAAATACATGTGTTTGAATGGGAAATGCCGCCAGATAACGTCACCAGGCGGTGCATTTTCTCAATTTTAAATCCATTTTTAATACTTTTTTCCACCCTGGTAAAAATTTGCGATTAGGAGCTACGTTTCAAAATACCATAGGAGTTCTTATATAGCCGACTGAAGAAGGCGATAGAAAATCATATATAGCTGGCTGTAAAGTGGAAAAAATTATACGGCCGGGCTACACGAAGCGATAAAAAATTATACAGCCGGGTTATAGTTCCTATCGCCGGGCTTTACACTTTATCGCCTGGCTGTTGCTTTTTCGCCATCGGCTATAAAAGGCTATAAGAAATTGTTTAGAAATTCGTGTGCTTTGTAAATCCTTAAGTTTGTACGGAATCACCTTAATATTTACAAAACACACATTATATTTTCCTTTACTACATATTTTTTTTCATCAATTAAAATGAGAATAATCCATACAGAGTGTGCAAACATTTCAAAGTCACGAAAAACGCTGACTCCACGAGATTAAATATTAGAGCCTAACACAAAGCGGAGCGGCGCGCGGCGGCGCACTGGCGCCTACAAACCTAACAGGGATACTTCACGCATTGCGCAATGCGTGAAGTATCCCTGTTAGGTTTGTAGGCGCCAATGCGCGTTTCGCGCTGGCTGCCCGCCCTGCGCGCCGCGCCGCAGCGTACCACGGCGCTTGAAGCAACTATTTTACTCCAGAGGTATTGCACAGTATCATACGAAATTGCAGGCGCTCCAACATGTTAGGAATGGCAGGCATCCTTCAAAAGCACGGAGCTTTCCTCGCAAAATAAATCAAGATACTGAGGCCCAAAAAGAGAGCGGTAGTCCACAAAACTTACTAAGTCCTAGCATCCGTAATTAGTAACGTTTAGCATACATTTTATCGCCAGGCTGTTGCTTACTCGCCATCGGCTATAAAAGGCCATAAGAAATTGTGTCGCCGGCTATAGAAGCTATTGGAAATCTTACAGCCGGCTGTAGGTCTATGGTATTTTGGAACACAGATTCTACTGCCAATTTTCACCAGGGCATGCCAGAAAGAAATTGAATAAATTATTGAGAAATTAATTCCTTAGCTTTCTCAGATAAATAATAATAAAAAAAAGAAGAAAAAAAAAATCTGCGTGCAAAGTCTCCATTGTGTATATTCGGCTGAGAAAACAGAATATGCCCAGGTTATGAACCCACCCTAGTGTAACGTTTTAAGAAGGAAAATGATCTAAGTTGTCCCAAAAAATTGTGACACTGACCTACAACCAGGGCCGGATTTACCTACTTTTCGGCCATGGGCCACCTGTATTTTGCCGCCCCCTTCTCATTCGTTTTGAAACATCAATAAAAACCATCAAGTGAACGTGCTGGAGGGGTGGGGGAGGGGTTGTGCATAAGACGCGTTTGCGTGTTGGGCAAATTTTTTGTGAAAGCCTCAACACTAGCAACATTTCACGGAACTTTGCGCGAAAGTTAAGTTTTGTAAACTTATCTCTATGTGGACAAGGCCTTCCATTTCTAAGAAATGAACAAAAAAATTATGAAAGAACAAATATAAATGTGATTGAATAATTTTAACTTCCGCCGCCGCGCTGACCGCAGTGTGTTTGACGCAATGCGTGAAGTATTCATGCAGTCTTGTAGGCGCTATGCGTCTCACGCTGACTGCACTGTATTTGACGCAATGCGTGAAGTATTCATGCAGTCTTGTAGGCGCTAATATGTGTTACATGCCGACCGCCGCGCCGCGCCGTCTTTGCGACCGCCGCGCGTCGTGTCGGGGGCTTCTCCTTTTCATCTCAAGTCCTCGTCATCATTGCTCTCTGCACCGTGCCGCTCCAGGCCAAATTGCGTGTTTGGTTTCTCTCTTAACTCGACTAATTAAAGGTACTGTCTCTTGTATCACCGAAAGACAACAAAATTAGACATTACTATACACTCAGAAGATGAGAGATTTTGTCGCCTTTTCTCGTTTTCTGAATCCGATTTTTTTTATACCTATATTTGAATAAAATTGCCGCCCCCTAAATTCGCCGCCATGGGCCGCGGCCCATGTGGCCACCCCCTTAATCCGGCCCTGCTTACAACCGAGGGCCGAGTGCATGAACATGTTACCTTAGTAATACTGAGAATTGAAGATAATTAACTCTAGCTGTTATTCCTCCATTTAAATAAAATAAAATTATCGATTATAGGTAGGGCAAGCTGCCTCACCAAGAATCGATTGTTTTACATTCATTTAAATCGAGGCAAAACAGTGATGCCAACTTTCACGAATCCTCACTGGTTACCAACTCGGGCGAAAGGCGATGACATTATTTGACGGAATTTATCGAAGTGCACGTCTGCACGTGCCAAATAAATTCTCCACGTCGACATTAAAACAGTTTGCTGTATAGAGTTAGGTGTAGCTACACATGTCTATAGAAACAAGCGTGGCGAACATCTCACTTGATGTTTTTGGACGGATTTTTCGCGTGAAATCCAGATATACCATCCATTTCCACCTTAATCAAAATTAGATACAAAATTTGATTCTGTGGGCAGATCGACCGAAAATTTTTCCCCCGGAAATTCACTTTTCACCAAGACAAACGTAATTGATTTTTTCGAAAAAGTTCAACTGATCGGGAGTAAGGAATATACCGAAAAAAATAATATGCTGTTTTAGCATCTAGGATGTCAAAAATGTGTCTGGTAATCCCAATATGCTGCCTTTACTGCCCCGGCAGTTGAATTTGCATTCACAGGATGTAAAATTAACTGCGGGGGCAGTAAAGGCAGCATCTTGGGATCACCAGACACATTTTTGACATCCTAGATGATAAGAAAGCATATTATTTTTTTCGGTGATAGTATTTTGGCACCAGAAAAATTTTCTCAAAACATCTATCAATTTGCGATGATGAGATAGGCCTATACAGGGTGTTTCAGACCACCCGTACCAGGCCTTTTTCTCGGTTGGTTTAGGTCGCACGAAGTCGAAGACCGCGGGGTTGAATAGGGAATTGACCCCAAGGAATCCGAATTTCGTGGTCCCGAAACCCCCCCACTCCCCCTTGGGGGGTAAAGGGGGGGTCACGATGCTAAAAGTCACGGTTCTCGACCGAATTGCGGATAGATCGCATCAGAATTGAAAAGCACGGAAAATTTCACGTGGAATTGACCCCTAAAAATCCAAAATCGGACCATCCAAGGCCCAAAAATGACCCCCTAAAGAGGGGGACAGTACCCCCCTCCATAATTTCTCTTTGGTCTCAAAATTGACGTAAATTCTCCAGAAAAAGACGGTTTCTCAGGTAATCGACCCCGAGAAATCCAAATTTCACGGTCCCGAAGCTCCTCTAGTCCCCCTTGAGGGGTAAACGGGGGGCCCAATTTTAAAAATCGGGGCTCCTTTCCGAATCGCAAATTGATTGCATCCAAATTGAGGAGCAGAACACATTTACATCTTAAGTGACTCCTATGAGTTCTAGTAGACCCCCTGAATGGCAGAAAGTAACTCCCTGAGGAGAGGGGCTTCGCCCCCGCCAAAAATTTCTCAAGATTCCTCTTTGGTCGCAAAATTGACGTCGATTCTCCAGAAAAAGACGGTTTCCCATGTAATCGACCCCGAGGACTCTAAATTTCATGTTTCCTGAGCTCCTCGGGGTCGATTACATGGGAAACCGTCTTTTTCTGGAGAATCGACGTCAATTTTGCGACCAAAGAGGAATCTTGAGAAATTTTTGGCGGGGGCGAAGCCCCTCTCCTCAGGGAGTTACTTTCTGCCATTCAGGGGGTCTACTAGAACTCATAGGAGTCACTTAAGATGTAAATGTGTTCTGCTCCTCAATTTGGATGCAATCAATTTGCGATTCGGAAAGGAGCCCCGATTTTTAAAATTGGGCCCCCCGTTTACCCCTCAAGGGGGACTAGAGGAGCTTCGGGACCGTGAAATTTGGATTTCTCGGGGTCGATTACCTGAGAAACCGTCTTTTTCTGGAGAATTTACGTCAATTTTGAGACCAAAGAGAAATTATGGAGGGGGGTACTGTCCCCCTCTTTAGGGGGTCATTTTTGGGCCTTGGATGGTCCGATTTTGGATTTTTAGGGGTCAATTCCACGTGAAATTTTCCGTGCTTTTCAATTCTGATGCGATCTATCCGCAATTCGGTCGGGAACCGTGACTTTTAGCATCGTGACCCCCCCTTTACCCCCCAAGGGGGAGTGGGGGGTTTCGGGACCACGAAATTCGGATTCCTTGGGGTCAATTCCCTATTCAACCCCGCGGTCTTCGACTTCGTACGACCTAAACCAACCGAGAAAAAGGCCTGGTACGGGTGGTCTGAAACACCCTGTATGTGTTACATGAAAATTGAGTTCATATTTATTACAGTGGCAAGGCGTGAAACATCGAATATTGATGTTGCGCCTTTTGAATCTATGGTAAATAATTGATTATTAAGGTGTTCGTTGCAAACACCCTATCTATCGATCCTTTTTCGTAGGTTTAAATGGCAGATCAATCGATACATCGCAAAACACACTGTGCATCTCGGAAGAAAAAAATAACTTACCGAGGGAATCAAAGGTCAGATTTCGAATGCAATAATTGGGTGACTGGTCAATATATATGAGATCACTAGCAGTTGGAAGGCTGAACCGGTTGTCCCTCATCTGCAGTCGCCCCTTCTTGTTTAGCTTTACTTCAGCTGCTCCATCATATTTTTCTTTGATGAAATCGCCTGTAACAAAATTTCAAAGATTTTGGAAGTGAGACAAATTGAAAAAAAAGTTCATACGGCGTTGCTAAATTTGCAAAGCATTTGTTATATCCTCATGAAAATATATTCTCATGGATATTCGCCAGAAATTGGTCAGTGGGTTAATTCATTCGTCGGTTAGCGGATGGATTGCATTTAAAATTAGTAATTAAAATAGGGTAAGGTTTGTCGAATGGGTTGTTGTTAATGACTAAATGAGAGGCTTGTAGGAAAAAGAGCATAAATGCAGCTCTTGCTATTTCAAGATATAAGCGTTTAAGATTTAAAAATTACATAGGGCCTGATGGCGGAAAGAAAGTTCAAACTCACTTTCTGATGCACAAAAATTCGATTTTCGCGGTGAATTTTCCACAGAATATGAATTAAGAATAGTTTTGGTTGAAATCATTACTATCGCATTTTTTCAAAAACTGCACTAATCCCACTTGTCATCCAAGTCCCTCAAATCTGATAGTTAAATTAGAATTTATTTGACTAATTTTTATAAAACTTAATTCATTCACAGACTCTATGACGAATAACAATAAGATTACCAATCATATAAAAAACTTCAAAAATATTTATGATTTTATTTTGATTTAAAAATTATAATTTGAGATAAATATATTAATAACAATTTAAATACGAGAAAAATTATCTGTTGGCGTGATTTCCAGAATTTTGGCCGGCCAGTCCGCGGTGTGCCATGCCATGAGTTCCCCAATGCCGAGAGGTGCTTTTAAGAATCAGTCAGAAAGATTCGTTACTCATTGCAAAATGAAGCCCGATAAGATAAATTCGATTTGATATTCAAGCTGAACCAACTACGCAAAGCTTCGGGAATGGACGGTGTCGAGGAAGAGTCAGGGAAGGGCAGGAAAACGGATATGAGATATTTCGACGGGTGTTTGATGAAGACGCAGGTTGGGTTGCATACCTCCCGGGGCGTTCGACGGCACGGGCCCGCCCTTTCCCGCCCCACGACTCGCTACGACGGACTGATTTATTTATTTATTCAGTTTATACTTCAACTTCCCGTCCGGTTTGACATTCACTTCGATGCAGTTTGCGCTGGGAAAATGAATTTATTGAAATAGGGCTCCTGCAAACCGTTGCGCTGAGGCGCTCAAAGCTCGAAATATGTGATGGTAATACATCGTATTTGATACATCGAACAGGTGAGATCGTATCGATAACGATTGGTTCAACATGTAAACATATCTTGTTGTTGTTGTAGGTTGATTGGCCTAATTCAGCTTTGCAGATAAGCAGCCACTTTCAAAAGTTCGGGATCACACACTAGATGATCATTTCCCTAGAGAATAAACAAAGTTTAATGTCTTAGTCAATGGTTGGTTCGATTATAATCTACTGATCTTAAAAAGTCAATCGAGTAAACTCAGCGAACGGGTTTCTTTTGATAGATTTTGGATTACTGTGAGTGCAAAACGGCAATAAAAAGTGAAATTCTCAGGAATTTTCTCATTTCAAGCTTTTCCAACTCAAATGCTAAAATTTTTATTCGAGGTTATGTTCTATTGTTTTGAACCAAACAATACATCGAACCACTATCGAATACGATTCATATGGTATCTGGTTACGAGACACAAGCTGAAAATTGAGGTGGTCGATGCAAGAGAGCCCTCAGGACTCCAAAGGCCTCCATGCGGAATTTCACAAAATAACCGCAACGGAACCAATTTTAAACTTTTTCGTTTCAAATTCTCGAAGATATTAGCATTCTAAGTTTCCAAATTTCGTCCGACTTTCCTATCCACTCGTTCTACTGTGCGTCGCGTCGCCGTAGTCACGTACCCTGGTCGTAACCTCCTGTTTTTTTGCGATTTGCAGTTCGCGAAAATTTAGTTCAACCCACGATACTTTTCCGAAGTAATTACAAGCTTGCGCAATTGTGATTCCGCGTATCAGCCCCAACCAAATGAATCATGGGGATGAGTAAACATTTAGCGGGGGAGGGTTTTGAGTGTTGGATCTTGAGGTAAGCCGTAAATCAAGAAGGGAGGCTCCAGAAGGGAGGCTCCGGAAGGGAGCTTTATGAGCCCACCGGGAAAATGAGAGGCATAGTTTTTATTCACTGTCGCGGAGAAAGTTAGCAGCTTTCCTATTGAGAGACTTTTTTATCTCAAGCAATGTTGTCGGATCTTCTGAATATAATGTTTTTTGTAAAACGCTAAGATTTTGATCAGTATTGTTTTCAGCACCCGTTCCTTCTGCATATTCCCATCGAGCTACTTTTATTGAGAGCAGGGCCGAATTTAGGATTTTAGCACCTTCAAGAAGGTTCAGTATACTGAACAAAAATATGGTAGATTTTACCGTACTCTGACACAGTGATACGAATACGGTAATAACACCAAATTCTATGGTAGCGTTTACCATATTATGGTGTGCATTACTAGAGTTCTGGTAAAAAGTACTGTAATTCTGGTTATTTTCACTAAATAGTATCACCGTGCAAAAAATCAAGAAGACTTGTAGTAGATGTTGCCATAATTATTTCAGTTTGGTAATTAGAAGGGATCCGATCCGAGGTACCTTTCTCGATTTTTGATATTTTTTTGAAAAACCGCTTTGAAAAAAGATATTTAAGAAAACCGCAAACAATTGCGATCGTTTTTCAAATTTCCCGCTATCTTCAGCACGCTCTGGCGGATGGTATGCGCATGTTATCAAAACTTTGATACATGCTCCTAAACCAAAATTTTACGTACTTTCATTTTGCAAAAAAACTTATTTTGCCATCTGACGCACAGAGAACGAGTTATTAATGATTTTTGGACAAAAAATGAGATTTGGTGACGTTTTTTCAAGATGGTGGCTTTAGCGGCAAAAATCGAAGGTAGAAAAGTTCAGATTCGGAATCAGCGCTAAAAAACACATAGGTTACATATGCCAGAAAGTTTTTCGCAAAATTTTCTAGCTAGGGCCCTTTTTTTGCTTAGATTGACTGGACTAACTCCACGGAGTATGTTCTCCTGCCTACCTTGATCATCGAAGGCGCAACGGACCGCGTTTAGCAGAGAGGGACCAAGCCACATCAGCTATTGTCAAAAACTGGGCAATCTAATTTTTTACAAGAGAACGTTTATGCGGATTTCTTTGAACATTTTAAGGGATTTGCTTCGTAGTAATGCAGATAATCTACTGAAACTTGCACAAAAATTTGCACAACCGTTCAAGCACTGAATTGCCCAATTGAATATGGCAACAGTTCATGTGGCTTGGTTCCTTTCTGCTTAGCGTGGTCCAAATAAAAATGTGAGTAACATCCACAGCCACACCCTTTCGTTTCAATTCGATTTCTCCTGAATTTTCACTCAGAAGTTCAACTTGAATCCGGGATTTCCTTGTACACGTACGTCCCCCAATACATACATTTTTTTTCCCCAAGAGAAATTATTTTTTCAATAGATAACATGAGATCATACATACATAGTTATCCCTAGTTATTCCCAAGTTATTCATAGTTATTCCCAATACATACATCGATGGTGATAGTATCAAACCACGAATCTAGGTTCGCGATGTTGCAAATCTCCTGTCATTTGGTACTTTTCTTAAAAATAAAAAAAAGCCTAATCATCGTTTTTGCACAAAATTTCGCACTACCTATTTTCTTCGTTCTTTCAAATATATTCTCTGAAAATTTCGGAGGAAACGTCCAGAGGATTTTTTTGCACAACGGGTGTGATCGGACATTTTTAAACATCGTAATACGAATCCGTGCTTTCGCAGTTTTGCCGTCGGGACCTTTCACATGTTCACCATCTCGGTTAAGTACAAGATTTTTCCTCACAATCTGACGCCTGCAAATGAAATTGCACGTCTCAGGATATTGCCACGAGCCTATACCTTCTCAAGTGGCGTGGCGTGCTTTGCGATATATCGATTGATCCGCTGTTTAAACGTATGGAAAAGGATCGATGAACAGGATGTTCGCATGCGAACACCTTAATAATCGATCTTTTATCATGGCTTCAAATGGGGAAACATCGATACGTAATCGACGCCTCGCCACTCCCTTCTCATTTATTCATTTTTATTTATTTAAACACACAGGCCACCAATCCCTCCTCGCTCATAAATAACAAGAGAAGTGCTTATTGGACGTCAGACGAGGAGAGGAGAGGCAGAACCAACTTGAAATGTTTCAGGAGGGTCTGCAAGGGACTCCCGAATACTCACCCTGCGCGCTTTTAATCTTGGGGTAATCTCTGTGTGATTGGGGCTCAGCCCATGAAATCCGCCACATGACTCCCCCAACTCCCCCTAGAATGGTACGGCTGGGAAGTATCATGACCTTCAGACATTCAGTTTGTGCAAATGAGGTGAACACGAAAAAAGGGGAATGTTGTGTCGTTTCCACAACGAAAGAACTCAACCACATTTCAACGTTGCAACATTTACACTCGCTAATTGGGTTTACTCGGAAATTGTTCGGCATTTCTACACGGAGCAAAAAACTTTGTGTTTGGGACCTGAAGTCGAGGTCACGTAGATCCCTGAAGTTTTTGGATCACGCATTCGAAAACAGGTCAGGCCTCTAAGGTACTTCGGTATATACCGAAGGGTTCAGGTCACACATCTGAAGTACTCCGGTACATACCGAGAGCTTCAGATGTCTGACCCGAACTTCGGCAGTTGGACCTCAAGTTTTCGGATGCGTGATCCGAAAACTTCAGAGATCCATATGACCTCAACTTCGGGTCCCATGCAAGAAGTTTTTTTCTCCGTGATATCTGGAAATTTCAATGATTTTTCTTACTTGCTGAAATTGTCGTTTGGCACAGGAACTCTATTATGTTTATACTTTTGAAGAGAAAAATCGAATTTTTTGAGGACGCTTTGCGATCAGGAATGAAGACACGCTATTTTACTGTATTGTTTGATTTAAACAGAAAGACTACGACACTTGAAAGCAGCTATTTTGAGTTTCGCTGGGAATTAGGAAACCGGGGTCA